TATTCCAGGAGGATTTACTATTCCATTTTCATCCATTCAAAACAAATCTATTCTGGGATTTTTTAAGATCAATATTTTATTATACATATTTTGAAGTCAAAAGATAATTTCGAACAGACAGCTTACTATACCGTTGATCTAATATTATTTTTGTCACTGTTGGTGACTCTGTTCTCTTACTGAGCAATTTTAGCGGTAAATTGCATTTTTTTATGGCACACTAATATTAAACGCGCGTGAAATAATTCGCCCAACTAAATTTACAGTACCGCTTTTAACGTAAGCAGCCGTATTGCGCAGTTGGCGTTATGATGTTCTATTTTTGATTCAGACTGTTCCCAGACAACGGGATATATGCATTTTTATAGATAAAAATGCATATATCCCCATACATTTTTACCAGAGGGAGACTTTGTACAAAAGTCGATCGCTTGGATACCTCTGTCCTATTCGTGTTTCTACCGTGAAGCAGTTGTGTTTGTATGTCTGTGTTTCGGTTTCAAGGGTGGGATATGTCAGTGAATGTACCAGGTACAGAGAAATAACACTTGAGTCCTCAGGAATGGCAACGCATGGGGATTATCATGGGCGAAACAATAAACTCTGTTATGTCCATAGTACTGCTCGTGTCTATTACCACTTTCGATCAGGTGGACCGTCAACTTGTCTGCTATTCCAAGTTGTATTAAAAATAAGAATAGGTTAAGGAACTATAGAGGACCTTAATTCTCGGTTTCACGGCAGTTCCAAATCCTTCAAATAAATTAGATTATTAATCGTATTAGTTCTCGACTCTTATAAGTTATAACCCACAAATCATGAAACATGAAAATCTAAAAGTTGATATTGAATTCAATAAATCTTCATCCGACTTCGTCGTAATCAGAACGTGATATGTAGCCAAGCCTTTATATTCCAAGGAAACCATAAGAACATTGATATACTTCGTACTTTTATGGAGAGAGATCTGTACCTGGCAGAGATCATAAACTGCTTTGTTTATTTGCATAAACTTCATTGTACAAAATACATAGGCGGTTTTCATTTTAACAGATGGACTTTTAATGGTAACCCTGTCCCTGCTAATGATGATGGGGTTAAGGAATGATGGATTACAATAATTGACATCATTCTTTTGTAAGATGTTTTCAATGGATGATAATGTGATGGTAACCCCGCCTGCATTATCAGTATACACTAGCAAAGCATCAATAAGAGTACCACATCTTCTGCCTGACCACATATACTAGAAGTGCAGGTAGGGTTATCATTTCATTATCACCTCATAAAAAAAAGACCTTCATTTGGGAGCGCCTTTTTGGAAAAAAAACTTTAGTAACAGCCTTATTGCTAGCAATATACTCTATCATGTGGACAAATGCATTGTTCCTCCTGGAAACGATTGTGGTGAATTCTTGTTGAATTAATGATAAACCAACTGAACTGCTTCCACCCATTATTTTTTTGTGAAAATGAAATAGTGACCCCGTATATGCTATTGGTATACACTGGCAGGGCACCAGTAATAGATGATAGGTGAGGACGAAAGCAGGTCAGTTAGCCTATCATAACGAATGCCAAGAATTAACCATGACGGTTTCCAGGTCGAGCTGATAAGGTATATTGCTATCAATGGGGCTGATAAACCCCATTACTAGCAATCTCTTCCCCCCACATCCACCCATACTGGTACCCCACAAGTGTATACTGATAATACAGGCTGGTTGTCATTCCATATTCGGGAAAAAAAAATCCAAGAAATGCCTTTTTCCTTGGATTTTTTATTGTCATAAATGAAATGTCCACCCTGAATAAACATTAATAATAAGAAATTATAATAATTAAATAAGTAGGAATATATAAAAATTAAATCTAAAAAGAGTATGTTTTAATCACGATTTTATCATAATCTATATAAACAGTGCTGCAATTTGCAACTAATCATACTAATATAATAAAATTATAACTAGGCAATGTCTGTACATGGGAGGTATTTAAGAAAAATGAAAGAGAAGTCTAACTAAGCATAATAGATGCCAAAACGGGAAAGAAATTGTTGGTATTGTGGACTACCAGTTCCATTGCTAACAATATACCCCTTCAGGTCGACCTCCACATGATCCCACCTGGAAATCATCATACTAAATTCCATGTGTATTCATCATGATGGGCTAACTGAACTGCTTTTTCATTCTCACCTATCATCCCTCACTGATGCCTCATCAGCATATATTGTTAGTTCAGGCAGGATTACAATTCCATTAACATCTATTAAAAAAAAACAGATGCCAAAATAATAACTTTTAGAAATTTTGTCTGTCTGTCTGTTCAGCATCACCCAAAAACCAAAAATTATTACACCAAATTAAATGCAATTTTCACAGTTGTATTGTTGTATGAAGTAGCAGACAATAAGCCAAGAATAAATAAATGAAAAATATACAGCTAGGACTTATTATAGACATGTCTTGATACCTTCACTTTTAAGACTTTATCACATGACATTCATGGAAAGCCTAATCTGCTTATTCATAACAATGTCAAACCTCTCTCTTAAACCTATTTTTTTATTATTTTGTCCTTTTCTTTTGTGGTAATTACTTAATTTGAAAGACAGTGATAAAGCATTTCTATAGCTAAAATAGGTTGGTAGGTTTTTGTTTTTATAATTAAAGGAATAAGTTGATATTGATGAAACTGACAGAAATATATCAAAATTTGTAATATGTGAATGAAACGTTTCAGCTACAGACTTCCCATTAGGTACACTACTGTATTTCTAGTTATGTTTTAGTATTTTATTTTTTTCTTAATTCTTTTTAGTGGCCTGTCACCTGCATTCAATCTTTACTCCAAGTGTAAAATAGGTAAAATTTAATATTTCTTTTTTGTTATTGGCATAAATTACTAGGTACTTAGGATCTTTCGTTTTTAAACATCTAGTTCAACATTATCATAATCATTATTAGTCCTAAGCACATAAAGGGACCATGGATGACTGTTCTGTGATATGGAAACCATGGACAGTCAGTAAGTACTGTTACTGTTTATGTCAACATATAAGCTATGGTTACCACACCACCACATGGTTTCAATAGAGCTCTCAGCTTTTTTATCATTCGAAGTTAGATAAAAAATTCGATGATTTTAATTTTCAAAAACATAAAAATATTTTGTTATTCGATTAATTAAAATTTTCTAAATATTGCTTCAAATATTATACTTTATTATAAAATAAGACATTGAAAAGAGAGAACGTGAAAAGAGAGTAATTAAATTAAAATGTATTCACTGACCCGTCATATTTTAATAAACACGATATAGAAATAAAAGTCCTGTACTTACCAAATTACTGTGCTGTACTGGACAATGCTAGAAAACGGCTCGGACCATCGCACTAACCGCGTAAATATTGAGCACTAGACCAAAATATTATATTTTTTGCTAAATATTACAAAAATTAGCAATGATAGGCACTTTATTTCGTTTTCTCTTATTCTTATGATTATCTCGATTATCAAATACTTCACTTAGAATCTAGATTTTTATAAATTTGCTGCTTGACTATTTTTAACTTGAAATTATTATACAGGTATTAATAAATCGTACACAAACAAAACTCAAATCAACACCGCGAATCAAAAACTAGACGACATTATTCGGTAAAATGATAAAATCGTTCGGAATGAACTAAATTTGGAACGGATGAAATGATGAACGAATGAATGAGTGGTTTTTCTGCTTGGTGTTGCCAAGACAAATTTCTTTTTTCTAATATTTTATTCAGTGTTTTTACAATAATATGTCATAATATTTTTTGTTTATGCAAATAATTTAATTATAAAATATTACATTTTTTATTTGATTTCCGCAATAAGATTATGACCCTCAACATTATAAAATTTTAAATTTATTTTATTTAGAAAAAACTTATAAAATATATCGGTTGCAGTAACTAGAGTAGACCAGTCCCTACAAACAGTACCCTTTCACGAATATAATGGATGAGCCAGTCATCATTGCACTCAACTACATTTCAGGGAATTTAATAATCTGGTCTCCCCGCGCCTTACTCAACGCGTCCAATCATATCATAACTAAATGGAAATAATTTCGTACTATGTACTATACAACAATCTCAACATCGAAACCGACTATAAATTAACGTTATAAAATAATAAAAAATACATCAGACATGAATTTCATACGCGCTACTTCAAAATGAATCCACGATACGTGCATGTGTGAATTTAGACAATTGGCAATTGGGATAGTGTAACAAGGAAAAGAAGGTTTTCTTATATAAAATTTAAATAAAAAGATAAAAAATTCGAGTTTAGAATTAGGCATTTGAAACTTAATACAAAGGACAAAAGTCGTAAGAATTATTTTAAAACCTTCTCTTTATCGTGCGCCATAGCTCACTAAGGCTGTTGATAAAGATGTTGATTGTAGCTCTAATGTATTTCTAAATAAGTTATTTCAATGTTAAAACGACATTCTTAAATTAAATTCTCAATATAATTATAAGCGTGCGACAACCATCTAATTTTTATTTAATTTTGAGCATGGCAACACAATTATCATAATATCATTCATTTCATTCATTGTTTATTATTAATTAATTCCATTTCTTTTCACAGACATAATTCATTATTATATGCCTGTAACCTATTTCATTTCAGAGGAGAATTCCGATTGTAACCACCAGTTAATTATTTAACTTATCAGTTTACTTTCTAATGGAAATAGAAAAAAACTATTCGCAAATTTCTGTTCTTTTCACAAATACTACGAAATTGACTATTTCTTATGAAATTCATACGAGCACTACTGAAATTTATCATGTTTTTTACAAGTAATTGTAGTTAAAAATAAAAAGGCATATTCATAATTTATCATTGGATTTATATTACAAAACATATTTATTATTCTCTACTGTATAACGGATTCCGTAAACAGCAATCTGTGTCCTTCAAGAGACGATACGAGTGCTCTTGTTGAAGCTTGATATTGGCTGTTTACCGAGTTTTACACTTTATTCGAAAGTTTTAACTTGGACAGTTAAATGTTATGGTACTTGTAATGTAATGTATTGGTAATTGTAAAATGATAATTTTATAAATAATAATATCCTTAGTCTATGGTGCCGTGCTATTATTTTCAAATTATCTTTCAAAACTGTCAAAAGTAACGTCAACCAATATTTAAAATTTTCAAAGTTTCACTTTTTACTTCTATTTTATTCCATTGAAGTTTTCTTTTTCTGAAACATGGAAACGGTGATGAACCGTCAATTATTTTTAGTCGAAGCTAGAATAAAGACATTCAAAAACTGGCCATTCAATGACAAAAACAAATGCAACGTAAAGAACATGGCCGAAGCGGGATTTTATTCAGTAGCGACCGGTGATGATGATGCTGATGCCGCTAAGTGTTTTCTATGCGGAAAGGAATTGGATGGATGGGAAGCTAATGACGACCCGTGGCAGGAACACAAGAGCCATGCCGCTAAATGTGCCTTTGTTCAGCTGGGACGAAAGGAAGACGAATTGCTGGTTTGTATTTTGATTTTAATAATGACTAGTAATGTTATACGATATGTTTACACATAGTAAAACACAATCAGAGCCCACAACCATATACAGACAAATACAGTGTAGACACTGTATTTAACAATTATTTTTTAGTATTTCAGCCATTAACTGTCCACTGCTGAAAATAAGCCTTCCACATAAGGGGAGTTTTGCCAGTAGTTGCCACGCTTGGCAGACGGGTTGGCAACCGCAGTTAGCCTTTTACAGATGTTTTAAAAGAGACACTACTGCCTATTCTTATAAGCTCCATATCCCATAAGCTCCCTTAATCACCTCTCACTACACCCATGGGAGAGTAAGGGGTGGCCTATTCTATGCCAGAACCTACACAGCTATGGTATTAATTTAAAAATAGAAGACATAATACCCTAGTCAGGGGGATAAAAGATTGTTAGTAATCAGGTCTAGCAAGCCCATTGCTAGCAATATACCCTGTCACTTCAACCTCTACACGGTTCTCCCTGGAAGTCAGCATGGTTGATTTTTTAAATTGTCATCATGGATTTTTGACCTGCTTTCATCCTCACATATCATCGCTTACTGGTACCCCACCAACATATCAATAGTATAGATGGGACAGCCACTCCATTTTCAACCATTAAAAAATACCTTAATCCTCAGGAATGGCAATTGATGAAGGTTATTATGAGCATCACAGTATATTCTGTGCTGTCCATGATACTGTTTGTGTCTATGAGCTATGGTTAACACTTTCCATCGAGTGAACCATCAACTTATTGCTATTCTAAGTTGCAATTAAAAAGAAGAGAATAATATAATTGGTATTAACATTCTTCTAATTTCAGCTTTCAGAATACCTGTCAGTGATTAAGCAGTATATGATAAATGAGATAAAACAAGTTGGTGAATTATCCAAGGAACATATTGATGAGAAAGCCAAGCATGTACGGAGAAAGTATTTGAGTAAAAAGTGATTCAAGTGAAAAAGTGGCTATAATGATTTTGTGATAATTATCATTCAGTATAATATAATGTTTGTTTTCTCCATTGGCATATATGTGAATATTCTCCAGGTGGAGCCTGGCTTATTACAAAAGGTGTATATGTACTCTCAGACATGTTTTTGTGAAGATTTATTTGCATCCTGGTGTTTCGTATCAGACAATTCCACACTCCCTCCCTAAATATGCCTATGATTTTCTATTATATGTAATGATTAGTTTATAATATTAGCAACCCTTTAATAAAAGTCATGAATTTCAAAATGAGACTTTAACCAGTGTATACTTAGCCAGTTGGTTTATAGCATCACACATAGTCAGACTGGAGGTCCCTGGCGGCTAACCAGAAGCCCAGAGCCCAAAACTAGGTGATGGTAGTTGCATTAGTTGGTAGGAGCACCGCAAGCCTTGCAAGTCAGGCCTATAGGAGGTCCACGCAAGTTGGGGCCCGGCTGACAAATATCACCTCGACTATATGACCAGTCTGATGCTGGCACATAGTATAAATAATAATAGAAGTTCAGATATATTATTAGTTGTAAAGGTATAGAATAGAGTTTTCAAAATCAATTTATAATTTGATTTAATAAATAATTAAATATTTCTGTACTTTAGATATGGCTTTTTCTGACTTGTCTTATTTAAACAAATTTGACAATATTATATAAATAAATATTATATTGATAAAAAGAGATAATGTTTATGACAACGAAAATTTGTAATTTATGACTGAAAATGTGCCTAATGGACTCAGTTGTGGTTCTATTGACTGTTATAAAATTAATTTTATTTAATAAATACACAATTATGATTTATTCTGTTTCATTTCTCATGTATTATTTTCTAAATAATGTAATGCCATTTGTTTTGCTATTTCCTTACTAATTGTTGTTAAGTGTAAAATGAGTTTTTTACCCACAATACAGGATAGCTTTCCTATAGAGAACAATACAGGCTAAGCCAATCAATATTTAGTAGTAGCCTGCCAAAGATATTAGAAGCGGTTCAGAAATATCTCGAGTCGGGTTAAATACATTTATTATAACTTTGTATATTAGCACTAAATTTATAATATTGGTTTGGCTTTTGCTGTTATAATGTTATAATTATTTTTAATGAATAAATAAATAAATATATCCTGTTTATATCATGATGATCATGTGAATGAAATCACAGATAAAAATGTAGACCACAAGATTTTATCAGCTTGACATTAATAGCCATCAGAAAGTGTATTGAATGAGGGGGAAGGGATTGCTAGTAACGCGGACTAACAGCCCCATTGCTAGCAATATACCCTGCCAAGTCGACCTCCACGTGATCCCCCCTGGAAACCATCGCGTTGAATTCCACGTGTATTCATCACGTTGGGTTAACTGACTTGCCTTTTTATTCTCACCTATCATTCCTCATTAGTGGCCCGTCTGCTTATATTAGCAATTCCCCTTTCCCCTAGAAACCATCGTAACTAATTTATCAGTGAATTCGTCACGATGGGCTAACTGACCTTCCTTTTCATCCTCACCAATCATCCATCACTGGTGCCCCGCTAGTGTATACCAATAGCGCAGGCGGGGTAACCATTCCATTATTATTCATAAAAAAAGTGGAGTCAGATAATATGTCTACACATAAGTGGTAATTTATTCTATGACCGTTGCTTAGCAACCACCAAACAACTACTTGTCAAGCTTCCAAACCCTGAGTGATATTTTTTGTAGTAAAATTTATTTGAAAAACTAAAGACTGAACTGATTGATTATGGATGTAAAGAATTTGGAAACATATGCTATAATAGGATTTGATGGTAAGCTATATTATGTTTTTGTTAAAATTGCCATTAGGTACAATGTTTATATTATGAAGCAACTGTATGTATGAAGCAACTATATATATTTTGGTTTAAAGGGTTGTGTATGACAATAATTACAGAGTGTAGATGCCATATAATAAACTTCATGCATAATGGATATTATGGGCATTACAGTATATACTGTTTTTATTAGGCAATGGTTACCATTTACTGTCAAGTGGCCGTAAGCTTGTATTTTACCATTCTAAATATCATCATCTTTCCGCTCTTGTCGCATATTCTATTTGGGATGGACGTAATATGTTTTTCTTTTTATTTATCTATATTTACTGCCATCTTTTTTATGCAACTTAGAACGACAAACAAGCTGACGGCCTACTTGATGGAAAGTGGTAACCGTTGCCTATAGACATGAACAGTGCTATGGACATAACAGAGTACACTGTTTTGCCCATGCGTTGCCATTCCTGAGGACTCGGGTGTTATTCCTCTCTTCCGTGTAAATTCACTGTCATGTCCCGGTATTCATCCCTTTTATGGCCTCATCAAATGTTATTTTTTTCCCAGTTTTTCCATTTTTTTCGGTCTTCCTCTATATCTATGATTATCCACATTCATAATTATTTTTATATAAAAAAAAGGTAGCCACGCTCGGCAGGCGGGTTGAGAACCGTACCGTATTTGGACTTTGGTGATGTTTTCAGAGGAACACTGCTGCATGCTCGACCATGAAATTCCCTTAGTCACCTTTCACGACATCCACAGGAAAGAAAGGGGAAAATGGTTCATGCTAGACAGTATTTTAAAAGTCAATCTTTCCACATGGAAATTAATTATAACCATTTCTATTCAGGTTCAGCAATCAGAGGCCTTAAAATCCATCCAGATGGTGAACACATCGTCTACCCAATGGGCAACAAAGTCTGCATTCAGGAATGGAAGACGAAAAAGATGTACTTCCTCAGTGGACACACAAACAGCGTGTCCACAGTCGCTGTCTCACCGAGAGGCACATTCGTGGGATCAGGCCAAATAAACCATATCGGTTTCAAAGCTTCTGTTAAAGTATGGGATTTTAAAAATAAGACGATGGCTGGAAGCCACGAGTTGCACAAGGTAAGAGACAGGATTACATACGTTACTTTACGTAAATGTGGTACCGGATTTAATTCCAATTTATATTATCGTCAGATTACCATATATTGAATGATCAATGAATCTTTTTCTTCCAAATAGGTCCGCGTTGAAGCGTTAGCATTTTCAGCCGATGAGCGTTACCTGATATCGCTCGGTGGTCGCGACGATGGGTGTGTGGTGCTGTGGGATTGCTTCGCCGGTGCCGCCACTGGTACCGCAGCGGCGGCCAAGCTCACCACAGGGGACGCGATGACCCTGACGACTTTGAACTTGAGGGTCAATTCATTCGTCACTGGTGGGGATTGTAAGTATTTCTTTTTATTATTTTATCGTCATCAACTAAGCACTGAGCGTGCAGTGTGGTCCCGGCATAGAATAGGCCACCTCTTCCTTTCCCGTAGGTGTTGTAAGAGGCGACTAAGGGAGAGCGAGGGATGAGCAGCAGCATCTCTCTTAAAACATCTCTAAAGCCTAGCTGTGGTTACCACCCCGCCTGCTAAGCATGGCAACTACTAGCAATAATATTCATTAACCGAAAAACATGTTTAAATTGATTGTTCCAGGTAACCTCAGAGTATGGAACATAAGAGCAGAGAGCAAGAATTTGGACGTGGTCGACGTATCGCTTGGCAAGCTGCGCAGGAGTGTACGCTGCATATCCATCAGTAAAGATGACACGTTCGGATACGCTGGCACCACGTAATTTTTTCAGATAATCCTATTAATATAATCAATAATGCGAAAGTTTGTAATGATGGATGAATGAATGTTTGTTACTCTTTTACGCAAAAACTGTTGAACGAATTTGATAGACACTTAATACACGAGTAAGTTATATCCTAACTCACCACATGGGATATTTTACATACTGATTCACGCCGGTAATGACACGGGATACAACAAGTATTATAAATGCGAAAGTTTTTTAAAAGCTGGATGAATATTTCTAAATCTTTTACATTAATGCTACTGAGCGGATTACAGTTAAATTTGATACACGGGTAGGTTATATTTTAACTTAGCACATAGGAGACTTTATGTGTTTACTGATTTACGCTGGCGAAGCCGCGAGATACAATTAGTTTACATAAGAAATCAGTATGTGATCCTTCGAGCCGGATCAGTATAAGAATAAATATTATCCTGTACGTTGTGTAATGCAAATAAAAGTTTATTAATCCATTCATCATCATACTGCTTCAGGACGGGCGACATGATCAAGTTCTCAATAAACTACCCTTCAGACCCAACGGCGTCTGTAGCGGACATTAAGCCCACGTTCCTTGGCTGCCTCGCCAGGTGTGGGCCGTGGAGAAAGGGGAAACGACCGGAGTCCATGTGTTACAGTCAAGGTTTGATTTTTTAAAGTACAGTCAAACATAACACTCATCTTGCTCACATTTCACGTATTGTATTTATACAAATTTATATCGTATTTATTCTCTATGTATTGTATTGTATTGTAAAATCTTTATTGTACATTATTCATACTAAATACATTAAAAGATTTAATATACATTGGAGGACTTATCCCATAAAGGTATCTCTTACAGTCAACCTTTGAGAAACTGAAAGAAAACTGTAGAATGTACAAGAGTAATAACCGTACAGCTAAAGATAAACTAAATAATACCCAGTAAAAAATTGAATATATAATACAATAAAAATAACTGTAGAAACCTACATATGTAAATACATAGATACATATATTCACAATTGGCTCAATGAAAAAGGAGTTTCAGAATAAAATTTTATGATACTAGCTTTAAATGATTTTACTGATTGTGCCATATTCAAGTTATGTTCTTTTATTACTTATATTTTATAATTCAAATAAAAATATACTCATTCTTTCATTCATCTACTATCGTTAAGTATCGATTATTCAATAAAAATTTCTTCTTTTGGCACTAGATGGCGCTAATTTACCTATGAGTGTTGGGATTAAATAAATAATTTCTTTCATCAGGTATCGAATCAATATTGATAATGGACGACGGCTGTTTAATTGTGGGGGCGGGAGACGGCACGGTGGATATTTTGGATGAAATCAACTGGAAGGGCGACTTTCCCAAAGGCAAGATACTGAGCCCTAACAGGCCACATTTTAAAGCTGTAAGTTTATGTTACATAAAAAAAAATAATCGAAAAGTATTCGAATTTTAAAACTATCCAAGTTATTAAAGTCAATTATTCGAAATGATGTCCCTTTTTATCATCGCACCGCTCGCCGTCCATAGTAAATTCACCTTTTTTTTAATAGGTGATAATGAAATGGTAACCCCGCCTACGCTATCGGTATACCAGAGGGAGACTTTGTACAAAAGTCGATTGCTTGGGTACCTCTGTCCCATTCGTGTTTAAACCGAAGCAGCATGGCTGTGGTTTGAAGGGTGGGATATGGCGTGAATTTACTGGGTACAGAGGAATAACATCTGAGTCCTCAGGAATGGCAACGCATGGGAGGTATCATGGGCGAAACAGTACACTCTGTTATGTCCATGGTACTGCTCATGTCTATAGGCGACGGTTGCCACTTTCCATCAGGTAGGCCGTTAGCTTGTTTGTCATTCTAAGTTGTATAAAAAAAAATATGTTGGTGGGGCACTAGTGCAGGGTGATAGGTGACGATGAAAGCAGGTCCGTTAGCCAATCGTGACAAATTCTACTAGAATTAATTACAATAGTTTCCAGAGGGGAATCGCGTGCAAGTCAACCTGACAGGGTGTTGCTAGTTATGGGAAAATTAGACCCCATTACTAACAATCCCTTTCCCCCCGGTTTTAGAGGTTTTCCTCCCGGAAACGATTAATGGAATGAGCTACCTGTCGAGATATTCCGTAGAGACTACAGTACAAGATTCTTTAAAAGGGATGTATCAGGGTTTCTTCGCCACCTTTATGTTATAAAAATCACGCACAAAATCAGTTGCGCTGACAAGAGCAAAGAGATAGATTGACTATGAAAGTGTCATACCGAAATCATCATTTCAGCCGTTACCTTACAGTGGATATATGTATGTAAGTCTCGCCATAGACTACCATAAGCAACAGGAGCGTTCCTTATAGCACTTGCCATAAAGAACGCTCCAGTTGTTGCCACGCTTGGCAAGTGCTGCAGACGCGGGGGGAGAAGGGATTGTTCGTATTGGGGATTAGTAGCCTGATTGCTAGCAATATACCTTGGCAGTTCGACCTCCTCGTGGTTCTCCCTGGAAACCATCGTGATTGATTTATTGTTAGATTGGTCATGGTGGACATGGTGCCCCTCCAGTGTATACCGATAGCGCAGGTAGAGTTACCATTACATTATCATCCATTAAAAAAAAATGCTGCAGACGCTGACGCTGCTGCCCATTCCTAGACTATTAAGTTCCCTTAGTCGCCTCTTACGACACGCACGGGCAAGGAAGGGGTGGTCCATTCTATAGATGGGACTACACTGTAAACCATACCGAAATACTATTTATTTTCTAGTTGAAATCTACCAAACTGGACGGCAGCATCACATCTCTAGAGCTGATGGAATCTCCGAGCATGAGAAGCGAGCAGCGCCTCCTGCTGGTGGGCACGCGCACCAGCGAGATATACGCCATTAACGTGGCCACCTTCTCCCCCATCTTGGTGGTCACCTGCCACCGGTGTGCCATTAATGACATCGCTTTTCCCAGGTATCGAATTAAACCTACACTACTTACATTTTATTTTATTTATTTATTCTTTATTGCACAATAAAATTTTGTACAAATGGCGAGCTTAATGCCATATGGCATTCTCTACCAGCTAACCATTGGGTAAAAATAGAAAGCGTATGAAGGGCAGATGTGGTGAAAAATATGTGACAATTATAGTAACACATTAAGGCAATACACAATATAAATATAATACACATAAGAAATGCACATATAATACATAAACATTTCTTTTAATATATATGGATAAACTAATACATATGAAATATATACATATATATATATATATATATATATATGTATATATATATATATATATATATATATACATAAATTAAAACAACGATAAGCATTATGAGATATAATAACTATTGAGTGACCTGTAACTAGCGCTGGTTTTGTTGACTCAACAAATAATTAAAAAGTCTTCTTTTAAAAATATCTTTACTTGATGCTCTGCGTAGATCTACAGGGATTTTATTCCAAAGGCTGATAGCGGTGACAGTAAAAGAATTGGACATAAATCCGGAATGATGTGACGGGGTGATGAGGAGGAGATTATGAGATGACCGAAGATTAAGGGTATGGGAGTCTTTGAGATACTGAAATCTATCTTTCAAATAAGTAGGAGAGGAAGGATCATTGAGGATAGAGAACAGTGTGCAAAGTATACGTAAGTCTTTGCGGTTACGAATGGTCAACCATTTGAGTTGTGAGCGGAAATTAGAAACGTGGTCATACTTACGCAGCCCGAAGATAAAGCGAATGCAGTTGTTAAGCAAACGATCAAGTTTGTTCAACTGTTCTTGCGAGAGGTTAGTAAGACACACGTCGGCATAGTCGAAATGCGGAAGTATTAGGGATTGGACAAGGAGTAATTTAGTGGACGGAGGAAGAAAAAATTTAAAACGATAAAGAGCACGTAAAATGCTTGTAATTTTACGACACATTTCAGCCATTTGGAAATGCCATTTCAGTGATGGGTCGATTAACAGACCCAGGTCTTTGACTTTGGCACTGAATGGGATGACGCTGTTCTCAAAACGCAGAATCAAGTGAGACAAGTTTAATTTGGATAGAAGTTTAGAGCTACCAATAATAATTGCCTGGCATTTAATTGGATTAACTGAAATGCCAAAACGATAGGACCAGTGCGAAATACTTTCCAGATCGGTATTTAGTTTATCTACAGCTTCAAAGATGTTATGTGGATCAGCTTGAGCATAAAGCTGTAAATCGTCTGCATAAAGGTGGTAAAAGCATCTAAGGTGGGAAATAATCAAATTAATAAACAAAGAAAATAAAAGTGGGGAAAGAATACCGCCTTGCGGAACACCAGTTTCTAGTTCACACCAGTCAGAAAGAGTCTGCCCAGAACGTATGGCTTGTTGGCGTCCGCGAAGATACGAAGAGAACCAGCTCAGTACTAACGGAGAAAAATTAAGACGGCAGAGTAACGTTAACAATAAGTCATGGTCGACACAGTTAAAGGCGTTGGAGAAGTCAATTAAAACTAAAATAGTAACGCGTGTGTTCTCCATACCATCACGAAGGTCTTCCGTTACTTTTAATAAAGCTGTCGTAGTACTGTGTCCGGGACGGAAACCAGATTGAAAGGGGCTAAGAAAGTTACATTTTGAAATATAGGTGAATAATTGTTTTTGAATTATATTCTCGAGAACTTTCGAGAGAAATGGCAATATGGAAATAGGTCTAAAATGACTAGAAAAAGTAGGATTAGCGTTTTTAGCAAGGGGAATAACAAATGCTTTTAGCCACAATTTTGGAAAACAGCCAGTAGACAGAGAAGAATTGACAATGTGGGTCAGAATTGGGAGAATAATATCTAATAAAAGAAGGACCATCATTCTACTCACATCGTCATATCCTGTTGCATTTGATTTGATGGATAAAACAGCTTTGCGTACATCGTCATCAGTTACTAAAGAAAAAGTAAAAGAATCCGTGGTAAATGAAGGCATGGATTTAATTTCCTGTAAAGTGGAGGCTTTAACGGCATTATCAAGAGGAGGTATAGAAGAAAAGTACTTATTAAGGTTATTAGGGGAAATATTTGAATTGAAAATAGCTGGGGCTTTCCCAAAGCCCAGAGAGTTCAGGAATTTCCATACATTTGCTGAAGAAGAATTTAAAACATTTTTATGAATATAACGGCGTTTCGCTGCTCTTACCACCTGATTGCAACGATTTCTAGCTCGTTTGAAAAGTTGAAAGGTGATTGTACTTCTTGCTTTTTTATAATTTTTAAAAGCCCGATCACGCTTCGTCATTGCCTTGCGAACATCGTCTGTAATCCACGGTGCAGGAGGTCGACGCAACTTTACAGTACGGATTGGTGCGTGTTTGTCGAATAAGCTTAGAATCTGCGCATTAAAAAGAACAATTTTATCGTCAATGTTGCAAGAGTCTAACAATGGCTTCCAGTCAATAAGTGCAGCGTCTCGACATAATAAGTCGACATCTATTCTGTTAAAATTACGTACGCGCGCGATTGTCGGCTTGGGTTTTAGAGGTTTGATTTTGTAAGATAGAAGCAGTAGGTCGTGACGTGAAAATGCAGGTGCAGAGAATTGGTCGTATTCAATAACATGGTCGATTAAGGAAGTGCAAATAATATCTAACCAGGAGTCGTCAGTATCAGGGTTATAGTGAGTAGGTTTTAATGGTAAAATTGATGTATCTGCAGAGTCTAAAATAGATCTAAGTTTGCGTGTTGACGTTGTGTCCTTTAGTAGATTGGTGTTAAAGTCACCCATGATGATAATATGATTATAAGAGCTATTTATAAAATCTATAGCAGTATCAAGATCTCCGAAGTAATCTGTTGAAGGTGGGCAGTAAACTACGCCTATAGCGACTTTTGTGCCCTTAAAATCAATTTCTATAAATAAAAACTCTGCAGTGCTTCTATAATCCGAAGGAGATGACAAAACAACTTTATAAGGTAAGGTGCTACGCAAGTAAATTGCAACTCCTCCTCTACCCTTACTCGTACGATCATTCCTGATCAAGACATAACCTGGAATAGAATATGTTATAGAAGATAATGCAGGTTTCAACCATGATTCAGAAATAAGTAAGGCATGAATATTAGGTTCAGAGAACGCGTCAATTAGGTCAGTATAATGCGCCGGAATACTTTGACAGTTTATATGACATACGTTAAAGAATTTAGAATCTTTTAATCTATTCTGCAGCAAACATCCGATATTATTGTCATTATAAATAGACGAGTTGGAAGATAAAAGTGATGAATTATTACATGTTGAGTGGAGTGACTCTTCGTCCGTTATCATTGAGTTATTCAATAGTTAAAATATGTAATTAATAAATTATAAAATATATAAAATAAATTAATATGAATTGTAAATAAAATTAATATATAAATATTTAACAATACGCTTCTACAAGGTTTATTTACCTGCCGGCACACTGTAACAATATTAACAGAAACATATAAAAAATTAAGACAATTCGAACAACAAAAACAAACATGTAAAATGGAATGCACTTATATAAGTAACTTCTTTTTACAGATAGATAATAAAGTGTTCAATATCTGTGGTTTAGCTGGCTGTTAAATCTGGCAGACGTCAAATTACAAAATGAATGTAAACAGATAACGGAAAGCTAATTTTAAGAGGGTATTTTGATAAAAGATTTACAAGTGCTAAGTGGGTATTGTAAATATTACATTATGATATGAAATGTTATTACCAAAAATACGAAAATTGACAAAAATCTAACAATTTGATTATCGAATTCACCTTGAAACACACAAGTGGAGACACATACACATTATATGCAAGTCATTTCTTGATTATTCTTGCGGTCCGCTGCTTGGGAGCCGCGGTGGTAGATCGGCCGACTGCGGCCACAACTTCAGAAACTGGCGTCGTTGGTGCATCGGCTGCTTTGTACTTGGCAGTCAGGTTTTCCAACTCTTCAATTGTGAAGATTTTGACACGTGATCCGTCTGGGAGCTTCACACTTATAACTCCATCTAACGTCCAAACCCTACGAATTCCGAAATATTTTCGTGCCTCGAGGAACAATGACTGCCGCATTCGTGTCAGATATTCAGATACCAAATAAGGACTGCCCTTAAACAGAGTTTTCTTTGTCCATATAGTCTGGCGAAGGGACGGGTCTCTAAATTTTATCAGGATCGGACGAGGTCGTCCAGGAGTAGCTGAACCAAGACGATGACACATTTCGAATTTGTCATATGTACAGTCCTGGACCCCTAAATGCTTTGTAATAACTGAGACTGTCACCTCACGAACGTCCTCATCAGCTCTCTCAGTGATTCCCCCAGCAGTAAGAAATTCTTCCGATGACGGCTTTCTATTGCATCCATACCGACCACAAGGTGATTTATCTGCTGCCGCAACAGAGTAAATGTGGAGACAGTTTGATCACGGAAATACTGGAACTCACTACACAGTTGCTTCAAACTCATTTCTCCTGATGGCGAGGCTTTCAGTAGTGCCTCGAAGGCATTGATGCGCTCATTAAAGTTCTTCTCTATAGCAGCTTGTGCCTTGAGTACTTCCAAGATGGTTGCCATTGTATATGTGAATCAATAAAATAGAAAAGTAGTAATGGCTTCGACAGGTATTTAAATTATAAATATTATTTCATGGGTATGTATATACTAACTATTCACCGTGTATACTATATATTGTGAAGATTTACTATTTTTAAATAATTAAAATTGTAGAGCAACACAAACTCAGCTGTTACTTTTTTAACCGCCTACCCGCGAAAAAAAAAAAAAAAAAAAAAAAAAAAAAAAACAAAAAAAAAATCAAAGATTTATCTTCATTTTAAAAAGGTAAGTATTAATACGGTAACCCAGCCGAAATTTATTCATTCGCAGTTTGGGTGCTAAATGTTAACACTTGGCTCGAAGCAACGATCTGATAATTTCCCTGATGCCTAGTTTAGAGATGAAACACGTGTTGCAAAACGTGCATGAACGAAATGGCAGTCAGAGATTGATGGCTAATATGAATGTATAACTTCTGGTAGTAATAGTGATGGCCAATCTTCGAGTGTTGGCAATCTCATACATACTATTGGTAGCGGAATTAAACAAAATAAATCTAATCAAATAAAAAGTGATTTGGAATTTCGCAAAGTAATACCTAGTTCAGTGAAGTGTTTCATCTTCTGTCACTACTCTATAAGTTTGTAATAGGCATTAGAGTAATAAACAGCATTCATGGTCCATTAGAATTTAGTACATAATTAATAACAGAGGGCGCTGTCAAAAATTTTAACGGTGCTATTGTTTTATTTGCTACACATGTTAAGTAAAATTTATCGTATTTGGCTCGAATTCACCTATGGAGAACGTCATTCACCGACGTTGTCGCCGACATGCACTCTTGGACCCCGACGATCCCATTACGATAGCTAATACGCTCTCCACCCTCCCTATTGCGGACACCGTCCACGCCGGAGGGGACGAAGATCCCATGCTCCACGGTCCGCGCGGTCAGGTTTGCGCCTGAGCGCACACCAAAGACTCCGAGTTTCCACTCATCGCGACATACCGACCCTTGACGGGGGTTGAAGTGCGGTGGTCTAAGCCGAGACCCGAGCCAGTCTGGTGCCCTTACTCTCTGTCGCTCCCCTCTCGCGAGCTTAGAATGCCGTCTGCATACGCGTTCGGTGAAGCTGTAAAGGCCACTCACGGCCAACAGTAAAGACATTAATTTTTTTTTTAAATAACCTGTTACATTCAACGATCCAACGTCACTAGTTGTTTCATTTCGATACCAGAGGGGCGCTTGTCCATAATTTAATGCCAGATTGTGTGTATAAGTACGGTGTTCGCTGACAGAACTAGGAGAAAGCACTTTGACTGACATGTTCCCAGCGGCATGTCGGGCGTGTTCGCCACCGCGGGGGCGGGCGACGTGCGCGTGTGGAGCCTGGACAGCTGCCAGGAGCTGCTCCGCATCGTGGTGCCCAACTTCGTCTGCTCGGCCGTTCTGTTCTCTGCTGATGGGAAGTCTATTGTCTCCGGTAAGTTCTTCAACGGCACTGTAATAGAGTCCTGAAACATTTCTATTTTTTTTATTTGTGTTTCATTAACTTATGCCAGGGTTTCTTAAAGTGGAATAGAATCTATTAAAATATCACCAAAGCCTAGCTACGGTTGACAACCCGCCTGTCAGAGGGAAATTATTTCTTTTCCGATTTTTTTTTTTGATAGGGGTCCATGGAATTATTTAAATTGTGAAAATGGCCCGTGACTGCAAAAAGTTTAAGAAAGCCTGTCTTACGCGATTAAATCGCTAAAATTGAACCGATTTAGATAATTCATTTTGTAATGGAAACCTATTAATTTTGTCACCATTGACGTTATAAAATCATATTAGTAGCTAATACAGTATATACGTACAGTATATACGTATACAGTATATTCGTATACAGTATATATGTAATACTCGGAAGGAAAGGGATTGTTAGTAATGGAGTCTAATTGACTTATTCTTAGCAATACACCGTCACTGGCGCCCCGCCAGCGTATAACGATAGTGCAAACGGGGTTACCATTCCATTATCACCCATTAAAAAATATACCCAGCATGGAACGACGGCAACATCCGCGCGTTCACTCCGCTGACTGGGCGACTGATGTACTGCATCTACAGCACGCACAACAAGGGCACCTCCGCGCTCGACATGACGCACGACGGCCGTACGCTCATCTCCGGCGGCTGCGAGGGACAGGTAGCGCTCTGTACTGGTGGGCAATTATCGGGCAATTTTGCCGCATCGGGCAAAACTATTTGTCCTTTCATAAATTCCCTTTTTATTTATAGTTTATGCTCCTGAAATGCTAAACAGCCTATTTTCAATATGAGCCTTAATTTTTGGAAAGACAGGATTTTAGCAATTTTGCCCATCACCGGGCAAAAATATAATAATTGACGGTCCTTTAATCGATCAATTAACATGTTTGCATGTTTTTGTACTCCTACATGCATGTTTTTGTACTCCTACATGTGCATGTTTTTGTACTCCTACATGCATTGCTAGAATGGCAAACAAGCTGATGGTCCAGCTTTCGAAAGAAATAATAGAAAGAAAAATAGAATATAAAGATAAGAAGTTACGACTTTTATTAATCTTTTTAAAACCTCTAATTAATAAAAACATAATTTTTTCTTAAATATTTTTTTATATTATGTGTGTTAGCCCGAAGAACCGACAACCGATGAGGAAAAAAGTTCTTGAAAGGCGACCCCATACGGGCAAAAACAGTGTAGGACGATCCCCTAGTAGATGAAATGACGACCTCAAATGCATTGCAGGGTGTCGGTGGATGGTGTCGGTGATGGGCTCAGGACCGTTCCTTTTCGCAGTTTGTGGGGGAGGCCTATATTGACCAGTGAACAGATGATGGCCGAGATGATGATGATAAATATGTGTATATTATAATATTTAGATATATTTAGAAATAACAGAATTTTTAATCGTTCCTCCGATCAAATTGTCTATAAAAACTCCTCTCCATCCAATGGTTGCCTGCAAGAGATCGCTTTTAGCGATAAAAGCGCCCATTGTTTTCTCATTGTAATTATTTCTTGTAATTGTTTATATCTATAATAAGTTTACTATTGTAATCTTTTGGAGGAAACAATAAAGAGTATCTATCTATGTGTAGATGCTGCCGATTGTTACTGGTTGCCATCTTTGCCCAAGTTTCATGAAAAAAAAAATATTAAGTACAAAGGTATCATCCTCATGGTGGATATAATAGCATAATGTTAGTTGTATGTACAGGTGCGCGTGTGGGACATAAAGCCTGAATGTCAGAGTTTGAAGAAAGTTCTGAAGGAGCACAAAAGTCCCGTATCGGCCATCCAGGTGTCTCCCAACGACACGGAGGCAGTGAGCGCCGGCACCGACGGCTCCTGTATTATATGGGACTTGTTGTATGTACTTTGGAATTAAAAAAACAGACTTACCAGAAGGAGACGTCGAGTTAAAAGTCGTTTGCTTGCGTACCTACGTCCCATTCGTGTTTCAACCGGCAAGCAGTTGTGTTTGCATGGCTGTGTTTCGGTTTGAAGGGTGGAATATGGCGTGAATTTACAGGGTACAGAGGAACACCTGAGTCCTTAGGACAGAGGTGCCCAAGCAAACGACTTTTGTACAAAGTCTCCCTCTGGTAATCGCTCTCCTTTTGGTACCGTGTAGAAGTCGACCTGATAGGGTATACTGCCATCAATGAGGCCCCTTCCTCTCTGATCCAGGTCGCTGTCGCGGCGGCAGGTGATGTACGCGAACACGCTATTCATGTGCGTGTGCTTCGAGCCGCGCGGCTGCCAGCTGCTGTCGGGCGGCACCGACCGCCGCGTCGCGTACTGGGAGGCGGGTAGCGGCAACCTCGCCAGGGAGGTATGACCACTTCCAATTGTCTTACTATTAATGTAAACTAACTTTTGTCCCCTTTTTTTGTACAACTTAGAATGGCAAACAAGCTGATGGCCCATCTGATGGAAAGTGGTAACCGTCGCCCATAGACATGAGCAGTACCATGGACATAACAGAGTATACAGTTTCGCCCATGATACCCCCCATGCGTTGCCATTCCTGAGGACTCAGGTGTTATTTCTCTGTACCCAGTAAATTCACGCCTTATCCCACCCTTCAAACCGAAACACAGCCATGCAAACACAACTGCTTTACGGTTGAAACACGAATGAGACAGAGGTACCAAAGCAATCGACTTTTGTATAAAGTCTCCCTCTGGTACGTTTTTATTTATTTAATGGATAGAGTTGCCAACTCTCGAAAGGGGGGGGGGGGACGGGATTGTTAGAAATGGGGATTGGCATCCTCATTGCTAACAATAAACCCTATCCAACCATCGTGCTTGATTTATTGTTGAATTTGTCACGATGGGCTAACTGACCTGCTTCATCCTCGCCTATCATTACTTACTGGTGCCCCGCCAATGTTTACTGATAGCGCCGACGGGGTTACCATACTATTATGTGTGTTATGGGAAAAGGATTGCTTATTCTCTGCTGGGATCTACACGGAATTTTATCTTATTTGATGTTAATATTTTTAATTGCAGGTAGAAGCTAGTAAAGTGGGTGCCATCAATGGCCTTCATATATCGCACAACGGCGAACTCTTCGTCACCGGCGGCAACGATCAGATGGTCAAGGTATGGCATAGATTGGAACTTAGGATTAGAATAATTGCATCAACCCTTCTTTGCATGATTTTTTTTTATTGGTGAAATCAGTCATATAATTCACGTTTAAAATTAAAGGAAAAATGGTTAAAACAATAAATTTGATAGCCATGTTTTTTTTTCTGCAATGGACATTAAAAAATTATCCAGACACGATCAACTTAAAGTGAACTTCGTCTTTTATATAAGTTTTAGGCATTCAGTGTTATGATGGAAATTTCCACCATTATTATTTTTAGGGTCGGCAACGCGCGCGTAATACCTCTGGTATTGCAGGCGTTCATAGGCTACGGTAACCACTTACCATCAGGTGGGCCGTATGCTTGTTTGCCACCTCAGTGGTATAAAAAAAAAATTCCACCAGTATGCAAAGAAAAGTTAAATTAGGGTCGATAAAAAGATGGATAGATAAACTCTTTATTTGCATCAAGAGAGATATACAAAAATTGTGACAATAATAATAGAAAAAATAAACAGCGTTTAAGAAAAAGGCGATATGCACAAAAAATTTTACGTAACATAATATGTAATATTTTCTTTGGGGTTTTTTAATGGGTGATAATGGAATGGCAACCCCACCCGCGCTATCGGTATACACCGGCGGGGCACCAGTGAAGGATGATAGGTAAGGATGAAGCAGGTCAGTTAGCCCATCGTGACGAATTCAACAAGAATTGTTCACGATAGTTTCCAGGGGGAATCACGTGGAGGTCCACCTAATAAGGCATATTGCTAGCAATGGTGCTGTCAGGCTCCATTGTTAACAATCCCTTTCGCCCTGACAGGCGGGTTGGCAACAGCAGCAGATGTTTTAAGAGATTTTTAGAGACCTCTGTCTTGATACGCTACTTAGAAATCGTATATTTCATGGGTGTTCCTACTTGGGAAATCCTCGCGTACAAACCTGCTACAGGTTTTTTTTTATGAGTGAAAATGGTATGGTAACCCCGCCTGCGCTAATGGGATACGCTGGCGGAGCACCAGTGAAGGGTGATAGATGAGAATGAAAACAGGCCAGTTAGCCCATCATGATGAATTTATCAGGAATTAACCATGATAGTTTCCAAGGAGAACCGCGAGGAGGTCGACCTTGTTGGGTATATTGCTAGCAATGGGATTCTCAGTCTCCATTACTAACAATCCCATTCTCCCCTAACTGCTACGGGTTAAAAGATAGTGAAGAAAAAAATAAAAACTCCGTCCCATGTCGCAGCTGTGGCGGTACCAGGAGGGCATATATACTCACATGGGGCTGGGGCACGCGGGCGCGGTCACGTGCTGCAAGTTCAGCCCGGACGCGCGCCGCGTGGTCAGCTGCTGCGCCGCCGGCACCATCATCGTGTGGAACGTGCCAGAGGTGACTTGCACTTCACGCATATTTACCACTGGCTGTATACTACGGCCTTTTTGTATGCCACCTAGAATGGCAAACAAGCTAACGATCCACCTGATGGTAAGTGGCAACCGTCGCCTATAAACGTGAACAGTACCATGGACATAGCAGTGTGTACTCTGTCGCTCATGATATCCATCATACGTTGCCATTACTGAGGACTTAGGTGTTATGCCTCTGTATCCTGTAATTGTATTACCATATCAACCATACCACACCCTTCAATACCTTCTATTTTACGGCAAAAACACGAATGGGACAAAGGTACCCAAGCAAATGATTTTTATATAAAGTTTCCCTCTGAAAGTCTCCCTCTGGGTTTACTCGCGTAATTCAGTATAAAAAGTATGCAATTAATTTTACCAGAGGGAGACTTTGTACAACAGTCGATTGCTCGGGTACCTCTGTCCCATTTGTGTTTCAACCGTAAAGCAGTTGTGTTTGCATGGCTGTGTTTCAGTTTGAAGGGTTTGATATGGCGTGAATTTACAGGGTATAGAGCAATAACATTTGAGTCCTCAGGAATAGTAACGTATGGGGGGTATCATGGGCGAAACAGTATACTCTGTTATGTCCATGGTACTGCTCATGTGTATAGGCGACGGTTACCACTTGCCATCAGGTGGGCCGTCAGCTTGATTGCCGTTCTAAGTTGGTGAAAAAAAAAAGAATTAATTTGAAATATAACTTACCCATGTACATATTAAATTATTTTATATCACGAAAGTGGCACACAAGTGGCCTGTATGATGGTAAACGGTCACTGTAGCCTATGGACTTTATGAAGTACCCCATACTGTAGTTTCTAGGAAAAACCTCGGTAGGGAGCTCATTCCACAATCCATGCTTTCGTGTTAATCTTTTAAATTACTCATCCATTGTAGACACATTAGATTTGTTTTTCGTCGGTGTATTTTATACCGTCCTCCATACTTTTATATTTCTAAAATACAAAATATTTGATGAAATATAAAGAAGTCGAGTGCTACGTTAAAAAAAAACAATAACTGTCAAATAATGTCAAAAACACTTTTTTTACAGCAATACCTGCAAAAAGAACAACCACAATCGGATCGCAACGGTCGACCTGTGACCACCAAAACACTACAGGAAGAATTACGACTGCCGTTAGAAGATAAAACAACACAAAAGGCTTCCGGTGACCGCCAGCATAAGTTGCCCGCCGCGCCATCTAAGGTGCGTTTCACATAACTTAGCCGTTCAAATTAAGATAAATATGCTGTTGATGCCAAAAATGCAATCAGTAAAATTTTTGTCTGTCTGTCAGTTCGTTATAGAAACAAATACTACTCGACGGATTTCAACGAAACTTTGTAGAATTATTTTTCATCTGGGCAGGTTATAGTATACTTTTCATCACGCTACGATCAATAGGAGCAGAGCAGTGAAGAGAAAAGTTGGGTAAACGGGAGAAGTTACTCCATTTTTAAGCTTCCGTAGCGTGTGCAGCCTTAATGGCCACTTTTTAAAATGTAAAAATGTTCTCCTCTGGGACGGGCCGCTAGTCTTTAATAATCTTTTTCCTCTCGAGGGGAAAGGGTTGTTCGTAATGCGGACTACCAGTCCTATTGCTAGCAATATACGCTATCAGGTCGACCTCCACTAGGTTCTTCCTGGAAACCATCGTGCTGCATTCCAGGCGTGTTCATCACGATGAGCTACCTGAACTGTCTTTTCATCCTTACCTATCATCTCTCACTGGTGCCCCGCCAGCGTATACCGTTAGCGTAGGCGGGATTACCATTCCATTACCATATATTAAAAAAAAATCCTTTCCTCTCTAATAATCGGTATAACTTTTTTTTTTAATAATACAGGTGGAAAAAATAGAAGCAATGGATACGAGTCGCAGCAGCGTACACTCGTGCTGCCCGTGCGAGGCGTCCGCGCGCTCCAACAGAAGTGGATCGGACAAATCAAATAAACCGTCGCCGAAGACCAGCGCGGGCAGCAAGTGCTGTAGATCGCCAGGTAACTTGACCAGTGTCTTACATAAATTGGAGTTAGTTTTAAAGAAAACGGGATATTCATAAAATGGCAAACAAGCTGACGGCCCACCTGATGGAAAGTGGTAACCGTCGCCTATAGACATGAGCAGTACCATGGACATAACAGAGTGTACTGTTTCGCCCATGATACCCCCCATGCGTTGCCATTCCTGAGGACTCAGATGTTATTCCTCTGTACCTAGTAAATTCAAGCCATATTCCACCCTTCAAACCATGTAGACACAACTGCTTTACGGTTGAAACACGAATGGGACAGAGGTACCCAAGCAATAGACTTTTGTACAGTCTCCCTCTAGATCCAATGTAAAGTACCTCGCCTGTAGTTATAGACTGTTTTTTTCTGCACAGATAACCTGCCCACCCGGACAACGAGCAAGGAGTACGTCAATAGTGGAGGCGGATATAAAAAATAAGTCACCGAAAAAAAACAATGTGTTCAATATACATGTATTTATGAATAATTTAATATATCAATGACTTTAATATTAAATAAAATTGTTTTACATATTTATTTATTTATTCTTTATTGTACACAAACAATTACAACATATAATATATATAAAATAAAGACGTACAACAGGCGAGCATAACTCTGTAAGAGTTCTCTTCCAGCAAACCCTAAGTGGAAAGGAGCATTAATTACCAGCGGGCAGTGTGCGTACAATAATAGTAGGAAACATTATAGTTGTTCCTATTAAAAAATAATAAATATGTTGACATACATACAAAGTAACTCATACAATTAAAATCAAAATAAATACATATCTGTATACAATAATACATATACATATATACATAAACATAAAATATCTCTTTACATACAAAATACGTACATATACATACATAAACATAATAAGTTTATGAGAATGTGTGGACTAAGAACTGTTACACATTAGAATGGATTACCAGAGGGAGACTTTGTACAAAAGTCATTTGCTTGAGCACCTCTGTCCCATTCGTGTTTCTACCGTGAAGCAGTTGTTGCGTGGCTGTGTTTCGATTTGAAGGGTGGGATTAAGCAGTGAATTTGCCGAGTACAGAGGAATAATACCTGAGTACTCAGGAACGGTGGAGGATTGGGCAGTAGCGTCCTTTTTCAAACATCACGAAAAGCCAAACTACGGTTGCCAAAGATGACAACTACTGGCAAAATCCCCTTATGGGATAAGCTAAATTCTGCAGTGGTCAATTAACGGCTGATACATACATCTAGATTTCAAAATACTCAGTAACTTTACTACCATAATACTTTCTAAAGGAAACGGCAAGCAAACTGTTGGAAGCCCAAAGACATTTCTTCTAATTGGTTCCACCAAATAAAAGATGTTATAAATAAAAAATAATTTATTACTTACAGATATTAATTTACAAAATGGTTCAAATTGCAAATCATTGTTTTACCCTGTTATATATACAAATAGTACATTTATAAAGTTCTAATAATACAGACCCTAAAGAGACGCAGTGGCGTGAACTATACCGTCAGAGGTCTGTAGTGAACTCATCGGATGTGGCTTTTACCTAAACAGCTTAATGTTTTAATTTTATATTAATATTTTTATTATTTCAGCCGTTAAATGCCCACTGCTGGACATAAGCCTTCCCCATAAGGGGAGTTTTGCTAGTAGTTGCCACGCTAAGCAGGCGGGTTGGCAACCGCAATTAGGCTTTTAGAGATGTTTTATGAGGGACTCTATGCCGACATGACGATTATATTGGTATATCCCTAAGTTACTATTTATATTTACCAACACTATTCCGTCCTGTCCTGTCTGTGTTCCCGGCATAGAGTAGGCCACCCCTTCCTTTCTCAGCGTATCCCGTTAGCGCAGGCGGGGTTACCATTCTATTTTCACCCCTTCCTATCCCGTGAGTGCCGTGAGTCGACTAAGGGAGGGCAAGTGATGGACAGCAGCGTCCCTCTTAAAACATCTCTAAAAGCCTAACTGCGGTTTGCCAACCCGTCTGCCAAGTGTGACAGCTACTGGCAACTCCCCCTATGGGGATGTCCAGCAGTGGACAGTTAACGGCTGAAATGATGATTATAATTAATGTGTCTATTTTTTGGATTTATTTGAAAACACTTTGTTGAAATTTTAATAAGTTATTTATATAATTCATGTAATAAATTAATTAATAACAATTTTTTTTATACAAAATCATGCAATAATTGTTAGATTCTTCCTGTACTCACGGCTATTTGAACCAAGGGCCCTCTCAGGCTCGTGGCATATTGGCTGCCCTCTCACCCTAATGTTACGCCACTGGTCAACCATAAGTCTATTAATTATTACTTTAAAAAGTACTACAACGGCAGGTAACTAATTACAATAGCAGAACGCTAAATATTATTCTCATAGGATCATTTTTATAAAGCTTGTACTTTATTTGCAAAGCTATTTTATATTGACACATGATTACAAAATAATTAAAGCCAATTGTAGTTTTAAAAAATTGAATGGAATCGTTATTACTAGATGGCGCTAGTATATATACCACTGATGATGAGGAGATAAATTGATAAGCCCACGTGATGGTAAACGATTACCGTAGCCAATGAACGCCTGCAATATCAGGGGCATTACGCACGTGTTGCCGACCCCAAAACCTCTTTATCCCCTTTTTAAAAAAAAAAACCCATGCTTTAATCTCTTTAAAAAACCTCGACAGGGAGCTTATTTCATAACCTGTGTAAATTCTTAAAAGAAAACATCACAAAAACCTCGCTTTACACAATCATCTAGGCTCTAAGGCCCCATACCTTCCTCTTTCCTTCCAGGGAAGTGAACTCCCTGTCGATAGTAAGCTGCGTGATATAGATATATATGTATAATAAATGTATATGATAAACATAGATGTATAATGTGAAACAATAAATAAAATAATGATAAATTACATGCATACAACTAATACAGAGCTTGTACAGATTAACTGTTCTTATTTTGAATACACAGTCTTAACACAATGAAAAATCTTCACAGGTAAACGGTACCTATGTACCTGCTTCTTTATTGCCAACGTTTCGACGTGGAATGCACCACGTCGTGGTCACGACACGAAACAGGTATGCAGGTACTATTAAGCTGTAAAAATTATACATTGTGTTAAGTCCCGATTGTGTATTTAAAATATGTGTAAACAATATGAAAGTTTAAAATTAACAGTTCTTAGCTATATTTCGTAAAAGTTAACAAAGCAATAACTAACCTATAAGTAAGTCTTCATAATGAAACCACATATATTATTATATCTTATAGTCAATACAGAATGACTAGGGAAATTATTTATTTCTTATTTAAAATTAAATATACAGTATATAAAGATCTTTTTTTTTAATCAGTTTACTATTTTTTTTTTGTAATTTAGTAAATTGTTATAAACAAAAATCTTTAAATAATCAATTTAAAACTTACACACTTTATTGTTCTGTATAAAAATCACATAACCTATTGGAATGAGACGAGTCAGCCCCACGCCTGACTTTTACAATAATGTAACACTAATTTATTGTCTGTCCCGAAACATTCATACAAATTTTTCACTGTCTGGTCTGGTGATGGCGCAAATGTTTGATTCACATAGAGAAACTGAAAAAGAATAAAACTCATATCTATATATATATATATATATATATATATATATATATATATATATATATATATATATATATATATATATATATATATATATATATATATATATATATATATATATATATATATATATATATATATATATATATATATATATATATATATATATATAAAACAAATATCATTTAGTGATAAAAGTGGAGAAGAAAAACTCGAAAGAAAAGCAAACCTTAGCTGGAAAAAATTCTGGTCATTAACTGAAATTTTAAAAGGGGATTTCCCTTATATTTAAAAAAGAATGGATATGGATACCACCATTTTACCAACCCTGACCTATGGATGGGGGTGGGGTGTTTTTTTTAATGGATGATAATGTAATGGTAATCCTGCCTGGCAGGCAGTATATGCTGACAAGGTACCAGTGAGGAATGATAGGTGAGGATGAAAAAGCAAGTCAGTTAGCCCATCATGATGAATACACGTGGAATTCAGCACGATAGTTTCCAGAGGGGACCACATATAGGTTGACTTGGTTGGGTATATTGCCAGCAATGGGACTAGTAGTCCGCATTATTAACAACTTCTTTCCTCCCACTCCCAGAGGAGGTAGGTTAACTACCACTTCTGAGCTATAGTCCGATTTATCTTATTTTGTAAAAAATAAATTACTAAATTTAAAAAATTGAAAACTCTTGTTTAAGAGACCAATAAAATGACTATTATTATAATCACTATGACTTCAAAATTACACATAACCTACCAGTTTCTCATCCGGATCCAATTTTAAGTATTTCTTAACAAACTCCATGATCCATCCTATCTGTTTCTCTGCATCCACTGCCCATTTCTTCTTTTTCATAATTGGTGCATTGCCTGTTGCTTTTAGTAATATGTCAACTGAAAATTAATAAAATATATTATTAGTTTTTATGTTATGATGAGACATTAGAGGGGTTAAAAAACTGTTTCACATGAATCCTTATACCATTCACATTCATACTGTAATTTGTATAAAGCAAATAATGTTTTAACCCCAAGATCTTCATTGTAACATTTATATGTCATCACTTAGGTTCATGTCTTTATATTTTAATTAAATTGTAACAGGATACTTGTAGAAACTAATTATATATGCAATAGTAGAAAGACAGAGGTACAATAGAAAATTTTAATACTATGTTCCATGTTCAAATATAACAGTGACTGGTGTTAATTGACTTGTCCTAAACCCACACTCAGTATTGGGAATTATAATTGTTTCAAATGGAATATTTGTTTGTTCTTTTGCATAGTTTAAAACCATGTACAGGTAATATATAAAGAATGTAAAAATATTCCAAAAATTCGCATTTTCCTGCTTGCATTGCAACTACGCCTAATCACTATAAATTAATATATGTATTCATCTTATTAAACAATTTATAAAACTAATTTATTAGTGTCAAATAGTACAAAATTTACTTTTAACTTTGTCTGTTTTTCCAGTTTCGCCATTATCTTTCTGATCACAATCTTGTTTAACATTTTCAGGTCCAACAGATAATTCTTCAGATGTTTTTTCATCCCCCATTTAAGTAATTAACTTTATTATTTGTCTGTATTAACTTATTATTTGAAAATAAAATAATAATGTTTTAACGCAAATAATGGTAGTATAACTAGTAATAAAAATTTCAATAATCACAGAGTACTAGAGTAATAGTACAACTTCTACTTGATTATTTGTAATTGTGATCTATCAGTCAATCAATTCACTTTAGTCTGGATCTGGAATTCTGCATCTGTGGCATTATAATAATTAAAAGGTAATTAATACCATTATTTTTTGTTGATGGGTGAAAATGGAATGGGAACCCCGCCTGCGCTAACGGGATACGCTGGCGGAGCACCAGTGAAGGGTGATAGATGAGAATGAAAACAGGCCAGTTATCCAATCATAATGAATTCATCAGGAATTAACCATGATAGTTTACAGGGGGAACCGCGAGAAGGTCAACCTGGTTGGGTATATTGCTAGTAATGGGCCATTTGACCTCATTACTAACAATCTCTTTCCCCCAATGGACACCCTTGCCACGGAACACTCAGAATGACAGATATTAGGAACTATGTCGGAACCTAAAAATAAGGTTGGGACCAGCTGGGACAAGATTACTACTACTACATATCGCTTGTTATCGTGTAGCTCCATATCGCTTATTATAATATAATTATCATAATGTAAAACTAGTTTAATTCTATTAATAAAAGTTACAATATAAAATTTCTATATCTAACTATAATTAAAATTATTGCCCAGTTCGAAGTGTGAACCAGGAGTGCATTTTCAAGTCAGCTGCAGCGTCAGCAAATACTTAGTTAGGTATTTACGTAATTTACACGAGTTTTGGATTCGATAGTGGCTCGCTATTTAATTAGCTATTCAGGCTCGTTTGAATAACAAACGTACTGCTGTATGATTGAATATAAACAATTGCTCTAGTAGGTATATGACCCATCTGTTAGTGGACATGAAGTCTACTAATAGGGGTAACTCACATACGATAATAAAACCGCTATTAAAATTCTCCTTTTTTAATTTGAGTATTTTTTTTTATATTAGATAATTCAAAAAGTAGGCTATAAATAGGTGATGATAACAATATATATTATTTAATTTATTTAACTCTCTTATGGCAACCCTCACACATTTGTTGGCACATCAAAAGAGCTTTTTTTCTAGGTATAATATTTGTTCTATCTATACCCTTATCGCATGCTATGATTCCTGTGATCCCTCTCTTAAATCACGTCATCACACAACTATTTCCCGCGTTTATCGTAACTGCATATTTGTCTGTATTTCTGACAAGCACAGATCTTTATACTATTTAATCTTATTTTTTTATCAATTATCAAGGTTATGATTTTACTTTCATTCAACATTTTGTATTTGACGTCTCGTTATCCTTGTAGCTATTTCGGTTTTGAACAAGTGTCATTAAAAAGTGAAATGATATTGTGCATTATTATTTATGATTTGTTAAAAAGTGCATTGTTCTCGCCATTTGTTCGCGCCATCTGTAATGTCTTTTTATAACAAAGTAAGTACATGTTTGTTGCAAATTGTTGTTTGCATAATTTTGACAAGTGCAGTTTTTTGTGCAATATCTAGGTAAGTAGTAAATTCTTATTTAGATTTTTCTAAAATTATTTAAGTCTAAGTAATTAGTGTTACCAATCTTTACTAATATTATGATTGTGAAAGTGAGTTTGTTGGTTTATTACATTATAGCAACTTAACGGCTTACCTAATTACTATGAAATTTGGTATACACTTACTATATAGGATAGAGATAGTTATAAGGTTTTTTTTATCCCTGTCAGTAAGTAGTCGTGGATAAAAGATAATATAAATAAATGTATTCTCAATACTAGCTTGTTTTTAACCTTGATTTAAGGTAAGAAAGAAAGTTATTACAAGCCTCTTTTTATTCCTTATTTCCTTAGGTATCTGTTTATAAAAAAAATGGTCATTAAACACCAACAGCCTTCCATGTTGTGGCACAGTAGGTATTTAAATGAATGCCATCTTTGTTATTCCTATCCACTATCATTCTCAGAAATTTAATTTTTTGCTTTAATTTGATATCTTCCCTTATTATCAAACTTAAATTAATTATTTATGCGCCTAAGTATTTAAAAATAATTTGTTTAATATAAAAGATTGAGTTTCATAAATAGTTGATTTAAATGGTGGCCAGTTATTTTGATTATTAAATTACTGGACTAATATTCATATAATTTCTATGAGACCAATCTGTAAGTATATCCTTTCTAATTGAAAAGATATTTCCAAATTGGTTTAGAACTGATAAAGTTATGAGGTAAAAAAAATTAAAAAAGAAATTGAATTCAGAATTTACTTCTTTTTGAAGTCAGTTAAAATAAAGTCATAACAGAATTTGTATGGATGTAACATGAGAATAAAGTTTTTTTGGGGGGTATCATCAAGCTATCAAGCTGACGGCCCACCTGATGGAAAGTGGTAACCATCGCCTATAGACATGAGCAGTACCATGGACATAACAGAGTATACTGTTTTGTCCATGATACTCCCCATGCATTGCCATTCCTGAGGACTCAGATGTTATTCCTCTGTACCCTGTAAATTCACGCCATTCATTCATATCTGCTGGACATAGGCCTCCCCTATAAGGGGGGTTATGCCAGTACTTTACGCTTTATATCTAATGTTAATTTATTGCTTAGGTATCTATAAAAAACATGTATTAAAAAAAGTTAGTTGCGGACATTAGCGGTTTCTGTAGTTGTTGGGAAATAATGCTAAATGTCAGGTTCAGAGGACTATTAGTGCTATCGCGGTTTTAAATGTTGATAATTTCAATAGGTATAATGTTTTATATCTTTTATGCACACATTTTATGGTAAAAATGTAACCTACGAAATACACACTACCCTTATTTCTGTAATGGTATATAATGAGTTAAGAAGATTTATATACTAGTCTATATTCATCTATAATTTCACCAGTCTATTTTTTGATTAGAAATCGGCTTATATTTGTTGTATTACTCATGTTTAATATAATGTTATCATTTTAAAATGCATTTCCGAACGCAATGCTGCAATATCCTACCCTCCTTTCTTATCCATTTAATGTGATCTCAAATTTGATCGTTCCCGATGAAATCTGAGATCATATTAGCTGACATATGGCTACAAAATCAGTCTGTAGTCTAACTGCCCGTCAAGCAGATAATGTTCTGCTAAGATCACAAATAAATCTCTGTCAGTCACGTAAAAAAAAGGATTCAGTATGCTTTGTAAACTCATCAGCAAATAGACTAATAAAAAATTTAAACAGACCTTATTACAACTACACCTAAAGTATATTGTCAAATGCTATTGCCGCTGTATAAGTGGTTTGAGAGTCTGTATTCCCGGTATATTAACGGAACGTATGCCCCGCGAATAAAGAACTTTTACTGTATATATTTCATAAATTATTGTAATCTAAATAGGTATTCATGTTTTGTTTCAGTAAGTGTAACGTCATATCACAAACATGAGTTCCGCCCAGGCCTGGTATACAATGCAGGACGTATTGGAGGATCTGTCTGTGATGGGACAGACGACTGACTTGGACGCCAGTTTCATTGTGAAAGGAGAGAGGCCCCCGCCAACTTATACTAGCGTAGAGGATGGTAGGCATAGATAATTATTAAAAAAATACAATATACACTTTTCACAATTGAGGCCTATAACATCAAAGGCAGTTAAACGCCATAAAATCGGTTTCATTTTCAATCTGTACTCAAATATTTCTCTTAGTTAACCCTTTGCACTCGAGCGGCGCCGATACGGCGCCCGGCCGATTCGAAGTGGCAACTCAAGCGGCGCTACTGCGGCGCCCGAGTGTTTTTTCTTTAAATCGAACTACGCTGCTACGACGCTATGGTTTTTTGTAACTTGATCTCCTTATTTACAATATGCGATAAGATAGTTTTCTGGGAAGGCCGAAATCGTCTCGAAAGGGTTACAAATTCTATTAATTAAAATCTAAATTATTACCTATATTCTAATTTTCTTCATTCTGGTTTAAAATATAGAATATCGTTCCATATCCTTGACAAAATATTAGTTTTTGTAGTTTCCTGAGACATTTGACAGACTTGGATATAGCTGTCTTTGAATTTATAGTCCTCAATTTAAGTCGGTTTCTTTGGAACATCTTTAATTATTGCGATATATCATGACCAATTTTATTAACTTTGCGTTTTCTTTTATAGATGATGAGTTTCAACTTCTATTTAACGGGGCAATATCTAACGATGTGCCCAATGACAGTGTGGAACCAGATTTGAAGGGCATTGCGGATTTATTACGTATGGTGAGTGTTATTGTTTGTAAGTTGTTCTGAATACTTGCGATATTTTTCGCTATATTCGCATCTGAAGATTCGGTAAAATTATTTCGTATATAGTTTGAGATAGAATAAACATAATTTGTATCACTTTCAATCAATAAGAGACTTAAGTCGCATCTGGTACACGAGAATTTACTCATTGCGGAGAGATAAGTAATTAACAATTGTTTAATGACAAATGCTTATGAAGAACTGTAATATTTCATATGCAAATGCATTATTTTATACTTAATAATGATCATAGACGTGTGCAAAATTACTTGATAAAAAATATTTATCATTATGCGGTTATGCGGTAAAGAATAGGTCTGTGTGGGAATGGGAACTAAATATTGTGTGAAATACTTGATAAAAGTAACGTAAAAGATAAAATATGAAGTAATAATTGAGCCAAAAGTATTTTTTGAGTGTCCAGACAGAATCGCAAATAAAGAAAAAAGTCTTAATATACGTACTTAGAAAAAAAATCTCACCATGATATTTTACTAGATTTAAATATATTACGCAGTGAAACTGTAAAAAAAAAATGTTATGCCATCAAATTACATTATATTTCCTAATAAATAAAACCAAAGTCAGAACTTCGGCAAGCTTCGGCAACTGTCAAATCTCCAACTGAAAGTTTGGGAAAAGAAAATAGTAGATCTTTGGTTAAGTAATATTGTACTAAACTAAATATATTTTTATTTTATAGTAAAGTACACATTCTAAGCATTCTAAAATAGTATCACACTATATGACTTCTATTGTTTTTTATACTGTAAAATTATACCAAACGAATAGAAGTTACATAATTATTTTTGTATTTTCTTTTTTCATTCCTTGACTTTAATTGCTCTGTTCTATTAAGTATGAATAGTCAGAGATTTAAATCATATTTATAATAATAGAGTAATTCTTTAGCTACAATTTGAGGTATTATACATTCATATCCACGGAGTTTTAGAAAAAGTTTTTATGAGATGGCTTTCTTAGGCGAGTTCCCACTGTGCGGTGCCAGCCGACGCGCCTCCCGACTCTAGGGGGCAGCGGCATCGCACACTTAGACACGAGCAATACCTACTTACAGAGTTGATTTATGCATTCGTCAACAAAATATATTAATTTTTGAAAGAGGAGACTATTGCACTTTTATTGAAATCGGTTCTTTTTTGTGGGATGCAATCTTTAATTATATAACGGTGATCTCAAATATTACGTGTTATAATCGATTTAGCTGTTGACTTTAAGCAACTTAAAATAGCAAACAAGCTGATGGAAAGTGGTATCCGTCGCCTATAGACATGAACAGTACCATAGACATAACAGTGTATACTGTTTTGCCCATGATACCACTCTGGCGTTGCTATTGCTGAGGATTAAAGTGTTATACCTCTGTGCCCTGTAAATTCATTGCCATATCTCACTCTTCCAACCGAAACACAGCTATGTAAACACAACTGCTGAGATAACTAACATACTTTTCCACTTGTATTTTTTAGTAAGGATTGAGTATCGTGTTTATTACAAAAACAGGTCAAGAGAGTCGGTCCTGAAAAAAAGGAACTCGTTAAAATTAACGTAACACTTGAAGAGATGATATTTTGTCAAACCAACCTTTTTTTATGCAACTTAGAATGATAAATAAGCTGACCTGATATTAAGCTGCAACTGTCGCCTATAAACATGTTAAAAATAAAAATAATCCAGCTTTACTCTGTGTTTATTAATAGGAGGGATACAGTAATACCATGCACCTCTTTTTTTTCACTATTTTTCAAGAGACATCCGTTGGAACTATTTAAAAAATTTTATTGCTTAATTTATGGTTACTAAAAAATAGATGTGCTTTGGTTACATTTTTTTGTTTTGTATCAACTATACAGTGTTGAATATAGTTTTCCGCCATATGGGGGGATTTGCTAATAGTTGTCACGCTGGTAGGAGGGTTGACAACCGCAGTTTGGCTTTTAGTGATGTTTAAAGAGGGACGCTGCTGCCTATCCCTCGACCTTAGTCGCCTCTTACGACACCCACAGGAAAGGAAGGGGTGGCCTATTCTATACCGGGGGCTACCCGGCAATTTGGTTACATTATGTACACACAATTGCAATATAGCTCAATACTGTGTTATGTATTTATATAAAACGTATTTGATTTTATTTTAAATCTGTAATGTGTGCTAAATAAAAAAAAAATAAAAGTTGTCGAGACAGGGTTTTATCTTCAGTTCTCGGAATTGAGTCGCCTTCCTAAGTGGCATTGTGTGCGTTGTTCATATTTAAATCGTTTCACAAAATTATTGGTTTAAGTGTTTTTTTTTTTTTACGACTTAGAATGGCAAACAAGCTGACAGCCCACCTGATGTAAAATGGTAACCGTCGCCTATAGACATGAGCAGTACCATGTACATAACAGAGTATACTGTTTCGCCCATGATACTCCCCATGCGTTGCCATTCCTGAGGACTCAGGTGTTATTCCTCTGTACCCAGTATATTCACGCCATATCCCACCTTTCAAACCGAAACACAGCCATGCAAACACAACTGCTTCACGGTTGAAACACGAATGAGACAGAGGTACCCAAGCAATCGACTTTTGTACAAAGTCTCCCTCTGGTCTGGTTTTATTTCATCAATAAGTTAGATCAGTGTTTTCTAACGTTTAGATCACCACCCTCTTCTACACGAAGCCTCTATCCCCTATAGAGGCTTTACGACCTGCGAAAACTACCTCAGTAAAAAAAAAAGTTTTAAAGATAGATATTACGTGGCGAATGATAAGAATTGCTTTTTGAAAACTAGTTTTATTAATTACATATAAAAAATACAATTACATAGTTACAATGTTGAATTCGGAAATGGTACTGAACTGAGGATGAAGGGAGGTAGTGTATAAAATTAAAACAAAGAAAGTAATTAATGCTGACAAAAAAAAAAACGTAAATTGTAATGATTATGAAATTTAATTATTGTTATGAAAGAGCGGTTTCTCCTAACACAAGCAATCTTTGCTTAACAGGAAATTTATTTCTTTATACAAAGATAGTTACATTACAGGCAAACCCTGTAATGTAACTAACTACCTTTGTATAAAGAAATAAATTTATTATTATTATTAGTGTTTACATGAAGTGGGTTTATTGGGGAGGGATTCTCAGGATTTTTTTAACTATTGAGCATTTTTTTTTGACGGGTGAAAATGGCATGGTAACCCCGCCTGCGCCAACGGGATACGCTGGCGGAGCACTAGTGAAGGGTGATAGATGAGAATGAAAACTAATGAGCATTGTGCTCACAAATACAGATAGACATTACAAATATAGTAAAACATTACTTCTCGACTAATAGTACCGTAACAGGGGGGGAAAGGTATTGTTAGTAATGGAGACTGAGAATCCCATTGTTAGCAATATACCCAACCAGGTACACCTCCTCGCGGTTCCCTCTGGAAACTATCATGGTTAATTCCCGATGAATTCATCATGACGGGCTAACTGGCCTGTTTTCATTCTCACCTATCACCCTTCACTGGTGCTCCGCCAGCGTATCCCGTTAGCGCAGGCGGGGTTGTCGTACCATTTTCACCCATCAAAAAAAAATAGTATCGTAACAAAGACTAATGATGTATGGTGTCATGACAATGATATTTACATGAAGTGCGGTTTATCGGAGAGGGGCTCTTAACGAAGACTTCTTAACTAAAGATAACATTGTGCTCACAGATACAGATAGACATTACAAATAGGGTTGCCATCTTTTTTTTTTGGAATTAAAATACATTGGTTACATAAGTACAATTTATTTTTCTTTATTATTATGTTTAAAAACATATTTTATTGCTTTTTGCAGTTTGTATCAAATTTATATCTCTATTAAACAATTGCACAGCATCTTTACAGTCTATATTTAAAGTAAAGTAAATAAGTAATTCAATTTTGGTTAAATTCAGAGACGTCTCGCCATTTGCTATTCATCACAGAAAAAACTCTGTGAGTGCTGACGTGGCGGGAATTAACAATAAATCGATATAATTCGTTTAATGAGAAAATACTTACAACTAAACTTTACGAAATCTCAAAGAAATCAAATCTTGCGAAATAAAGTATTTTCGTGAACTTTATTATTCTTATAAAGTATAGAGTACAATTACCTGAAATAACGTACAATATTTTTTATTATAAAGTACGGGTGGCAACCCTAATTACAAATATAGATAAACATCCCTTAATAGTATCGTAGCAAAGACTTATTAGTCACTAGCGTCCCGTCCCGGCGTCGCACGGGTGGACATTTTTACATTTTAAAAAGTGGCCATTAAGGCTGCACACGCGACGGAAGCCTAAAAATGGAGTAACTTCTCCCGTTTTCCCAACATTTCCCTTCACTGCTCTGCTGCTATTGATCGTAGCGTGATGAAAAGTATACCATAACCTGCCCAGGGATATGAAGAATAATTGTACCAAGTTTCGTTAAAATCCGTCTAGTAGTTTTTGTTTCTATAACGAACATACAGACGGACAGACAAAAATTTTACTGATTGCATTTTTGGCATCAGTATCGATCATTAATCACCCCCTGATAGTTATTTTGGAAATATATTTCATGTACAGAATTGACCTCTCTACAGATTTATTATAAGTATAGAAGATAATAGTCATAACATAACATATATACTATTATATGCACTTAATTCTGTATTTATTGTATCCTAAACCTAATTATGCAAATCCATAAAAATATTGTATGGATTGAAGTACTCAGTCCCTACAACATCTTTGTAACATTATAAAATACATGAAAAACAAAGCGAAGGGTCGGTGGTCGCGAAATATTTTAAAAGATTAAAAAAAAATACTGAGTTAGATGATCAGAGGGACATTTTGTACAAGTGGATTGCTTGGGTAACTCTGTCCCATTCGTGTTTCAACCGTGAAGCAGTTGTGTTACAAACACGTGGCGTGAATTTACTGGGTACAGAGGAATAACACCTGAGTCCTCAGGAATGGCAACGCATGGGGGGTATCATGGGCGATACAGTATACTCTGTTATGTCCATAGTACTGCTCATGTCTATAGGCTACGGTTACCACTTTCCATCAGGTGGGCCGTCAGCTTGTTTGCCATTCTAAGTTGTATAAAAAAAATTGGATTTTTTGTCTTTCGCCAGCGACTTCAATAACCTGAGTTATGTATACATGTATGAATAATGCTTATGTATACTTATGTATACATGTATGAATAATATAGTAAAAGTAAAATTTCTTTTTCAGGTCGAACACGACGAGTCTAGTTCACGTGAATCTCCAGCTGACATATCAATTAGTAAATTGAATCCTAACATTAGCGAATTCGCACCTAAAGGTATAATTGTTCAGAGTTTTAATTTAATTATTGCAACAAATTATATCATGACCAATTTTATTTACCCTTTTTTATAGATGGAGAGTTTCAACCTCTCCCTAATGGGGCAGTATCTAATGATATACCCAATGGCAGCGTGAAGCCAGATTTGAAGGGCATCACGGATCTATTACGTATGGTGAGTGTTATTTTTTGTAAGTTACTATTACTGTACCTGGTTTCAGTTTAGTAGGGTTGTTGATAGTTCGGTTCCTTCTGTAAATATTTTGAAAGTGGGCTGAGTGGCCGTGCCCATCCCATGATGCAAAATAATCGTCGCAAAGCAATGTCTGAGAAAAACTGAGAATACGTACATACGCATCTTATATGGGGGCCTAGTCTCCCCCCCCCCCCCCTTAAAAAAGCTTAGTGGAAATATGAATAAACATTCTAAAATTTATTTCAGTTTTTTTTTTACAAATTAACATGTTTACATTTGTAATGATTGCTCCTTTCAATTGTTTTTAAAATGTATTTAATTGTTTTTGTATTTGATATCTCAGTTCTTAAGGAGGATTTTATGCTATTCAACATCACAATACAGTCACGGAATAACCCGCGGGATACAGCTAATATTCATGTATGAAAATCATTATTATTTCAGGTCGAGGACAACGAGTCTAGTTCACGGGATTCTCCAACTGATGTTATATCAATTAGTAAATTAAATCCTAATGTTAGGGAATTTGTACCTAATGGTATAATTGTTCAGAATAATACTAGTGAAAATAACAATAAAGTTAAAAGTGCAGTGAGTAATGTTAACAGATCATTGGCTGATGATGTAGGTGAGGAAGATTATACAAAAACACATAGTGAAGCAAGTAACGTTAATAAATCATTAAAAAACAATGTAAATAGCAGTTTGAAACATGACGTTAAAGCTCAAGCGAATGATTTTACCAAAATATTGGGCAACAAGATTGACTTATCAGAATTAAAACCTAAAGACATAAATGACGTAGCAGATAAATTAAGAGATAAAATTAGCGATTCGTCAAGAGCAGTTACTCCACAACAGAAAAAGGAGAGAAATGTCGCTATAACTGCTCTCTTGAAACTGTATTCAGCAAAACTTGATGATACGGCCCAGTCCAAAACGGACGATCATGAAAACGAGCCGTTGAAACTTGTGACGCCTGACTTCTTTGTTAAAAATGAAAAAAGTGAATACACCTGTAATAAAACATCTGAAGACGAAGAAGATTCATATGAAGAATCTATCCACAATGAAAATGTAAAAGAAAACATTACTAATGATCGTACCTCAACAGACTTCTGTGTACCTACATCTGTAGATTCTAGTGTGCAAGAGTCTATAGATAAAGTGAACACATGGTTCAATGATTCAAAATCTTCGCCGGTCAAACGACCGATAGTGTCATTCGAGCCACCTATATTTAAAAAGAAAGAACAAAGAAATATCCAGTCGCCAAAGCCTGATGCCGACCAGATGTGCAGTAAAGGAACTTCTAGCCATTCCGCTTTATATAAACCCTCAAAATACGCTGAAGATTTGTGTAAAATATATACTAAGCGAACTGAACAAAGAAATAACGAGTCTCAAAATATTTGGACCAAATTGGAAGCGCAGCTGAGAGCTAAAGACGAGAAATTAAAAAAGGAAAAAGTGGAGGAACAAAATGGTATATGAATGTGTATCATATTCGATAAACTTTTTTATTAAGTTAATGAAAATGTTTTAGCCTCTTGTGTTCTCTGATTTGTCTATGACGGAATGAAATTTGCACAGGATACTCAATAAGATACTATTTATTAATACTAGATTAAGATAACATAGGCAATGCTAGGCAGTGGTTAAATAGGAATTAATATTGTCTATATATATGGCGTCATGATCCCCTTGTCTTTTTCCATTTGTGGTCGGCGCAGTGTTTTTACTTCCACAAATCCCTGTCAACTGTCATTTCCGGGGTCACTCCGCTTTTATGCATATCTCTTTCATCTTTCAGACAGTCCATCTACCTTTTCCTCGGTTGTCCCCTTCCTTTACATCTATCCATTCTCATATTTAACATTTTCTATATACAATATAAAAAATGTTAAATATAAAAATGTAATATTTAGGGGATTGGAGCGCCATCTATTAAAAATTTACCTATTGTAATTTTGCTTAACGCTGTATGGAAAAAAAAAGTCTAATATTTAAAAAACAAATCCAGTTTTCCCTCACGCATTTATATTAAAGAAAATCATGCTAAGGAAGTGTTAGAAGTACGAAAACAGTTACAACTCAAAATGGATGAAGAAAGGAAAAAAGGAAGTTATATAATGGAAAAATTAATAGTAAAGAAACCAAAAGATACAAATAGAGAGAAAAGAAAACGTGAGAAGATGGGGTCTTCTATTACAGAAGTACAAAAAAGTTAAACATAAAAACTGCCTCGCTAGAAAAACTATTTGCTTCAAGCTCAAAAGAAATCAAACCAAATAAATTATTTAATTACGTAAGAGGAAGATAGGTATTAGTGTCAGAAACCCTAAAAAAAACTAGTCACCGATATGATAATCTAGAACCAAAGCAAAGAAAAATCTATAAATATATATAAACAAACATTTGAGAGAATCGCACCCCAAGCTGCCTTGTCACCGTGGCGGAATACGACTTCTACCCTCTAAGTATTCCAGTTAAAACACCATTACACAATAAAGAAAATAGGAAAAAGATAATGTCACAATATATATTGCAACAAATAACACCCCCTTATTGCGTACTAATGAAAGCTTAGTGGAATTGATGTCAGCATTGGAAAAAATAAACTGGACAATAGTTGGAATGAGTGAAGTTAAACGATTGGGCGAAAGTGTAGAGGACCACAAGCAATTTGTATTTTATAATAAAGGAAACACGCCAGGACAATATGGAGAAGGATTTTTGATAAGTAAAGAACTAAAAGACTTTACTAGATGAACTCATTGGTATATAAGAACGTATTGAAATAGTAAATTTAACTTGACTACACACCAATATGAAGTTGTCAATCATACATGTTTACTCGCCAACAGAGCAATACAACAGTACAGAAATCGACTCTTTCTACTTCATGCTTACAAATGCAATACGCAAATATAGGCATAAAAATTAACTTAATCGTGATATTTAATGTCAGAATTGGGAATAGAAAAGATGGGGAAGAACTGGTATTGGGGCCTTATTGTTCAGAAAAGGGAACTAGAAAGGCGAAAAACTGATTATTAGGTGGGCATGGATATCCCCTGATGATTATATAAAAACGAGATTGATTATATATTAACCAGTAGGAGTGGAGATTTTCAAGGCTGTAGGACCATAAAAAGTAATAAAAATCACAGAATGGTGAAAGCAAAATTAAGACTAAAAATAAATAAGTATAACAGAGAACACAGTGGACTATATTCATCATTATACTGTTGCACAAGAAAGGGGTCATGTAATATGAATAATTATAGACCCATAAGCATTATGTCGAACATATATAAAATCTTTATTAAAGTTATTTTAAACCGCATAATCAAACTATTAGATGAAAACCAACCAAGGGACCAAGCAGGTTTCACGAGTGGATATTTAACTTTAGACCATATATTTTTTTTACAACACGAGGCAAACGAGCATTCGGCTCACCTGATGGTAAGTGACCACCGTCGCCCATGATCACTCACAACACCAGCGGCATTGCACGTGTGCTGCCGGCCTTTTGAAAAAGGAATATACTCTTGAAGGTTATGTTGTCGTATCGGTTCGGAAATACTGCTGCTGGAAGTTGATTCTGAAGAATGGTTGTGCGTGGAAGAAAGTGCCTTGAAAAACGCACGGTGGAAGACCGCCACTCGTCCAGATGATTGGGATGAAACTAGTTTGTGGCGAGTTGTACGGTGGTGAAAATCAGCAGTAGGTATCAATCCGAACAATTCCTCAGAACACTCCCCATGATAAATTCGGTAGAAGATGCACAGAGATGCAACATCTCTGCGCAGTTTCAGTGGGTCAAGTCGGAGAGTTAGGCGTTGAATATCGATAATTCGAGCCGCTCGGCTTTGAATGCGGTCTAACGGAAGGAGTTGGTACTGTGGCGCTCTTGCCCACAGGTGAGAACAGTATTCCATATGCGGCCTGACTTGAGCTTTATATAATTTCAGGCGGTGTTCCGGCATGAAATACCGTCTCACCCTATTGAGCACTCCTAACTTTTTGGAAGCTATCTTAGCCCTCTCCTCCAGATGACCGCAAAACTGGACGTCGCAAAATATATCAACGCCCAGAATTTCTAGACTCGACTTTTTATCAAGGGAAGTGCCCTGAAAGTGAGGAGATACGACAAACGGCGTCTTTTTTGCGGTAAACGCGCAGACTTGTGTCTTTTTAGAGTTAAATTGGACAAGATTTTGTTTATCCCAGATCGAAACTTGATGGAGTGAAGTTTCGATTTCAGACACAAGTCTATTCCGGCACTCATCGGTATGTGCCCGCGAGATCTTTGCATGGCCGGTATATAATGCATCTCCTGTACTGTCGTCTGCATAGCAATGAATATTACTGATCTGTAACATATCATTGATATGCAGAAGAAACAGAGTCGGAGATAGTATACAGCCTTGCGGGACACCAGCATTCAAAGGTTTTAAATCAGAACATGCTCCGTCGACTACGACCTTAATGCTACGTTCCTTGAGAAAACTGGCATATTCATGTTGTCAAGCAACTTTTCGAACAAAGTAAAAAATACAATATCAGCTTTTACTGCTGCTGCGTAAGACAGACTTGAAGCTTTCGACACCCTCGAGCATGAAGTAATTTGGCGTGTACTTTAAAACCAGGGTATTGATAATGAAGAAGTCACAATATTAAAAAACATATATGCAAACAGTAAAGTATAAAAAAGTAAAGGTAAAACTAGAAAAAGAAGGGTACAAATTCAAAATAGAAAGGGGAGTAAGACAATGTGACCTCATATCACCTAAACTTTTCACTGCAGTTTTAGAAGAGGTCTTTTCTATTGTCTATAAGAAATGCTTAATGAATTAAGATAAAGAATGCCGAAAATTAGGCTTGGTTATGAACAAAGAGAAAACAATTATGACAAATGGAACAGAAAATGAAACGATCATCAAAGCAATTGACTATGTAGACGAGTATGTGTGTTTGTATCAAATAATTTCACCAAAAGACTTAACTACAAAAGAGATTGAAAAACGTATAGAATTTGCTTGAAAACGATTTTGGAGTTTAAAAGAAATAAAAGCAAAATGACAAACGGTCTTAAAAGGTACACTATTTGATACCTGTATTATACCAGTTCTTACATACGGTTGCCAAACCTGGGCCCTTACTAAATCTCACTTTCAACTACAAAATTGCCAGAATGCCATAAAAACTAAAGATGTTACAGCCATACTTCGCACCGGCGTCATTTCGGGTTGCGAGACTCGGCTCGCAGTGAGAGAGAGGGGAAACGCTGTGATGCAAAGCACCATACGCTCTCTTAAGACGTCTTTCAGATGAAATAGAAACAATTGTCGGAAACGATATACACTTTGTCTACGTATTCATCGCCGAAAGGTCACCAAGAAATATAAAACCACTATGCCAAATAAGTCATTTACATTAATGACTAATTTTAATAAAACATGAGTTTGCTTATATACAAGCACACTAATTTATTTAGAGCGCGTTCTAACTTTATTCAACGCCATCTAGTGGCACGCAGTCAAACTAACCTTGACGGAAATTATGTGATATTAAATTTACAAAATTCGCTTTATTAAAAAAATCCGTAAAGTTAAAAGTTTCAAGGAATTAAAGTATTTGTTAATATTTGTTTTGACACTAATTTGAAATGTTAATATATAACGAATTGGCAACCCCGCCTACGCTTTCGATATACGCTGATGGGCCACCATTGAAAGATGACGGTCAAGTATAAAATTATTGCTAAGACCTCTATTTTTGTTTTATAAGTGCAATTCTATTATTTATTGTTTTGCACATAAGAAATAAGTAAATGGTGACCTACGGAACTGAAACATGGTCCTACAAGGTTGACCGCATGCAGAATTATTATTCTTATAAAGTCTAAGAGAGGGTAAAGATGAATTAAAGCGACATCTGCTGCCTCCGTTTTCTCTTTAACGCAGCTGTTCTAAAAATTCCTAGGCCGTGCCTAATAGCGATAAAAATCTCTCGTCCAATATAACGACATCCTTTTTTCCCATCTCCCTCACTCTCTTTCCTTTCTCCCCTCTTTTCGTAGAGAGAAGAGAAGCCCTACTCCACTACCACCGATTCAAACAAGAAAAAGATCCCACGGCAACCTACACACAACACCTGTGTATGTGGGCTTAAAAACTAAGCGACTCGAAAACCATAGCCTCCAGAGAAAACACCGGGTTAATGGGGTTCGCCCTGACGCCTCCACCTCACCCACCGTACACCATCAAAGCGGGTAACCAGATGACCCGGAATGATTGTTTTAAAAAACATCGTGTAATGCATATACTGTACTGTCTAGTATACCATGCAGGGGGGAAAGGGATTATTAGTAATGGGGTCTAATTGACCCATTGCTAGCAATACACCCTATCAGGTCTACCTACACGTGATCACCCCTGGAAACCATTGTACTGAATTCCATGTATATTCATCACGATGAGCTAACTTATCTGCCTTTTCATTCTCACCTGTCATACTCCACTGGTGCCACGCCAACGTATACTGTTAGCGCAGGCGGGGTTACCATTTTATTATACTTATATTGAAATGGTAACCCCGTTATTTACTGATAAATGTATGCGTCGTGCAATAAAAATATTCTGTCATTTAACGTAAATGTATGTACATTAGATGTATAAGTTAAGCATTGTCTCTCGAATCTGGAAGGAACTGTACATGTGATGTGAAAATGTGTTTAGTTAAGATAACCAGAGGGAGACTTTGTACAAAAGTCGTTTGTTCGGGTACCTTTGTCTCATTCGTGTTTCAACCGTGAAGTAGTTGTGTTTGCATGACTGTGTTTCGGTTTGAAGGGAGGGATATGGCAGTGAATATTATACTGGATACAGAGGAATAACACCTGAGTCCTCAGGAATGGCAACGCATGGGGGGTATCATGGGCGAAACAGTACACTCTGTTATGTCCATGGTACTGCTTATGTCTATAGGTGACGGTTATCACTTTCCATCAGGTGCGCCGTCAGCTTGTTTGTCATTCAAGTTGCATAAAAAAAAGATGGTTGAGATATGTAATTAATTAAGACTTATACTTCTTGAAGATGCAAAATGAAACAGAAGTGACGTGATCGGGAAAATTAGATGTATATTTTTTAATAATTATACAAATGTAACTTTCAAGTAACTTGAATTTGGTCATGTTCACTACAAGGTCCTGAGTTGTAGTGGCGTAGTGGCTCGGGATTTTGAGCTCCCTAAAATATGGCTGAGCAAAATGATTGCTTGCTCACCCATCATATTTCAGACCTGGTGCTGCTTATTTTTTTTTAATACGACTTAGAATGGCAAACAAGCTGACGGCCCACCTGATGGGCCGTATATTTGAATAAAGAATATTCCTATTATAACGCTGGACGATTCCAAAGGCTATGGTAATATTCTAGTTAATAGGTATACAATGTGATAATGTAATTTTTAATATGTACATAAAGTAAGGGAGCTACTCACACTTATTCAGCTCCATTCGCATTTCGCTGAACGATTTTGGTCACATTTCAACAGCTCTGCTTCTATCAGCCGCGTACAGCGTCGTAAGAATGAGAAAAGCCGTCATAGCGTGCTTTCTCCGCTGAAACGCTTGTCTACTGCGTACGGTGTTGAATATGCTGCATTTCGTAAAAATAAAATAATTATAATTACTATAAAATACGTCTGTACTCATTAATCCTTGAGTACATAATGATTACGCAATAATAAATCAAATCAATGCAGAAACAATACAGGTCGCAACTTGTCGACAAGGAGTCGAGAAACATACCTGTAAAGAGCTGTTTCGCCGCGTTAGACGGTGAATGCGGCGGTGTTTCGCCGCGTTCGACGGTGAATGCGGCGGAACAACGCTGAACGCTCTCTATAGCATTCGCATGATAAATACACATTTATCCTCATTTTATACTGGATTGCCGCAAAAGCAGAATAGACGCGGAAAGCTAAATGGATGCGTACATGTCTCCATATAAAATCGTTGTTTTCTATGAACAAAAGCGGAATAGAGCTGAATAAGTGTGAGTAGTCCCTAAGTGTTCATTATTCTAGATGTCCATTTAGGTAATTCTCTCAATTCTATTATGAAGTTTTTCTAAAAAGACAGACATTTTGTTGTATGCTCAAGCGATATTCTCTATCTTTCAAATTTTGTATTTGATATTACATCAAATTCACAATTCTAAAGATCATTATGGATTTATAATAATATGGAATTCCTTAATACTATTATTCCGGCTTAATAATAGTATTAAGGAATTCCGGTTTATAGTGCATTACTGCAGCGGACAGCAACTGAGGCATTGATGGACGAACGTGCAAATGTGTTATGGCTTAAATGGGTTGGTGCATATGAAATTGCCGATTGCGTAACAATGTAAAACAGTGGGCGCGTATTACTGAACACGTTTTGACTTGTTCATTTTTGTTATTGTAAGCAAAGCATCCACACTTGATTAATATTTGAAACACCATCAGAGGATTCAGATGTAAGACGTGATTTACATTTTTCTTTCTTACCATGGATTCGAAAAAAATTAGAGGTAACATGTTTTATGAGTTCAGAGGTCGATTAAATGCATGAAACAGCAAAAAAAAATGGGGGATTAGGGGAGAATACATTTTCTGAAAGGACAGTGAGAAATTGGTTCCGAAAATTTCGTTCTGGAGTAGAGAATTCTGAAAATGAGCCTCGCGGTCGACCTTCGCGCTTCAAGTTCTTCAAGTTTTACAACAATTAGTGGAGTTCAGTGTACATATAATAATGCATAAGCACACGAGAACTTACACAAGAACTGGCTGTCCATCATACAACTGTTGTACGAGACCTCAGACAAATTGGTAAAGTAGAGAAGCTTGATCAGTGATATCAAAATAAGCAAAATCGTTTTATCAATACATCATCTCTATACCATCGACAAATAACTGAACCTTTTTTTGACCATACAGTGACATGCGATGAATAGTGGGTGCTTTATGATAACACACGACGATCTGCATCATGGTTAGATACATACTTAGATACACTCTTAGAAGTAATGATGTTTGGCCCCAAAACACAAACTTCACCCTCGAAAAGTTATGCTTACTATATGGTGGTCACAAAAAGGCGTTATCCATTATAACTTTTTGCCACAAGGTGAGATAATGAACGCCCAAAAGTATTGTGTCGAACTGCAAAAGGTGCATGGAAAATTAAAAGAGAAAAAGTCATAATTGGTTAACAAAAGTGGTGTAATCCTGCTTCATGACAACGCTGGACCACATGTTGCGCAAAGCGTTAATAAAAAAAAGTATAAGCTGGAATATGAAGTTTTATCGCGCCCACCATACTTGCCCGATGTTTCTCCAACAAGTTCCCATATGTTCAGAAGTTTTGACAGTTTTTTGAAAAACAAGAAATTTACATCTGATCAAGATATACAAAATGCCTTGTCTGAATTTGTTTGATTTAAAAAAAGATTGTTTTTTTTTTTATAATGGCGTAAATTCTTCGGTATATCGTTGGTTGTTATGTATTAAAGCCAATGGTAATTATTTTGTCAAGAATAAATATTTTTTAAATAAATTATTTTGTGCTTTTGATCTTCTGTTTAAATCGGCAATTTCATATGCACCAACCCCAATACTTTAATATATTTTGTAATATGAGCCATGTTACGTTATGACAAGTATTTATAATACCCAAATCAATTTGTTCCCCAGAGGAAAAGGCTAAGGTCAGAGACCATGCTGCTAAATCTTAAATGTTTAAACTTTATACAGAATTTTATATATTGTTTTTCAGATGTGATATAAAGTTGATAATATTTATTTATCTAAAATTTTTTTTATGTTGATTTTTTTATTATATCAAGTTCTAGCTGTTGTAAGGCTTGCAGTTACGTTAAGCATAAAATATAATGAATATAAATTTATTATTAAAATTATGTATCCACATATTTTTTTGTTCGTTTATATCTAATATAAATACTAATAATGTAATGATAGTTTAAAAATAATGTTGAAAGCAGAGCATTTTTTTAAATTATCAGTCTGTATTATATTATACAATTATTAAATTGTTTTTTTAAAACTGTCAGATAATTGCTATGTTGACACTTGACTCATTCGTCATACTCGTGAACGGGTGTTGCTTGTAGGGACTGACTGTTCAAGATTCGAATTGAGAATTTTTGTATTGATTGAAGATGGTAAAAAAATTTAATTTTACTGAAAATTTTGAAGAAAATATAAAAATTACAAGTATTATGATAGTTTTCTTTTCACCTCTTTCATAGAACATTTTTTTAATAGATACTAATGCAATGGTAACTTCTCCTGTATTGTTATATAAAATTATTTATTAGAGGGGCCAATAGAGTTATGCCCACCCCAGAATGCAAGCGGGGCTTTCAGATATACGTAAATATACCAGAAATATATATATATATATATATATATATATATATATATATATATATATATATATATATATATATATAGGTTAGTTATAATTACACGTATTTTAAGGGCCCAAGCCTATTCGGGAATGTAATCTTAAATACGCAAAGACCTTAGCTTGATTTTTTTTTGTATATTTACCATCCAATTTAGAAGATTAGTGGAATAATAATTTAATAAAAATATTGAATTATTCCAATCGGCGATAACCACTTGAAAGTATTGGAATTTCTTGTCACTATCTGAGGTAGTAACATCTTCCAATTGGCGACAAATTGCCCAACTAAGAAATTATATATTGGCTGGGTACCAATGAGAAATAATAAATCTCTCATGAAGAAAGTCAGTTGGCCCATCGTGATGAATTCAACGATTATCCACTACGATAATGTTAAAGGGAACCGCATGGAGGCCGATTTGATAGGGTGTATTGATAGCAAGGGGGTATTTAGACTCCATTATTAACAATCCTTTTTCCTGCTTCCTCCTCAGTTTTGCTTTCACTTATACTTATCTGATTTAAACAAGAACTAGAATTTTATTAGCAAAAATAAAGTCTAATAAAAATTATACCCCAATATCTTCAGGAAAAGGCAAGCTTCAAATACGTAGTGTTTTAGCGGTTCCTACGCCGCTAAAATAGTAGTGCACTAACTAGTAACAGTTACCGACTGGTTCTCAGAGTATTTCTACGCGTCGCACTGGCTCGCGCTTACGCCAGGATTTCAAAAACTCTGTTTCGATAGTAAACGTATGTTGTGTAATTTATAGTGTTTCTATTTGATGCCTACACACACTATACAGCTTCATTATAATTTACCTATTCTTAGACTGTACTATAACGTAGTGATTATGGCTGTATGACCTCTACATATAAATTAACATATAAAAAATAAATATGATCCATTAAAGAAAAAAAAATATATAAATATGATTTAAATTTTATCACTGTTTAGAAATTTGGTACAAGTAAATTTTAGACGTAAATATGATATTCAGGACTCCATTTTTTAATAAATAGATAAAAGCAATTTAGATTAATCCAACTTTCAGGTTTTCGGACTAATATTTACTCTGTAAATTCGATTTAGTCTGAAAGCGATTAGTTGTAAAACGCTATAATAAAATATAATGCAATCCAGTAAAAACTAATACAAAAATATTATCTACCTATATTATTACTAGTGGAAATGAAGTGAAACCAATCATGTAATTAAAACTTTAAATATGAAATGGCCAAACGACGTGCTTCTAAACAATAAAAAATTAATAAAAAAGTTACCATTTGACACTGTTTAATTTGACAGTTTGTTTTTATTCACTTTTTAGGCAGCATGGTCTCCGACCTTAGCCTGTTCCAAACGGAACAAACGTACTAAAAAAAAAAAAAATTATTCACTTTTTTTTGATGTTTGTAATTTTTGCTTATTTTGCTGTTATAGTTTTTCGAAGTATCTATCATCTGCCATAAATTGATATGTTTAAAATTTGAAATATCGTTTTTAGACATTAATATTATGGATTGTTTCCTCAATTCAATCTGTGACAATATTCTTCCATTCCATGTGACAATATTAATAATTAAAAATAATATATAATCAGTGTCAATATAAATAATATAATTCTTCTAATTAGGTTCTTATTAGGACTAAAAACTTTTTGATTATTATCTTCTATTCCTACTAGAATTTGTTGAAGTCAGTGGGAAGCCTAGGGCTTTTCTAGGCATAAAGACAATGTGTTCTTGGACTAGTAAATATGCCATACTACGAGACCTATCAGAAGCACAGGGACATGTGCCCACGGAGATCAAGGGCACTGTTGGTGCTGAACCACCACCGACATTGCTGCTTACAGAAGGTTCGGAAATTATAATACATTTTTCATTTTAATTTTATAAATGAACGTCGGTAGATTAAAATTCGAAAGAGTGCTAGATGTACTCTTTGGATTTTTTTTTGTTTTTAATGTAGTATAATGTTGAGCACATAGTTTCCAATATATTATTTAAATTCCCATATGGTTGTACAATCTCACTGACTAATAATAATATAGAAATATATTTTGTACATAATATTAGTTATTGTAACCATTGGCGACCCACTATACTCAGTTACTGAGTTTTGTACTCTTATTTCGCAAACCATACTGTTTTCAAATCTTGTACTCTGAAAGTATTTGTATAATTACATAAAATTAAAGAAATGTATCAATGAGAAAATAGAATTTGACAAAAGATGGGTAGAAATCTTTCGGCATTTTAAAGTACTATATTCATTTTCATTTATTAAGCTTATATCTTACAAATAAAATATATATTCTTTGTATAACTAAGTTGCCCATTTGCATAGCATAAAATACCTATGTCTATGTAATAATAAATAAACATGTATATGGAGTAAACATATGTTCATTTTTAAAGTTGTCTGTATATAATATAGACATAATTAAAAATGAACATAGGTTTTGAAAATAAAATTTTTCTTATTACATACATATTACATGTTCAACATACATACATATAAATTATATATATATATATATATATATATATATATATATATATATATATATATATATATATATATATATATATATATATATATAGAAGTTTCTAGTAAGAATTTTATGAACTTACTATATTTGTTATTTCTGTAAATTTTTCAAGTGTCTTCTTCAAAGTAAGGCAGAGATTGAGGTAGTAGCTGAGTTTATTTTTTGCCCCAGAATCTTTGGTTACCTAGCTACACCACTATTGGAAAATCAACTTTTGTTGAAAAACAACAGTCGAGTTTCTTGCCCGTTCTTCTCAGCTAAAATTGCATTCCAAATGAGCGGTACAATCATAAAGTGACTAAAAAAAATCTTGTAATTCAATTTACTTGTATAAAAATATTCTTATTGTTATATACCTATATAGGCAATAAAGGGCCGATCAATAACATAATTGTCTCGGTATGGTCGGTGAAACTTATGAATAGTCTACAATTATATAGAATCTAAACTTTGTTTACAATTTAATAATAAGGAGAAAAATGAACAAAATACCAATAAATAGTAAATTACTTTAACAATACTGTCATATATTGTTCTTGAGGGTACTTAGAAATAACCAGTTTTTTATATAACTTAGAATGGCAAACAAGCTGACGGCCCTCCTGATGGAAAGTGGTAACCGTCACCTATAGACATGAGTAGCACCATGGACATAACAGAGTATACTGTTTCCCCCATGATACCCCCCATGCGTTGCCACTCCTGAGGACTCAGGTGTTATTCCTCTGTACCCAGTAAATTCACGCCATATCCCACCCTCCAAACTGAAACACAGCCATGCAAACACAACTGCTTCACGGTTGAAACACGAATGGGACAGAGGTGCCCAAGCAATCTACTTTTGTACAAATTCTCCCCCTGGTAATCTCTCCAGTCTGGTTTTATGTATAAGTCACATATCAATTTGTTTCTCATAAGATCCTTCAACGACCATGAGTTACTAAATGTAATGTGAACACCCACTGAGCTGTAGTACAGACCAGGACTTCTAAATACATGGTAAAAGTACATATTTGGATTGATTCTGATGTGCCAACTTTCTAAACCTACCTCTATAATTGAATATTCAATATGATATAACAGTGAAACCCTTACAAGATCCTTAAAGAACCAATGTGAATAAAATTTACTACAATTTAGTTTATGATAGCTTACAAGCCTTTTTGCGAAATTATTAAAATATTAGCTCAGATAAGTTCTGGTCCCAAAATCAGCCGCATTGCTTGTTTAAGATAATATATTTTGAAAATGATGTTCAATACTTGTTGGGAATTCCCCTGTATTTTTCAAATAAGTTATGATAGTCGTGTTCCTGGATTCTGGTTTATTTATATTCCGAATGTGGGAGAAATTGTTATTAGTTCAATTTATAGTCTGAAGAGCTCCGAGGCAGTATCCCGTCTAGCCCTCCGGTACCTACGCAACTGTTTTCCAATTATAATATGCATACTATATACAGGTTGGAAAGGGACAGGTTGGTCAAAACGAAAACAGCTGATTTAGATGAATGATCTAAATCAGATGGCAGATTATTTTGTTGTTGTGGAATGAGCTCCCTGCCGAGGTTTTTCCAAGAGACTACAGCATGGGGTTCTTCAAAAGGGAGGTAAAGAGGTTTCTTCAGGGGCGGCAACGCGCGCGTAATACCTCTGGTATTGCAGGTGTTCATAGGCTACGGTAACCACTTACCATCAGGTGGGCCGTATGCTTGTTTGCCACCTCAGTAATATAAAAAAAAAAACTTGAAATATGGTACAAATAGTCTTAAATAATAATGGGCTACACATTTCGCCTTATCTAAAGGTATGCAATTTTTTATTTCAGCACATGCTAATTACTTTTTAGTGGCTTACATATATTAATAGTCTAGTAGGAGTCAATCCATAAATATTGGCCGTCGCACACATACAAATGGTAGCAAACTAAACAAATACAAATACAAACTAAACAAAAACAAATACATAACAAGTCCAAAATATAACAAATGATAGTTTTGGTATGCATGTGGCGTTGACCTTAAAATGCTGATTCCTCCCATCACCGTAGGATTTTAATACGAATATTAAATTGTTATTTTTTTGATATTTCATAGTATTTCACTATAAAATATTATTTCTTTATATTAGAGTATAATACCATAGATTACATTTTTTTTATACAACATAGAATGGCTGCAAGTTGACGGCCTGACAAGCTGACGGCCCACCTGATGGAAAGTGGTAACCATCGCCTATAGACATGAGCAGTACCATTGTCATAACAGAGTATATTGTTTCGCCCATGATACCCCCCATGCGTTGCCATTCCTGAGAACTCAGGTATTCCTCTGCACCCAGTAAATTCACGCCATACCCCACTCTTCAAACCGAAACACAGCCATGCGAACACAACTGCTTCACGGTAGAAACTTTGAGACGAGACTGAGGTGCCCATGCAAACGACTTTTGTACAAAGTCTCTCCCTCTGGTGAATTAGGACTTTGCATTGCATGAAACTCAAGTTTTTTAATAAATTTAATTTTTATTTCAGAGACCGAGGAGGAATTTTTCGCCAACTGCATTGGAGCGGGCGACTGCGTTGTGGGCAAACCGGACTTAGGACTAATTAGAAAAATGCTCGACATGGTATGTATTTGATTTTTTTTTTCTTATTGTTTGTGCTCCCCTTTCTCTTCCATTGAAACTACTCTGTGATGTTTTGAACTGGTGTCCGCAATCAGACGTGTTTGCTTCCAACTTGCTGGAGTTTCGTCGGATGATCATAGAGTATTTGTGTTCAGAGATTTAAGATATAGATCAGTGTTTTCCAACCTTTTATGTGCCATGCCCCTCTTGAACATTTCTAAAATGTTTATATGCCAAAGTTTACTTGACGACTCTTATTGCCCAGTTGATATTTTGGTAACGTCAAACGAAATTATACCTAATAAATATTTACAGCATTTTTTTATTTACATTTTTTTGTTAAATTTGGCACCGATATTTACTCGTAGCATTGCATTTAAATGGCCCGGAGTAAGAGGGTTAAAATCGCTTCGAGTCCATTTTTAATTGCCCCCCTTAACTATTAAATTGTCCCCCTGTGGGACGTGGGCCCCACGTTGGGAAACACTGATATGGATGTTATTATTGTTATTAATAACATTTACAGCAATTTCACTTTTAATACCGTTATCATTCTTTTCAGGTAAAGGATGTTGATTCCACTTTACCGGAATCTGGTGATGGAGATGGTAAAAAAACAGTTATGTCTATACAAAAATTTAACGAACGTTGTCCTGACTTTGTGGCAAAAAATGTGAATGTTAAGACTAACAATAAAACCGTCAGTACAAAGAAAATAGTGGAAAAAGATATAGACAACGACAAAAAAGCAAAACCAAAGAAGGCGAGAAATGTTGCCTTAATTTCTTTACTGGACGCTTTAAATAAAAATGAAAATAAAGATCCATTGAACCTAATGAAACCCAATAATTTCATTGATAGTAATGTGAGCGAGTCTCTTGTGAAAGTCGATGATTGGCTAAATTCACAGGTCCAAAATGAATCCACAAATGGGAAAAAGGTGCCCAACTTAACACCAATTACTACTATGTTCAAGAGAAAAACTAATGTCGTAAAACAATCAAATGAAACTGCGAAATCTGTTGCAACAAAGAAAGAAAATTATACACCTTCTGGGTTAGCCACGGAGTATTATAAAAAATATGTTGAGAAATCAAAATTAAATAATTGTATAAGAGAAGACATATGGACGAAAACCGAACGCGTAATGAGGGAAGCTGACGCCAAAAAGTAAATATTTGTTCTATATGTCAATCATAATAATATTAGAGTGAATTAATGATTAATTAATTCTAAGCGGTATTTATAATTACCAGAAAGTGTTAAATAATAACTTTTTTTAATACAACTTAGAATGGCAAACAAGCTGACGGCCCACCTGATGGAAAGTGGTAACCGTCGCCTATAGACATGAACAGTAACATGGACATAACAGAGTATACTGTTTCGCCCATGATACCCCCATGCGTTGCCATTCCTGAGGACTCAGGTGGTATTCCTCTGTACCCAGTAAATTCACGCCATATCCCACCCTTCAAACCGAAACACAGCCATGCAAACACAACTGCTTCACGGTTGAAACGCGAATAGGACAGAGGTACCCAAGCAATCGACTTTTGTACAGTCTCCCTCTAGTACATAACATATCACATTTCAATTTCATCACAATTTATAGTTAATAAAATTATTTTACAATTTTTTTAGATACTAATGGATAACATACTTTTTTTAGGAAAGCTGAATTGGTTAAGAAAAAGGAAGTAGAAGAAAGTAGAAGAAGGACAGTGGAATTGGCTCAACAAGAAGGCAATAAGGAAAAAACATGTACAATTCTTACTATAGGTATTAATTTCATTATATAAATTATAAATATTCAATTATTATAAGACAAAAAGCAGTAATTAATAAATACACAAGTTTTCTTCTCAAAAATCGTACGCTAGAGTAAGAGTGGGGTAACTAAATAGGAAATCAGGATGTCACATGAGACTGTTTTTTTTCTTTACAACACAAGGGGCAAACGAGCATGCGGCTCACCTGATGGTAAGTGACTACCGCCGCCCATGGTCACCTACAACACCAACGGCATTGCAGCTGTGCTGCCGGCCTTTTAAAAAGGAATACGCTCTTTTCATGAAGGTTATGTTGTCGTATCGGTTCGGAAATACTGCTGCTGGAAGTTGATTCCAAAGAGTGGTTGTGCGTGGGAGAAAGTGTATTGAAAAACGCACGGTGGAGGACCGCCACTCGTCCAGATGGTTGGGATGAAATTTTAGTTTATGGCGGGTTGTATGTGACCAACGCGATAGGAGTAGACTAATATACCCTGATGAGAAAAGAACAATGCCCATAGGTGGGACGTTATAATTTAGTGTGACGATGATAATAATGCAGTAATGTATCTGGGCCCATAACTTAGTTTTTTTTTTCAGATCAGGACAAGTTTCACATGGTTGGTCTGCCTCAGCATCGCCACAATCTAACCGAAGATTGCATTGTTTGCAGTAGGATTTTCATAGACAATAATAAACATGAAACAGTTTTGATAACTCTGTGATATGCGTAGAAGTATGTCTAGTTTAGTAATAGCAATGTGTGATAAGTATTGGTTTATTATTTTAGAAATTAATAGTAAGTAGTTATTGTACTGTATATTGCCAATTGTGCTTTCGTTTCGTATATGATACTAATGCAGTTGGTGCCTTAAGGGGTCATTTAGGGTTTTATCAAGTGTTTAAGAGGGTAGTGCCCAGACCCGTCACTCCAAATCACATACTTGTCACAGATTTAAATGTAGAATTATTAAAGATTTACTTTCTGTATGTCAGTTCTAAGGCACAAACTCCTGAAATCTAAAAGTAGTAATAGAATTAATATTTTTTCTTATACACTATGGACACACAGACACCCCAATCGAAGCTGTAGATGATGAATCGGACGCCTTATGTAGAATGGCAATTGGAAGAAATACAAAACGTAGTTCAAAGGGACTGCAATAATTTTTTTTTGCCATTAACTCGCAAAGAAAATAAAGAATTGTTTCTTTTGGCATTATCGACAATTCTGACAAGGTAACCTATCTGTGGTAAGCGAATCCATCGATGGAATCGTTATGATCGGTCAATATGTTAGAACGAGACATTATATGTCGCTATCTCATTCTATCTCAAGATCTCGTTAGCGATGACGATTCTATTTATCGATTAGTTTGCCAGAGATGGCGGTGATAAGGGTGGCTGGTGTTGAAGATAGATTGTATTGAAGGTAGTTGAAGAAACTGAAGAATGTAAATCTTTGGGTGCTCAAATTATACCCATATTATTTATATATTCATGTCATGAAACGATATTCACTGTTTCGGTTTAGTTTGAGCATTAATGGACAAAATATGGCTTCATATGCCTTTTAGACAAACCAATTTATGCAAATGTTGCCTACCTATATCTGTTTAGAGTTTAAAGTCATGTAAAACAAAATATACTGCATTGTTATTATATTTATTTAACTACTTTAAAAGTCTTTAACAAGTTAAAGGTTTGTAAAAGTTAGAATACTTGTCAAAATTACTACTCGTAACTCGAGTGTAAAATGAAACTTCATCGCGTTATTTTATTACAGTATTGTGGTATATTGTATGAAGCATTTGACGAGTATAGAATTTTGGTGTCTTATCCTCCTATTTGAAATTTTTTGGCGCCCAGGGAAGTCTTTCTCTTTTTACTTTGACTACAACTTTAAGAGCAAAAGGTCATCATGATATTGTTATGTATTATGATTAAGATTGCTATAAGTAAATAAGGTTTGAGTTACATGAAATGGAAGGATGGGATTTTATTGATTTTATTGGTGGTCGATTAGGGTCCTGCTTATGTGTCTAAACTAATATTATAAAGAGGAAATGTATGACTTTTTGTATGATTGTTTTTAATGGATAAACTCCAAATTATTGGGTTGGTGCTCTAAGAGTTCGGGTTATACCCACTGATCATGCTTCCCTACTTTACCAATTTGTCTGAGGTCTCGTACAATAGTTGTATGATGGACAGCCAGTTCTTGTGCAAGTTCTCGTGTGCTTGTATGCACATTGGACTCCACTAATTATTGTAAAACTTGCAGATCCATAACGCGCGAAGGTCGACCGCGACGCATATTTTCAAAATTACTCCACAACGAAATTCTCGGAACTAATTTCTCACTGTCCTTTCAGAAACTATTCTCCCCTAATCTCTTATTTTTTTTTGCTGTTTCATGCATTTAATCCACCTTTGAACTCATAAAACATGATACCCCTAATTTTTTTCGAATCCATGGTAAGAAAGAAAAATTTAAATCACGTCTTACATCTGAATCCTCTGATAGTGTTTAAAATATTAATCAAGTGTCAATGCTTTGCTTACAATAACAAAAATGAACAAGTCTAAACGTGTTCAGGAAGACGCGTCCACTGTTTTACATTGTTGCGCAATCGGCAATTTCATATGCACCAACCCAATATCTCAATCGATTTAAAAAATCCACACATAGTAATTTAAATTGTAAGCGAGTAACGTAGGTTTTATAATATATTATTTTGGAAAATTTTATCCACCCGTGCGAAGCCGAGCCGATTGGCTAGTTGTAATATAAAATAGGAACTGAAAGATAAAATCCAAAACCTGTGATCTAGATATGTTGATTTGTATTGTTAGTATTTAAAGGTAACTTATTTTTAATATAAATAATTTATAAAAAAAATTCATTTGTCACCGATTCTTTTGTGTATTCGCCCTGGTATAGTCTTATTTCAATAGAATTTACCGAAAAGATAACTAAAAGTGAAATTAGCAACAAATTGAGATTATACAGAAGACCGAAGAGTATAATTTGCCACTATGTCTGGCGTTTGTGGCCTATGAGAAAACTTTTTATTCGGTCTAGATATGGGCTGTACTACAGTCCTTCCAACGGTGCCAGATTGAGTATAGGTATATCGAAGTGTTACATACACAACAGTAAGGCTACGATGTTTATTCGAATAATAGAGCCAGAGTTCGAAACCCATCCCAACCCAAAAAACTCTTCAAAGCCTCATTGGAAGAAGTTTTAATACTTTTGGACTGGAAAAGATATGGTGTAAACATCAGTAGCGAATATATCACTCATTTTCGATTTGCTGATGGCATAATAATTATGGTGGAATCCCTGGAGGACTAGTATACTATGCTTAATGACCTCAATAGTGCTTGTTAACAGGTTAAGATGAACACGGGCAAAACTAAAACCATGTCTACCGTCCATGTCACACCTATACCGGTTACGATTGAGAACACTACGCTCGAAGTTGTCGACGTATGTTTACCTAGGACGAGTTGTCCGAATGAATAAGTCCAACTTCCAACGAGAGGTCAACCGACGAAACAAATTGGGCTGTGCAGCGTTCAGACAACCACGTCGCATCTCATCCAAATATCTCAAAGTTTGAAGACAGAGGTATTTAATCAGTGTGTGTTGTCAGAGACGATCTATGGGTCCAAAACATGGTCTTACACAGTTGACCGTAGAAGGTTCAAGTTGTCAGCGAGCTAAGGAAAGGGCGTTTCTTGGAGTTTCTTTGTGTGGCAGAATCCGAAATGAGGATATCGTACAACTCGCCATAAACTAAAATTTCATCCCAACCATCTGGACGAGTGGCGGTCCTCCACCGTGCGTTTTTCAAGGCACTTTCTTCCACGCACAACCACTCTTTGAAATCAACTTCCAGCAGCAGTATTTCCAAACCGATACGACAACATAACCGTCAAGAAAAGAGCATATTCCCTTTTAAAAGGCCGGCAGCACACCTGCAATGCCGCTGGTGAGACATCAGGTGGGTTACAAGCTCTTTTGCCCCCTGTGTTGTAAAAAAAAATCCGCAGAAGATTGGCTTGATGGGGAAGAAAAATTCTTGAGTGCCGACCCTATACAGGCAAACACAGAGTAGGGCGAATCCTCACAAGATGGAGTGACGACCTCAAATGCATGCAGAGAGTCAATGGATGCAGATGGCTCAGGATTGTTTCTTATAACAGTAGGTGAGGCCTACGTTCAGCAGTGAATATTTAACTGCCGAGATGATGGTGAATCAATATTTTTTTTTATTTGTCCCACTATTGGACATCAGCAGAGCTTTGGTTGTGATATTTATTCATTTGTTAATGTTTTTATTAATTACTATATATTGAAACGAGACTGTATCATCGCTTTACGTTTTAATATTTAAAAAAAATTGGGGTTTTAGTTATTTTTTAGTTTTATTTTAGTTATGTGTTAGTTTTTGGTTTAGTTATTCTTTAGGATAGCATACAGCAGGGGTGGCCGACTTGACTATACCCAAAATCTATCGTTTACTGACAAAACCCTGTGCGATCTACCAATTATATACTTCTTGAAATCTCAAATGAAACGACATAGTTCAGTACACAATTATGTAGTATTTTTTATTTTATTAAGAGGGAAAATATAAAATTGAAAATTATTTTTAGTAACTACTTATTTATATTAGTATAAGTATAACGTCTGAGCGACTTCCTTTAAATTAGCAAAATATATTTTGCCTTGCCACGATCGACTGGACTAAAAGTCGCGATGGACCGGTTGGCCATTCCTGCTATAGTGCATATTTTATTACATATTGTTCCTAATACAGTAATAAGAACAAGGCTTGATATGATAGTGATCCCTTTGTTCCACTGAATAAGTTTTAACAGCTATGTTCTCAGCTATGTTCAGTATGCATTACTTTTTCTTTTATTATTTATTAATTGCATACTACTTACATGAGAATGAACAATGTTACATTAATTCTGTTCAAGCTAAGTTAATAATAATTGTTTATAAAAAGAAAAAACAATAAATTTAACAATTTTATCTTTGTGTACAGTAAAGTATAAATAAATTATGAGAAGAAATTAACGTGAGATTTTTTTGATCGCCAATAATGATCCAGTCCCGGCATAAAATAGGCCGCCTCTTCCTATCCCGTGGGTGTCGTCGACTAAGAGGCGAGGGATTGGTAGCAGCATTCCTTGGAAAACATCTCTAAAACCTTACTGCGGTTGTCAATCCGCCTGTCAAGTGTCGCAACTACTGGCAAAATCCTCCAAGAGGTAAGGCTTATGTTCAGCAGTGGACAGTTAAAGGCAGACATGATCATGGTGAGTGATTCAGTCCTATGGCCAATCTCCAGCAGAGGATTATCTAATTTATTTACAAACATGTTGTAAATAAACAATTCGGTTGTATTTATTTGTTCCCTCATAACTCCGTCAGTTAAAAACCGATCTGGAAATTTCTATTCTTATCTGAAAGGATATACTTAAAGGTTGGTCCTAACAAGAATTTTATCAAAATCGGTTCAGTAGTTATTGAAATTAGAATAACTGTTTATAATACAATTGAATTATTTTTTGTGGAACATGATCTTAATTATATTCAGTATTTTTCGCTCTCTTGTAAGGTATCAAATTTTGTCTTAAGCACTACTAGAACTTTACTGACTTCTTTTTATGCAGCTTAGAATAGCAAACAAGCTGATGGCCCACCTGACGGAAAGTGGTAACCGTCGCCTATAGACATGAGCAGTACCGTGGACATAACAGAGTATACAGTTTCGCCCATGATACCCCCCATGCGTTGCCATTCCTGAGGACACAGGTGTTATTCCTCTGTACCCTGTAAATTCACACCATATCCCACACTTCAAACCGAAACACAGCCATGCAAACAACTGCTTCACGGTAGAAACACGAATGGAACAGAGGTGCCCAAGCAAACGACTTTTGTACAAAGTATCCATGTGGTAAACTTTACAAACCATAATTGTCATCATTCTTATTTATCCCTGAGATAGCGGAGTGAGAAAACTTGATAAACCTGTGTAAATATCATTTATGCATTGCCATTCCTGAGCACGTTCTGAGGACTACGATGTGATACCTTTCTCCCGTCTCTATGTAACAAGTACAGCTAGTCGAATAGGCGAAACTAAAGAGGCTGGTTAAGCCGTCCCTACTCCCGCATCCTTAAGTAAACTTAAATTTGCATATTTTTAAATAAGGTCATTTTTGTATGATTCTATTGCGTATTTGGGGTGTAATTTCAGTTTAAAGGGACATTAAATTAACTATTACTATTTATTATAATGCATTCATGTACATAATCTGTTGTATGTGTGCTATTAAGTATGTGTATGTTTATGTATGTATTTGATTGTGTATTTGTAATATACGCATTTGTATCTATGTGTGTATATGTATATATGTTTTTTTAATGGGTGATAATGGTATGGTAACCCCGCCTGTGCTATCGGCATACACCGGCGGAGCACCAGTTTCCAAAACCATCCTTCGATTTCCTATACGATAATTATTTCCAAAGTTATTGATTGTAAAAGTTAAAAAATCTTTTTTTTTTGGTTTGACTGACGATAACTCAGCGGCAAATCAGCCTGCAGTCTTTTTGATTACGTCAAATTAAAGAGTATTAATTTTTCTAAAAGAGCTATTAAAAGAAACAATGAAAAAAAATTTTTTTTAAAAACCACTCATAAATTTGGATTTTTTTTTTGTATATCCCTTAATTTTTGTGTCTAGTATATATACTGGTCCGATAATGAATATATTAAAAGTCCATTATCCAATAAATAAATATTGGATAACTAACTTTAAGCGTATTCGAAAATAGATATCTGACCGATACGGGTATCCACCATCAATGTCCAGAGGAGCCCAATATATAGATATCGGATCGATATCCATATTTTTTTTTTAATCGGTGAAAATGGTATAGTAACCCCGCCTGCGCCAACGGGATACGCTGGCGGAGCACCAGTGAAGGGTGATAGATGAGAATAAAAACAGGCCAGTTAGCCCATCATGATGAATTCATCAGGAATTAACCGTGATAGTTTCCAGGGAGAACCGCGAGGAGGTCGACCTGGTTGGGTATATTGCTAGCAATGGGATTCTCAGTCTCCATTACTAACAATCCCTTTCCCCCCAGTATCCATATTACCTATGCCTACTTAAAACGTCCAGATTCGATGTTTTTTGAAGATAGTTTCTTAAATTTCCGAATTTAAAACTCATTAATACAATGCAACGCTTATGTACCACTGCGCAAAGGAAATTGTGTTTTTTGCCTAAAATATATTCCGAAAACATTATCGTGCTGAAGAAAGGAAAGAATATCTACCGGCGTTTATAATTACCATGCGAAATTGTAGCTATAAGATATTGAAAAAGACTGATTTGCATCGAGACGCGAAGGTTAAAAAGTATGTTAAGAACACGCTCTAGAAGTTTAATTGTCTTCGTTATTTGTTTTCAATGAATGTTATGCCAGTTGTATGGGAGCGCGCGTTTCAATCATGCGTGTACGACGCGAATCACGTGAATGAAACCATCATATTGTGCAATATTAGTGTCACTGTGGATTTTTAAACGAATAAGGGTATTTTAGGGACTAATTGTTATCTTTTTAGTTAAAAAAGGCAGGTGCGTATTGTGAGATTTTGTTAAAAGACGAAGTTTCGTATTTTATTATTAAAAAAAAAAATTGTAAATTTTTGACATTTTTATTTATTTATTTATTTATTTATTTGAAAATTACTCACCACACTTACAGTCTCCCAAAAAGTGTAGTGAGTCATAGGTTTATTTTATAAACTTAAAAAATTTGTACAACATTTTAAAAATATATCTATTTTAATTCTTGACTGGCTATCTATTTCTCATAGTTTTTGTTTCTCATCACCGTAAATTTTTTTACAGAAAACATGATTATATAGGATTATAGGGAAAGCTGTTTCTGCCTACCCTAATGGGAGACAGGCGTGACAGATATGTATGTATGTATGTATGTATAGGGATAGTGTAGATTTCTAATTTTAAAATTCGATACGACTTTTTAACCGTCTTTAAAAAGTAGGAGGTTCTGAATACGATTGTATTTTTTAAATGTTTGTTACCTCATAATTCACCCGCTGTAAATCGATTTAGTAAATTATTTTTTATCTGCAGTATATATGTACATTTATAGATTAATCCCATAAATTTGTTTATCAAAAGTAGTTTAATTTTCTAATTAAAATAACCAGTTTTGCCACAATTGCAATTAGTCTTTTTTTGTGGAAAACAATTTCCATTTATATACTCCTATACTATATCGATCTCATATTAATTTTGTCATAATAAATGATGTAAATTTTTACTGTGAAAAAATATCTTAAATTATTTTTTATTTCTATAAAAAAGAAATATCATATCGTCAACATAATGAAAATTCATCAAGATGATGCAACATAGACAATGAACAATTTCTTTTTCTACAGTAACATGGTCCACGGAACGATTCAAATCGGGTTGGAGAATATTGTACGAGATACAGTGAGTATATCTTATTACATGGATTAATTCATTGGATTGTCCTAAAACAACAGACTAATATTATGTAGATAATTGTACGGATTACAGTACAGTTCGTTGAATGATAAGAGGCCCCCGTACATAAGTGCTTATAACGTCAAAGCATTCTTTATTTCTATGAGTACAAACAATTCACGCATTTCGTCATGTATCTTACCTATTTTTTAGAGCTTCAAAGGAAAAACGGAATCCTTATAGGGTCACTCCGTTATTCGTCCGTCTGTCAAGACCCTTTTTCTTGGGAATGCGTCGAGGTATCCAGTTGAAACTAATATTATATACTCAGGTCCGAAATCTCTTAAAGCAGTGAAAAAATCTAGCTTCTAAATCGGCGCAATCAAAAGATACGGCCGTTTATGTTCCATTTATATTGCATATTTTGATATTCGCAAAGGGAATCAAAACCTATAGGGTACTTCCCGTTGACCTAGAATCATAAAATATGGCAAGGAGCAATGTCATGTAGCACAAATAACGGCAAAATTCCGAAAACCGTAATTTTTTAGATATTTAACAACAAAAAAATTAAACTTGATAAATTTGTACGGAACCCTCGTTTCTCGAGTCCGATTGGCACTTGATCGGCTTTTTTTATTACGCTTTGAATGGCAAACAATCTGACGGCCCTCTTGATGAAAAGTGGTAACCGTCGCTTATACACATGAATAACTCCGTGGACATTACAAAATATACTGTGTTGCTCACGATACCCTCTATGCCTCGGTATTCCGGTTCACTACGATGTTATGTATGCTACACTGTATTGTCACTGTCATTTCCACCCTTCTGGCTATGTAGCCCCGGCATAGAATAGGCCACCCTCTCCTTTCCCGTGGAAGTCGTAGGAGGCCCTATCTTAGAGAGGGCGAGGGATGGGTGGTAGTGTCCCTATTCAAACATCTCCAAAGCCTGACTCCGGTTGCCAATCCGCTTGCTAAGCGTGGCAACTACTGTATTATAAATTTTGGTAAAGTCGCTGGATACAACTATTTATAGCTACTCACAAATGTTGCCTCTTCGATTTATTTCAGAATACAGATGAAAGTGCACGAAAGGAGAATGGCACAGCTCAGAGAACGGGAATTGTATCGTATGGCATTGACGACGTACCGCCGTGGTACCTTTGTATCTTCATGGCTTTGCAGGTGAGCGAGATGAGAAGTTATGTTAAGCAGTTCTTCTTTTACAAAGAAAAAATGTAATAGCAATCTCGTGGTCATTCATTGGTGTATTTCATTTATAGAAATTTCAAAGAAAGAAAGATTAATGACAATAAATAATTATATTGTAAAGACTGTATTCCTCACTGTATACCATATAACGACAAAAGATTTTATAATGAAATAATTTAAATTAGTATTTTGTAATTAATGTGTATTTTAAAAATAATAATAATAGTTTGTATAATTAATAATGTAACTGTAAACTATGGATATATACCTGAAAATAAAGATTTATTTATTATTATAACGTTTCACCAAATATTACTGTAGAAATAGAAGGGGGTCCAAATATATAAAAAAAATTATATAGTTTTCTTTGTTAGAAGTTTCGTAAGTACATATTATATTTTAATGTAATAAGGACAGGATTAACTTAAGTATATAATATTTCAGTCGAGAGAACTCGACTAGTTTTAGCTCGCGTTCATGGCCGCTCAAGACTAAGATCCCGAATGGTCTCGAAACTTATCGAGCTTTCTCGACTTAAATATTATACACGCAAGCTAATTTGGTTGTTAACGGTTTATTCAGAGCCAGGGGAGTATCTTAAACCGTGGGATATTGTAAAGGTAACACATAGGATCTAAGAAATGATGGTATAAGACAGAGAGAGGCATGCAACATCCCAATGCGTCCACGTGCAATGGCTTAGCTGACCCCATACGCGAATAAAAGATAAGAAGATAAGAAAATCAGGTTGTTATTATATTAAACTATATAATCTCGTTGTGTGAACTCTGGCATAAAACTGACTATGCTTTCTCATCCTGTGGGTATCCTAAAAGTGACTAAGGCAATCAAATAGCTAAGGAGTGATCCGCAGCGTTCCCTGTAAACTTTCCATCAAGAATACTGCGTGAAGGTCTTTTTTTAATGGATGATAATAGAATGTTAATCCCGCCTACGCTAACGGTATACGCTGGCAGAGCACTAGTGATAGGTGAGAATAAAAGACAGGTCAGTTAGCTCTTCGTGATGAATTCACTTGGAATTGAAAACGATGGTTTCCAGGGAGAATCACGCTTAGGTCGCCCTGACAAGATGTATTGCTAGCGATGGGGCTACAAACCCCCATTATTAACTATCCCTTATCCTCCTTCCCCCAATTGCGTGAAGGTCACCTTATAGGCTGTATTATTAGCAATGGAGTCAAGTGTCTCTATTGCTATGTACTCGTATAGGCATATTTAAGATGATTTTCTAAAGGGGCTTGCATGTTAAAAAGGACACATTATTTACTCTCAGACATATTTTTTTTTATATCACTGAGGTGGCAAACAAGCATACGGCCCACCTGATGGTAAGTGGTTACCGTAGCCTATGAACATATATAGTTAAAAGCTCCACTCGTGTCCTAGGTTGGGCATCAGACAATTAGTAAAGTGGGTCCGGAATTAAATACGCCTGTGTTACCAAAAATCCTTTTCCCCCTGTTTGAGAGGTAAATCTTCTTCCAGCACTACTTGACTATGATCGGCGCTATAGTGGCGATCCCCTTCATCCTGTGTCCAGCGCTGTGCATGCAGGAGACGGATCCAGATAGATCTAATATTATATCCACAATGATATTTGTTACAGGTAAGATTTTTTTATTAGCTGCATGTTAATCACTATATAAAGAATCCTTGTTGTAAGTTAGTATATAATCTATCATTGTACCAAATATTTAAATCCGTTCAATAGTTTTTTTGGTTGGAAACACAGAAAACATAGGCGTAAAATCTTAGTTCTCGGGAATGGCAACGCATGGGGGGTATCATGGGCGAAACAGTATACTCAGTTATGTCCATGGTACTGCTCATGTCTATAAGCGACGGTTACTACTTTCCATCAGGTGGGCCGTCAGCTTGTTTGCCATTCTAAGTTGCATAAAAAGTTCTTAGAAATGACGACGCATGGGGAGTACCTCCATGCGTTGCCATTCCTGAGGTTGTTATTCCTCTGTATCCTGTAAATTCACTGCCATATCCCACCCTTCAAACCGAAACACAGCCATGCAAACACAACTGCTTCGCAGTAGAAACACAAATGGGACAGAGATGCCCAAGCAAACGACTTTTGTGCAAAGAATGAATGAACGATGAAAAATCAGTACGTACTGAAAAAAAAAAAATTTATTTCTTATACGTAGACTAATATTAGCATTATATAACCTTAAAATTGTTCACATACAGTTGCTAAATAGAAGCAAATATTCGCGTCGTCTGTCCGTACACCACAATTCCGTGTTTGCTGATTATTTAGTGACTGTTTAAACGATGTTACAACTGCATGTTATCGACCTTATGTGTGTTAGAATATTTTAAAAAGAATATGAGATATGGCGATTTTATATATCCTCAAATATAAATCAATTTTTAACAACTCTGTGTGGAATATTATTTCAGCAATTCAAAAAAAAAACCAAAAAAATTTATAATTTGAAAAAAATTTAGCTATAGACATGAGCTGTATGGGTAGAGCCCTTTGCCTTTCTCTTTGAGATGAATAGAACTAAAACAAATACAAGGTTTTTCTTTTATACAACTTAGAATGGCAAACAAGCTGACGGCTCAGCTGATGGAAAGTGGTAACCGTCGCCTATAGACATGAGCAGTACCATCGACATAACAGAGTATACTGTTACGCCCATGATACCCCCCATGCATTGCCATTCCTGAGGACTCAGGTGTTATTCCTCCGTACCCTGTAAATTCACGCCATATCCCACCTTTCTCTCACGGGATAGAAAGGTGTGGTTTATTCTATGCTGGGAATCCATAGACTATATAATGATAAAAATATAATAGTGGCCTTGATTTCAGATGATTACACATTTTTTTTTATCTTAATTAGTCGATTCTATTACATCGACAATTTATCTGTCTGTAACTTACCTTGAAAGTAATCCAGTTTAATAAAAAAAAAGAATCATGCAATTTAGACCAAAATCTATATTTATAAAATAATTTTTAACTAATTATCAACGGGGAGGAAAGGGATTGTTAGTAATGGAGACTGAGAATCCTATTGCTAGCAGTATACCCAACCAGGTCGACCTCCTCGCGGTTCTCCCTGGAAACTACCATGGTTAATTCCTGATGAATTCATCATGATGGGCTAACTGGCCTGTTTTCATTCCCATCTATCACCCTTCACTGGTGCTTCGCCAGCGTATCCCGTTAGCGCAGGCGGAGTTACCATACCATTTTCACCTAACAAAATAAAAAAAAAAACTAATTATCAACGCACAGCAAAAACAAGTAGTTTCTTTTTCTAAAATTTGTTGAGGCTTTAGTACATCTGGATAAATATTCCAGCCTTATAGGGAATGTCTGAATTCTTTTTTTAATTGGTGAAAATGGAACGGTAACTCCGCCTGCGCTATCGATATACGCTAGTGGGGCACCAGTGAAGGGTGACAGGTGAGGATAAAGGCAGGTAGTTAGCCCAAAGTGACCAATTGAACAAGAAATAACCACTATGATTTCCAGGGGTAACCGCGTGGTGGTCGACCTGATAGGGTGTATTTCTAGCAATGGAGCTGTTAAATCTTACTACTAACATTTCCTTTCCCCTTTTTTTTTATTTTAGGTTAGTCAATTCGTTAGGCACTCCTTTACCGACAGATATAAGCGTTTAGCATTGCCACTGGCAAACTACGTAACAATCCGATAACAAAAGATTTTTGAAAATCACACGTGCAAAGCAGTGGGCGATAGTTAGTATTCGATAAATTAGCTGTCATCAGCAGTTCCTAAAAAAAACTACTGCACGAGCATCACGCGAGCAAAGTCGCGGTAAGAAATTATAGTTAACATTGAAGTTATATTGAACCTTGTTCATAAAATAACACATACTACAAATATGATTGTATGTATTTTTCCATATCACGTTTACGCTAACTGGATTAATAAATTCACTTGACAAATCATGGTTTAACAACTATATAGATTAAGCTAATTAAACGCTTAGATGTGTGATAAAGATGTCTCCGATTGTATATTTCTATTTGAATTTTAAATTTTGGTGTCTTTTTTAATTCTTTTTTTATTTGTACATGATCTATTTTATTTATTTATTCATTTTACGTAGTTAGGATAAGGTAATACTTTAACAGCGATTCTAGTACTAAGCTCTCGGCTTGTAATCGCCAGAAACTTATCATTAGATGAAAAGCAAATAATTATAAATGAACAAATACATTAAAAGGTAATAAAGTAATATTATAATACTGTGAGTACATGTGTGTGTGTGTGTGGGGGGGGGGGGAGGGATTGTTGGCAATGGAGTATGACAGCTCCATTGCCAGCAATATGCCCTATTAGGTCGACGTCCACGTGGTTCCCCCTAGAAGCGACCGTGAACAATTCTCGTTAAATTCGTCACGATGGGCTAACTGACTTGCTTCATCCTCACCTATCATCCTTCACTGGTGCCCCGCCGGTGTATACCGATAGCGCGGGTGGGGTTGCCATTCCACTATCAACTATTAAAAAAAAATTAGTAGATAGGAATGCACTAAGATACTATTCAAGGTTTTAGAAAAAAGTTAATCATTTTCTACTTTCTTCTTTCAATAAATTATAAAGATTTTTATAAACTATTTTTTTATTACAATAAATAGTTTTAAAATATAAAGATCCTTAAATACCTTAATTTAAATTAAGACAAAAAAGTATAAAACAAAATAATATTTGGAGGTGCTGGGATTTGAACCCAGGACTTTCAGCATGCGAAGCAGACACTCTACCACTGAGTTACACCCCCCGATGAAAGACTTGACGAAAATACTCATATCTATGTACGTATTAATGTTTGATCATGCAATATAATTTGTTATATCAACTTTCACATGACTAGCGACACAGGATTTTTTAATTATATTAAACTAGGGCTATTTCGTCGATTCACAGCGCGAATTTGCTATTAGATCCGTTCTAGAAAACGCTGCGAGCACGCGTTTTATTTTTCCGCATTATAATTTTTTCAATTGTCCTAAAAAAGAGAATATTGCATTGCATTATTAACCGACTGCAAATATGAATACTTAATTGTATCATTAACCAACTGCAAAAAAAGGAGCAAGTCGTCAATTCGGTCGTTTTATGTTTGTTGCTTCAGAACTACGTCGTTTATAAATTAATTCATTTCTTTATTGGAAGGGATATATTTTCAGTTTTGTGACATAGAAATAATATAAAAATCGTCTAGTTTTTGTGATTTAAATTCAGAACATCTTTAAGCAAATATACTTGTTTACGTGCACTTTTAAATTGTCATTTTTTATGAATGCAAGGTTCGGAAAGTCGTTACCTGTTGAGAAGAGCTCGCAAGAAACTCAACAGTTACTCTTTTAAATCTCTGTTAACTTTATGTGCATTTATTTAAATATTTACATTTCTAATATGTTAGTACATGTTATATACTACGTCAATTTCCAAGGGGCACTACCTGCAGATAATTCTTGATTTGGCTAATTGTTTAAAAAAAAAAATTAAAAAAAAAATCAATACAGAGTAATAGGTGAGGATAAAAACAATTAAACTCGATGGTTTTTAAAAGAAACCACGTGGAGGTCGTACTGCTAGCAATATACCCTATCAGTTTTCTAACACTCCCATCTCAGCCACTTATCTACAATTTGAAACCTCTTTCTATATTCTAGGCCTCATAACATGGTTGCAAGCGACCTTCGGCTGCCGACTGCCCATCGTCCAGGGCGGGACCATTTCTTTCCTAGTGCCAACCTTGGCCATCCTTGGACTGCCAGTGTGGCAGTGCCCTACCCCTGAAGCCTTGTCTGCTATGACGGATGCTGAGCGTCGAGCTGTATGGACCAGCAGGATGTGTGAGCTATCTGGAGCAATAGCTGTGTCGGCGTTATTCCAGCTATTTCTTGGTGAGTTTTCAGTAATAATATTATTTATGCAACTTAGAAAGGTGAACAAGTTGACGGACCACCCGATGGAAAGTGGTAACCATCGTCTATAGACATGAGCAGTACCATGGACATAACAGAGTATAATGTTTCGCTCATGATACACCCCATGCGTTGTCATTCCTGAGGACTCGGGTGTTATTTCTCTGTACCCTGTAAATTCACTGCCATATCTCACCCTTCAAACCGAAACACAGGTATGCAAACACAACTGCTTCACGGTAGAAACACGAATGGAACAGAGGTGTCCAAGCAAACGACTTTTGTACAGTCTTCCTATGGTAATGAGTGACCAAGCAACTCCTCTCGTGTTACAGGTGTTCATGGGCGACGGTAGCCACTTTCCATCAGGTGGGCTATCTGCTCGTTTGTCCCCGTAACAATAAATAATAATAACAATAAGTGTAAAATAAAAAAAATTTACGTAACGTTGAATTTATACTAAAATAATAAAGCGGAAGAGCTGATTTGTATGAACGCAATAATCTCTGGAACTACCAGCCGGATTTGAATATTTTTTTTATTTGTTATTTCCATTAAAGGGTTGAGCAATTGATCACGATCTCACCTGGAAAGTGATAATGTGGTCTAAGACGGAGCTCACGGGCCCACGAATAGCCTATTCACATTTGTCTCAAATTGGTGCATAGTTATATTTGGATGTAAAAACATAAGCTGGGAGAGAGTTCCAGTCCAGTTTATGTTTTTTTTACATCATCGGGGGCAAATGAGCATGCGGCTCACCTGATGGTAAATGACTATCGACGCCCATGATCACCCACAACACCAACAGCATTGCAGGTGTGCTGCCGGCCTTTTAAAAAGGAATATGCTCTTTTCTTGAAGGTTATGATATCGTATCGGTTCGGAAATACTGCTGCTGGAAGTTGATTCCAAAGAGTGGTTGTGCGTGGAAGAAAGTTTTATGTATTTAATTGCTTATTCCTCGAGGAAGGTTCTAAGTTACTCGCATCACGATGCGTTCAAAAAGCCGCGGAATATGGATAGTAACCGGAAAATGGTAACCGCATAGATAACTAAATATAGGTGGATTATTTTGGGAGTTTTGTATAGAGACCGAATGTCGCCGCTCACCTGTCGAGTGACAGATGTCAACTTGACAATCTAGGGATTAGAGAGCAATTCACATTAATCTACGACTTGACATCAATATACATTATCGACCCATTCAAAACTGCTAAAAGGGATTATGAATAAACTAGTTCTGTCATTTTTAGATAAAAATTATGCGTGTATCATATCTAAGACCTAATTTGGATTCAGAGTCGGGAAATCTACTAAAGATGCAGACATTGGCTTATCTAAACATGTTTTACAGTTTATTGATAAAATAATAAGTATCTAGGCGTATATTTCTTGACTTGGCGAAGGTATTTGATGCAGTCTCTGTACCGGTGATCTTGGCTCAGATGGAAAATTTTGGTATACGTGGTATTGCATTGAAACTGTTTTCGGACTACCTTTTCACTTGTTAATTTTAAACTTTCGCGTTGTTTACACATATTTTAAATACACTATTGGCGCTTTACGCGATGAAAAAGCTAATGTAACGTCAGCTTTTCTATCTTACTTAAAAGGAGTAGCGGACAAAATTGGAGTCTTATTGAATAAGTACTCCAAGATTTCGAAACTTCTACGATCACCTAAGGTTACGATTCCTGTCCAAATAGCAGGCGTTTACTAGATAGACTGTAGCTGCGATAGTTCGTATATAGGCCAAACTAAATGGGCTAGCGGAGGGAGGGGATTTTTAGTAATGCGGATTACCAATCCCGTTGCTAGCAATATATCCTGTCAGGTCGACCTCTACGTGGTCTTCCTTGGAGACCATCGTGTTGTATTCCAGATGTATTCTTCACGATGGGCTAACTGACCTGCCTTTTCATCCTCACCTATCATCCCTCACTGGTGCTCCGTCATCGTATACCGTTAGCGCAGGCGAGGTTGCCATTTTATTATCATCAATTAAAAAAACGGACTATAGCCGAAAGGGCCAACAACACATAGCTGTAGTCAAAAACAGACAAACAAACAAATTAGCGATCGCATTACATTGATTAAACAGCTCATGAATTGAGCTGCATGTCCCGAAGGTTCTATCTACCGAGCATCACTATTATCCTCGGATAGTACGTAAAATAATTGAAATTAGGAAAAATCCAAAAATTTTTAATAAGAATAAATAGATAGATACTCTTTATTGTTTCCTCCATATGATTACAATAGTAATTTTTTTTATACAACTTAGAATGGCAAATAAGCTGACGGCCCACCTGATGGAAAGTGGTAACCGTCGCCTACAGATATGAGACGACATAGACATTTGAAATACATATCGAGATACGATAAACGATAAGATTTAACAAAAAAAGTAAATAAAAAAAAATGCTGTAAATATTTATTAGGTATAATTTCGTTTGACGTTACCAAAATATCAACTGGGCGATTAGAGTCGTCAAGTAAACTTTGTCGGGAAAAATTATATATGGGGGCATAAAAATTTTAGAAATGTTCAAGTGGGGCATGGCACAAAAAAGGTTGGGAAGCACTGGTACATATTCTTCAAATGTACTATAAGTAGATATTTCTTTCAGGTTACCTGGGCGTGATCGGCTCCGTGCTTCGGTTTGTTACTCCCCTCACCATCGCGCCCACGGTCGCCCTGGTCGGGCTGACGCTGTTCGACCACGCCGCCGAGGCTGCGTCCCAGCAGTGGGGCATCGCTGCTGGGTAAGTAAGTGACTCTAATTAACACTACCAAGGAGAGAATTTTGTATTAATACCCGTTCACTATGTATTTTTTGTAAAAACAGATTGTGAATTTTTTATTTTATTTTATTTTATTGGCACATAAAACAGATCACAACCATAAAAAACTTAAATAATAGTTTAATTTATGATTCGGCTAGGTTATAATCCATCGTCGTCTATAGACATGAGCAGTACCATGGACATAACAGAGTATACTGTTTCGCCCATGATACCCCCCATGCGTTGCCATTCCTGAGGACTCAGGTGTTATTCCTCTTTACCCAGTAAATTTACGCCATATCCTACCCTTCAAACCGAAACACACCCATGCAAACACAACTGCTTCACGGTTGAAACACGAATAGGACAGAGGTACCCAAGCAATCGACTTTTGTACAAAGTCTCCCTCTGGTTGAAATAAGTCGGCTGAAATAATAATAATAATGTAAATAAATTATTTATCTATCTATCTTATTTCACGCTGGAAAAGCTTTGGATTAAACCTAGAACTTAGTATGCTCAACATATCAGCCGATGTTTCACCCACGCGGGCGACCTCAAGCTTACAAAGAAGCGTTGCCTCCCACGGTACACGCTAGATCCTTTGACTTACAAAATCAACGTCATATGAATTAATGTTAAAGGAATTATGTAACTATTTAGAATATTATGAATAATATATTTTACTGAAATAGGTGTTTTTTTTTTTTTCTATGGGTGATAATGGAATGGTAACCCCACCCGCGCTATCGGTATACACCGGCGGGGCACCAGTGAAAGATGATAGGTGAGGATGAAGCAGGCCAGTTAGCCCATCGTGACGAATTCAATAAGAATTGTTCACGATGGTTTCCAGGAGGAACCACGTGGAGGTCGACTTAAAATAGATATCGCTAGCAATGGGGCTGTCAAACTACATTGCTAACAACCCCTTTCCCCCTACTGAAACAGGTGTTATCTTGCCGAAGTCCACGTCACTGGTTTAATAATTAGATTTATTTTGTTTAATTACCGCTACCATTAGTATGTGTGTGACTGCCAACACTCGAAGATTGATCACCACTATCACTACCAGAAGTTCCACAACCTTCCATATTAGCTGTCAATCTTCGACTGCCATTTTGTTCACGCACGTTTTGCGACACGTGTGTCACCTCTAAACGAGGCGTCTTCAGGCAAATTAACTTGAATTTGAAAAATTAACAGTGTTAACTGTTCGGCATCCAAATCCAAATGGTGATGAATTCACTTGGAATTCAGCGGGATGGTTTCCAGGGGGGACCACGTGGAGGTCGACCTTTTTGGGCATATCGCTAACAATGAGACTGGTAGTCCGCATTATTAACAATCCCTCCCCCCCCCTCAACTCCATTAGTTCTAAATCGATTTTGAAATCCTTATTTTAACTGTAAGAATATATTTACATATTAATCCCATCTAAATTCTAACAAACTCGGTTTAATACTTTAGTTTCTAGATCAAAACAACTGTGGTTTTGTCACAATTGAACTCGGTTTTTTGTGGGACACAATCTTTAATTATTTACGTCGATTCGTTCCCAAAGTTCTTTCACGGAAGTGATCATCGAAATAAGGCCTGAAGGTTTTTGAAAGACACCGGATAGCAAATTGCGGATCGTCCCTTCGAAGCCCGAAATATCTCTTTGTGGCATCGAACTTCGTCCGTGACGTATTGAGCCGGTATCCCCACATCCGCCGGCAAGTTCAATAAACAATTTCCTTTCAGAGATCAGTTCATTTTATTTAACAATACCCATTATACATGGCCAGTCGTAACCCAGTGTTTATTTCAAAAATGGACAACTTCTTTCGAAGGGCGTAGTAAAATTTTCACATGTAGTTACATTTTCTTAGGAGATTTTGCTCGTAATTTTGTATGTATCGATTTGGGAAGTAGGTAATCATTTGTGTACGTATTAAGATAAAATATATACCAGATTTGAAGTTAAGTTTTTGAGAAAATGACTGCAACTACCTTGTTTAATTAGGTGTAGTACTTTTTGATTGACATGAATTCTAGAAATGTTTGTTTAGACTTCTATTGCTCTTATATAGAAGGCCTTTCATGTTTATACATATATGTGTATGTATAAAGGGAATTTGATGAATTACCGTCCCGTTTCGCTAGAAAGACGAGACGAGACGTTATGACGTAAGGCACTGTACACCCCCTGAAGAAGACTTCCGGACGAAATCGACAAATAACTGTCGGAAACGATAAACATAATAAGTTTATAAAATTTCCGTTATACATATATAAATATTGTTTAAAATATTAACAGAAGTTTGTTTGTAACACTTTACTGTACAGTAAAGTCTTATATTACCCTGATTTCTTAAGAATGCTTTACTAGGGTAAAAGAATGAGTACAATGTACTTATCACATAAAAGAGATCTCTTCCAGTCAACCTTTGAATGTCTGATAGAAATTGTGAATTGGTGGAGACAAAAAGTTATAGATACGAAAAAAGAAATAGAGAAATAGGTGTTACAGTTACAATACAAGCACCAGATTAATACTGGACACATCTTAATAATATCTAATATCTAATAAATTCTCTACCTACCGACTTGCGAAACAATATCACTGTTAAAAACATAAAGTTTAAACTGAAAGCTTATTTACTGTCCAACCTTGCTAAAACAGCAGAATATTAATGTAAATATTGACATTTGAGAACCAAATGTAAAGTATCACACACAAGCCCAAGAGGTTTAAGTGGTACTAAAAATCCAGTTTTTTTTTAATGTATTTATGCATGCTAATTAAATAAAAAAAGAAAAAGGATTATATCTTTATATATAACACTTTAAATATAACACTTTAAATATTCTAAATAAGTTTTAAAATTAATAAGAGTTTACATATTAATTTTCAACAGAATTAAAAAAAGTAAGATTCTTAATTCGATTGTAATTTTTTTTTTATTATTATAGTTATAAATCGATTTGGAAAATTATTTTTTTATCTGTATTTATATACATACAGCGGGACTACCATGAAATGAAATTCCGAATTTTCGGACTCAATTTCGTGTTTTTGTTTATACTAAAATCGGACCAGTAAATGGAGTTTAACATTTCGTTCGTCATACATCCTACTATAAAAGTCCTAAGAAACGTTATTTTAACATTTTTAATATTTCCAAACGGCATGTGTGTTATGCAATTTTAACATCAAGTTTGTGTTTCGTTTGGCTTCGAAATTTCGGAAAATATTTCATGGTAGGCCCTCTGATTGGCTCAGTACAGATTTTATCAAAATCGATTCTTGCAGTTTTGTTTTTAGGAACACAATCTTGAATTATTTTTAAATATCTCCCACTTCTAGATGTCATCAATAATACATAATAGCAATAGTATCGTTGTGTAATTAGCAAAACGCACACAGACAAATGACCGATACCAGTCTTAAAGGAAGGGGCAGAGGGGGGTGGAGGTACAACCGGGACGGCATAGGATCAAAGAATCAGTAAAGGATCGAATCAAATTCAATTGGAGTGAACACGAACACCGAATCCCCTGTGACCGGGGGTAAATTTGCCCAGGGATAGCTGAGTAAAGGGTCACAACATGGTGACCTTCTTTTTTGCTGTCGGGGTGGGAGGGATTGGGACGGGGAAGACATCAAACACTTCCCTAGAGACGCCAGGTAGGTGACATGTGTCATTTCGTTACACATTATTTTGGAATTATTTGAATTTGGAATGTGGAATTTTATTTCATCGAGTTACTATATATATATATATATATATATAAATATGGGTCACAACTGCCTGAACTGCCTTGTAAAAGGGCGGTAGGCTCTTTTACAAGGCAGTTAAGTTTCAAACATTAAGTTCCCTTAGTCGCCTGTTACAACACCCATGGGAAAGGAAGGGGTTATTCTATGCCGGGACCATACGGTACGGTTATGTATGTATACTCTACGAGTATATACAATATCTCACTATCTTTTACCCGCGACTTCATCCGCGTGACCGGGATATGTTTACTGACTTTGGAGTGGCGTGGCGTGAATTTACTGGGTACAGAGGAATAACATCCGAGTCCTCAGGAATGGCAACGCATGGTGGTTATCATTGGCGAAACAGTATACTCTGTTATGTCCATGCTACTGCTCATGTCTATAGGCGACGGTTACCACTTTACATCAGGTGGGCCGTCAGCTTGTTTGCCATTCTAAGTTGTATAAAAAAAACCATCCCATATAGTACATATATACCAAATTTCATAGCGATTGGTTAAGCCGTTAAGGCGTTACGATGTAACAAATAAACTCACTTACACAAATGTAATATTTGTATTAGTGGGGTTTATTTGGGACAATTTTCGACACCTTGTTTAGGTGTAAGTGGGTGGAAACTGTCCGGGAAACTAGTAAGGTCAAAGGTGAACGCTCCACGCCTGCATACAGCTGGATCGATCTACTGGAATTAATAACATCTATAACTGTTTTAATATTGAAGCAACAGGCAGCACGGAAACTGGGGCATGGTGTTATTAATCTATTTACTCGTATTAATAGATCAACATCGAAAACTGTCGTTCATAGACGGTTATCTTTTTTTTTTTTATTTTGTCTATTATAAATGTGAAAGTTTTTAACGGCCATGTATATTGACAACATTCTTGCCAAGCGTAGCAAGTATTAGTAAAACCCCCCTTAAGGGAGAGGCTATGTTCACCAGTGAACACTTAACGGCTGATGCAATAACATGTCTATTTTCAACCGACTTAAAAAAGAAGTTTCACTCAATTCGAGTGTATTTTTTTATGTTTATTACTTAATAATTCCGTCAGTTGCACACCGATTTGGACAAAAATCGATTGCTTGGGTACCTCTGTCCTATTCGTGTTTCTACCGTGAAGCAGTTGTGTTTACTTGGCTGTGTTTCGGTTTGAAGGATGTGATATGGTGTGAAATTACTAATGTGAGGAGTAACACCTGAGTCCTCAGGAATGGCAACGCATGGGGGTATCATGGGCGAAACAGTACACTCTGTTATGTGCATGGTACTGCTCATGTCTATAGGCGACGGTTACCACTTTCCATCAGGTGGGCCGTCAGATTGTTTGCCATTCTAAGTTGAATAAAAAAAATTTATCCCATAGAATGGTTTTCCATAAATGAAATCTTGTAGAACACAATAATTAATTATTTATATCAAAATGGCCGATAAGCGGACGATCCATCTGATTGAAAGTGGTAACTATCATCTGTACACGTGAACTACGGACATCACAGTATACACTGTGACGCCTACGGTAGAGGCATTTTTACTCATGGCAGAGGGCATTGGTATTTTTCAAGTTTTATTTTTTTATTTGAAACTAGAGGTACTTGTCAACTACGAGTATACTTTTTATTCGTATAAACGTCAGACCTAACAAAAACTTTAGCTGCTGAAGTGTTTTGTCTCTTTTCTTTTGCGCTAATTTCTCAATTTGAAAAACATTGATAGAACGCTCTAATAGCTAAAATAGGTTTGTAGGACGTTTTAGTTTTTATAAATGAAAGGGTATGTTTCACCGTTGCGGTGAACACAACATTTGATATGCATATTTCGCCGAGCATATTAGAAATCACCTTTTACAGGCTAAGATAACAAAGGATACAGGCTTCTCAAGACCTATATCTGGAGTATAGCTTTGTAAGGATGTGAGACGTGGACATTAACTCAGAAGGAAATGGATAAACTTAAAGCCTTTGAAATGTGATGTTGGATAAGGATAGAGAAAATTAGCTGGAGGGATCGAGTTAGCAATGAGGAGGTCCTGCTTAGGGTTAAGGAAAAAAGATAAATTATTAGAACTATTGAGGACAGAAGGGGAAAAATGTTGGGACACTTGATACGACACGACGAACTTATGAACATTATAATAGAAGGTAAGATAGAAGGAAGGAGGGGAAGAGGGAGACCGAGACATAGTTACATCAGGCAGATCAAAGAAAAAGTTGGTGTCGTGTCGTATCAAGGGGTGAAGAGACTCGCTGAAAATGGTAGTGAGTGGCAAGACCTCCACCGACAAGAGCGCAACTCTTAAATAGGATAGATAGATTAGAAATCAACGTGGTAGAGGGCGAGCCTACCGCTGTCATTGGGATTAATTTGATTTGTATTTTAGTATTTTCTGTCATCGGAAATGTAACCGGAAATTTTAGAATAACACTATTTTTTTTTATTTTTTTCATTTCATTAGGCATACGTATGTTGTTGTATTAGCTGTTTATTGCCCACTGCTGAACTAAGTCTTCCCCATAAGGGGAATTTTGCTAGTAGTTCCCACGCTTGGCAGGCGGATTGGCAATTGCAGTTTGGCTTTTGTTGATGTTTTTTCCAGAGGGAGACTTTGTACAAAAGTCGATTGCTTGAGTACCTCTGTTCCATTCGTGTTTCAACCGTGAAGCAGTTGTGTTTGCATGGCTGTGTTTCGGTTTGAAGGGTGGGATATGGCGTGAATTTACTGGGTACAGAGGAATAACACCTGAGTCTTCAGGAATGGCAACGCATGGGGGGGTATCATGGGCGAAACAGTATATTCTGTTATGTCCATGGTACTGCTCATGTTTATAGGCGACGGTTACCACTTTCTATCAGGTGGTCCGTTAGCTTGTTCGCCATTCTAAGTTGTATAAAAAAAATGTTTTAAGAGGGACGCTGCTGCCCATCCCTCCAACATAAGCTCCCTTAGTCGTCTCTTACGACACCCACGGCAAAGGAAGGAATGGCCTAATTTATACCGGGACCACACGGCTATATATAATATACTATGAGTTTATAATAAATTAAAATAATATCCATTCGTTCACGAATGGTGGATAGGGGTCGCTACCCTCCCCTCCCCTTTCCCGTTGTGCAACAAGTTCGCTGTATCGATCCATTCCATTACTCAAATATGAACACGTCAATTTCAATTATTATTTAATAGCTGTATCCCACGGCTTCGCTCGTATGAAACTGTATTTTATTAACTGTCCACTGCTGGACATAGGCGTACCCCATAAGGAGGAATTCCACAGGGGGGGTTTTGCTAATTGTTGCCACGCTCGACAGGCGAGTTGGCAACCGCAGTTAGCCTTTGGTGATTATAGCTCGACCGTAAAGTTCCCTTGGTTACTCCTTAAGACATCCACGGGAAAGACTGTACGACGAATCAGTATAAAATGTATCCTAAATTCTAAGTTTTTTTCTAATGTCTGATAATGAAATGGTAACCCCGCCTGCGCTGTCGGTATACGCTGGCGGGGTACCAGTGAGGGATAATAGGTGAGGATGAAAGCATGACAGTTAGCACATCATGACGAATTCAACAAGAATTGTTCACGATGGTTTCTAGGGGGAACCACGCGGAGGTCGACCTAATAGGGCACATTGCTAGCAATGGGGCTGCCACATTGCTAACAATCCCTTGCCCCCATGTACGGTACTAGGCTGGTACAAATTCCATTCAATTAGCTCAGCAACATAGGGGCGCTTGCATATATTGGGATCAACGGGAGCTCACACAGTCCTTTGTATAGCCATCATTGTCGTGCCACGTACGCGGCAAAATATTAAATTATTCCTTTTCGAAATATTCTGAACTCGGATAAAGTTTTATTGGAAGCAAGCAAAATTTTCGAGGAGGTCGACACCACAAGGTATATTGCTAGCAATGGGACTGGTATTCCGCATTACTAACAATCCCTTTCCCCCTGACGAACCATGTAGGACAAATCGTCATAGTCGTAGAATACTATAAAGTTACATATAAAGATCCGTCAGTATTCTACGACTATGACGATATGGTATTATTAGTTTATATCTTGGACCGTATCAATTCCCTTGAGATAACCAGCCTCTATAGGTATTTTGCAGTAAGTCAGTTCTCTTACTGCAAAATACCTATATAGATATACCAGTAAAGGTGACTGTTATAAACAATTAGAAACCCTGCCCTAGTACTAAGGGCACTAGACGAGGGTTTACAAACAGCCACGTGACATTTTTGTTTTTTTTTTTGGATGAAAATGGAATGGCTGTCCTGCCTGCGCTTACGGTATACGCTGGCAAGGCACCAGTGAGGAATGAATGGTGAGGATTAAAATGCAGGTCAATTAGTCCATCATGACGAATTCAAATGATTAATTAGTCACGATGGTTTCCAGGGTGGAACCGCGTGGAGGTGGACCTGGTTGGGTATATTGCTAGCAATGGGATTCTCAGTATATATATATATATATATATATATATATATATATATATATATATATATATATATATATATATATATACATATATATATATCATCATATCATCCTTTAACTGTCCACTGCTGAATATAAACCTCCCCCTTGGGGGGTTTTGCTTGGCAGGCGAATTGGCAACCGTAGTTAGGCTTTAGAGATGTTTTTAGAGGGACGGTGTTGGCCATCCCTCGCCTTCCTTTAGTCGATTCTTACGGCATCCAAATTATAGTGTTACTATAGTATAAATAATCATTTATACTATGGTAACGATCGTACAATTAGTAAAAATTTAGTTATAAATCTGTACTTTTTAAGTTGTATAAAAAAAATTACGTACTGTTTTCAAGAGTCTTGATCGTTATTTACTATATTGTTATAAATCCCCATCTATAATTTAAATTCCCGCCATATTTTATAAAAAAGCAATTAAAAAAAATTAAAGTTCCATTTTTAATAATAGCGACAAAATAAGCAGCCTTTACTTTTTCTTATTGTATTTATAAATTGCCAGTATTTAATAAATAATTTAAAAAAAGAAATATTATTTTGGCGCGACTTCGTAAATCGCTGTTATTAATATCTATTTTTTTTCTAATTTTGTTGCAGGACATTCACCCTGCTGACTATATTTTCGCAATGTATGGGTGAAATTAAAGTGCCGACTCTAGCATGGAAGAAGCAAAGAGGATTGACTATTATATGGTTTCCTCTATTCAAGTTATTTCCTGTAAGTACGATTTAAATTTAAATTTACATCCGAACAATTCATAAATATTAAATACATGATGGTCAATATAAATGTGAGTAAAATACATAGCTGTTAAAAAAAAAATAAGAATTTACATCTCTTGTAAATAAATGTAACAATTAAAAATTACTACGGCCACGCCACTGCAATCAAAAACATTTCTACGTAATCTATGCAATTGTCCTATGCAACATTAAGAATTTAAAGAAATAAATGCAGTTGTTATACGGTGTTGATTCAATTGTAATTTTTTTTTATATATATAAAAATATACTTAAGTATTGTGTATTTTAGTAAATTACTATATATATAAACCCTTCTTTGCATGACTTTTTTTATTGGTGAAATAAATCAAGGTGATATAATATATATTCAAATTAAAGGAAAAATGGTTAAAAATTCAATTTGACAGCTATGGTTTTTTTTTTTCTGCAGCGGACATTAAAAAGGTATCCGGACACTATCAACTTAAAGTGAACTTGTTCTTTTATATAATTTTTGGGCATTCAATGTTATGATGGAAATTTCCACCATTGTGCAAAGAAGGGTTAATATGTGAATTTTAACTAGGTTCTACTAACCATTGTGATAATGTGGATAATATGCGGCGTGCTGACTGCGACCGATGTGTTTCCTCACGGCCACCCGGCCAGGACCGATCTAAAAGTGAACATCATCGAGGACGCACCATGGTTCCGGGTGCCATATCCAGGTAAGATTATGGATAACCATAATCTGTTTTTTTTTATACAACTTAGAATGGCAAACAAACTGACGGTCCACCTGATGGAAAGTGGTAACCGTCGCCTATACACATGAGCAGTGCCATGGACATAACAGAGTTAACCCCCCATGCGTTGCCATTCCTGAGGACTCAGGTATTCCTCTGTACCTAGTAAATTCACGCCATATCCGACCCTTCAAACCAAAACACAGCCATGCAAACACAACTGCTTCACGGTTGAAACACGAATAGGACAGAGGTACCCAAGCTATCGACTTTTGTACAAAGTCTTCCTTATGGGAGTTTAATGAACTTCTATGTGGGTAATAGTACCCTCATAGAAGTTCATTAAACTTCCATCGCTCGGAATATACCCTATACCGAGTTTGTACTTCCTGTCGACATTCTGAAAGTAATGAGGACTGAAAAAACATTATATTTTCACGCTGACATCAAAAGGAAAATCATGTAAAATATTTTCATAGCAGGTACTTATATGGCAGTAAAAGGTGTCAAATTACCAATGACAATTTTAACCGACTTCAAAACTTCGAGCGTTTCTCGATTAGGTTGTATTTTTTTATGTTTGTTAACTCATAACTCCGTCAATTGTAAACCTATTTGGATTTTTTTTTATTCTTACAGATTGGTTTCATAGACATTTTACCAAAATCGGTTTAGTACTTTAGTTTTTAAATCTAAATAACTTTTTTTTTGCCATAATTGAAGTCGGGTTTCTTTTGTAGACAACAACTTAAATTATTCATATGGCTTTTGTTTTACTATTTCAGTACACGCTGGTCCCAAAATTTTTTGACTTCTCTCTTACAATTTCTACTAATAAAAAAATATGGCTAAACCATTATAATCATATAATAAATCATATCAGCCTTTAACTGTCCACTGCTGAACATAAGCCTCCCCCTTGGAGGGATTTTGCCAGTAGTTGCCACTCTTTGGCAACCGTAGTTAGGCTTTAAAGATATTTTACGCTGTTTCCCATCCCTTGCCCTCCCTTAGTCGCCTCTTATGACACCCATAGGATAGGAAGGAGTGGCCTATTCTATGCCGGGAACACACTATGTATATATACACACACATTTTTTATATCATTGAGGTGTTAAATAAGCATACGGCCTACCTGATCGTAAGTGGTTACTGTAGCTTATGAACGTCTGCAATACCAATACTAAATTTCCTGTCTATTACCAGAGGGAGACTTTGTACAAATGTCGACTGCTTGGGTACCTCTGTCCCATTCGTGTTTCTACCGTAAAGCAGTTGTGTTTGCATGACTGTGTTTCGGTTTGAAGGGTGGGATACGGCGTGAATTTACAGGGTACAGAGGAATAACACCTGATTCCTCAGGAATGGCAACGCGTGGGGGGTATCATGTTTGCCATTATAAGTTGTATATAAAAGCATTACGCACTTCAGAGAGCTCATTCCATAACCTAAGATTCATGATAGAAAACATTCATGCATTCAAAACAACATATTACAAACATTATGAAGTAACTAACATAAGTTTTAAAAATAAAATAAATATGGGTCTACCTGTTGTTAAATAACGCGCGTAGCAACCTGCAGCATTTGTTTTTTTTATTTATATAGTTGTTGCAGTGTAAACTTTTAATATGTAAATTATATGCAATTGTAACCCACATACCTAATAACACTATAATAAGGAGGTCTCAATTCGGATATATATATATATATATATATAACACCTGAGTCCTCAGGAATGGCAACGCATGGGGGTATCATGGGCGAAACAGTATACTCTGTTATGTCCATGGTACTGCTCATGTCTATAGGCGACGGTTATTACTTTCCATCAGGTGGGCCGTCAGCTTGTTTGCCATTCTGATTTGGTTGTAATTTGCATAAAAAAAATTAATTTGGGAAATTATTTTTATCGAAAAATATATACTTACCATATTGGTCCTATAGAAATTTCATTAAAATTAGTTTACTTTTTAAGTAAAAATAACTAATTTTGTCTCAATTCAAGAATTTTTGTGAAATACAATATTAACAGTGGCGTAACAATAGGGTGGCAGAGCTGGCAAAATGCCACGGGCCACCGACCCAAAAGGGCCCCGGCTCAAGAGGCCGCGAGCTCGGAAATATATATATATATATATATATATATATATATATATATATATATATATATATATATATAAATAATGTTTTTTTTTACATTAAACCTGAGTATTTTATTATACTTGAATAGTTTTTTTTTACTGATAGGGCCTCATCAAAAGAATTTGTCACAGGCCCCAAATGGTATAGTTACGCCACTAAATATTAATTATATTTTGAATAGTAAATAATTAAATCAATCATTCAGCCATTAAATTTAATATATTAGAAATACATTTCTTACCTTCATATACCTTCATTTCCATCTGAATCTGCCCTTTTCAAATACTTGACAAAGTTCAAGAGAGAAAGGTTACAATCAATCATAATATTTCTCCTTAAAGGTTTGATCAAAGGGCTAAATTTCCTTTTTATTACGGCATCGAATGTCCCACCCGGCTGTATGACAGCCGACCTCACGAAGTTCACGCCGGAAGTTGTCCCTTCAATACCACTTCATACTTTAATTGTTCTTTAATTCTTCCTGTTAAGCTATTTTCCTTTTTGTACGATAATTTATTTATTTATTAAACTTTAAAACACCTAGATAGTGTAAATGGCGGACTTAACACCATATGGCGTTATCTGCCAGTCGACCGTGGACAGGAATAACAGAAAATATAATTGACGGTGCAACGTAATGGATAATATTAAATTAAAACATAAATTAAAAAATAACATAAATGTAATATTTATTTATTTAAACTTTAATGCACGGTAAAATTCTATGTGTGTACATTTGGCGGACCTAACACCGAACGGTGTTCTCTACCAGTCAATCACTGGGCAAACCGAGAAATAAGTAGCCGATGCATTTTTTAAAAAGACTAAACAATAAAGTAATATTTGATAAGTTCATATAATAAAAGGGAAATACTAGCATCAGACAAAGCAAATTGTCTAAAATATCACTATACTATAAATAATCTTTATGTTATGACAATAAAAAATAATATGTTTCTTTCATTTTTTTATACAACTTAGAATGGCAAACAAGCTGACGGCCCACCCGATGGAAAGTGGTAACCGTCGCCTGTAGACATGAGCAGTACCATGGACATAACAGAGTATACTGTTTCGCTTATGCTAAATGCGTTGCTATTTCTGAGGACTAAGGTGGTAAATTCATTCTCATATCACATCATTCAAACCGAAACCCAGCCATGCAAACGCAATTGCTTGACGGTAGAAACATGAATGGGACAGAGGTGCACAAGCAAACGACTTTTGTACAAAGAATTCCTTTAGTAAAATTATATAAAATAAGATTTCTTGGATTCTTTGGATTTCGCTTGGATGCAACCTGATAGAAAGCAACCTCTATGCTAGTAGTGAGGCCACGGTATACGTGTACTTAATTGTTATACCATCGTAGTATTAAAAATGTGTCTAAGAATAATATAATTTTGTAATTTTCCAAGGACAATGGGGAATGCCGACTGTAAGCGTGGCCGGCGTCCTGGGCATGTTGGCCGGAGTCCTGGCTTGCACGGTGGAGTCTATCAGCTACTACCCTACAACAGCTAGAATGTGTGGTTAGTGATGCCGCTATTTTCTTTATAACTAGCATTTTACTATAGTTTGTATTGTTTTGTGTGAATTTGGAAAAAGACCCTTTTAGATCTTGCTTACGTTGTATAAGAAACTTCTTTGTAAAACCGTCATGCTCCTAGATATATTTGTTCCGACGATACGCAGAAGTTTATCAGCCCGAAAGGGAGTAAGAATATTAAGCATGGGTGTTATTAAGATTTTTTTCAAGGCACTCTCTTCCACGCACAACCTCTCTTTGGAATCAGCTTCCAGCAACAGTATTTCTGAACCGATACGACATCATAACCTTCAAGAAAAGAGCATATTTCTTTTTAAAAGGCTGGCAGCACACCTGCAATACCGTTGGTGTTGTGGGTGATCATGGGCGGCGGTAGTCATTTACCATCAGGTGAGCCGCATACTTGTTTGCCCCCTTTGTTATAAAAAAAAAAGATGGTTATATGGAGACCTAGAAAGATGTAAGTCGTTCATAGGGGAGTAAAAAGGGACGGATGGAAGAGCGAAATATTGCGCAGACCGTAAATGATCGATACTAATATAAAAAAGAAGAGTATGTTTGGCTGTTTGGACGGGTTAATTTCTGGAAGTATCAATTTACAACATTTGAATTTTTTTACATGTTATAACTTTTTTTTTATGCAACTTAGAATGGAAAACAAGCTGTCGGCCCACCTGATGGAAAGTGGAACCGTCGCCTATAGACATGAGCAGTACCATGGACATAACAAAGTACACTGTTTCGCCCATGATACCCCCCATGTGTTGCCATTCCTGAGGACTCAGGTGTTATTTTATAGCTTACTAGCTTTTACCTGAGACTTCGTCGGCGTGACAAGGATATGTTTACTACCTAGGGTAAAAAGTAGCCTATATCTTCCTCCGTCTATTATATTGTGTTTGTATACCAAATGTCATAGTGATTAGTATAGCTGTTAAGGCGCTGTAAGGTAACAAACAAACAATCTCACTTTTACATTTATATAATAATAGGTAAGGATGATGAATGTTAGGCTATTCCAGTGTTTTTCAACTTTTTTTGTGCCATGCTCCATTTAAATATTTCTAAAAATTTTATGTCTCCATACATAATTTTTCCTGACAAAGTTTATATGACGACTCTAATCGCCCAGGTGATATTTTGGTTACGTCAAAGGAAATTATACCTAATAAATATTTACAGCATTTTTTTTATTTACTGTTTTTTTTTTATGTTACATTTGGCACCGATACCTACTCGTAGCATTGCAAGAGGGTTAAAATCGCTTCGAGTCCATTTTTAATCCCCCCCCCCTCCCCCTTAATTATCAAATTGCCCCCCTGTGAGGTGTGGGCCCCACGTTGGGAAACACCGGGCTATTCAATAACGTGATACTTCTACAGGTGAAGCCGCTGGATACAGTAAGTATGAGATAAAGGCAGGAAAATTATGACTGTTCAAATTGATTTACGGATGAGTTAAATATATTTACTTTGAACCGAGTTCAGCAGATTGCAGTTAAATTGCAATTAATTGATGGTTATACGATTTTTGATTAATGACATGTATCCGATATCCAATTCAAGCCAATTTCGACCTACTAGTATGATTAGACGGGCTCGTAAAATTTATTTAGCTTCACACAACGTCCTTTATTACAAATAATTTTAGATTACAACAAGTTTTTATACGTACCTAAATCCAAACATCGAAATAACCATCAAGATACATTTTTTTTTATTCAATTTAGAATGGCAAACAAGCTGACGGCCCACCTGATGGCAAGTGGTAACCGTCGCTTATAGACATGAGCAGTACCATGAACATAACAGAGTATACTGTTTCGCCCATGATACCCTCCATGCGTTGCCATTCCTGAGGACTCAGGTGTTATTCCTCTGTACCCAGTAAATTCACGCCATATTCCACCCTTCAAACCGAAACACAGCCATGCAATCACAACTGCTTCACGGTTGAAACACGAATGGGACAGATACCCAAGCAATCGACTAGTATTATTACAGATTTATTGGAGTTCCTTTTAAATACAATATCTTACCAACTTATTGTCACAACAAAATTGTTATGTTGTTGGACTTAGATAAAGAAAATTATCAAATAATCTTTGTCCAAAAACCGCTTCACATACTTCTGTGTACTCACCACCAAATCCTTCTCTGTTCAGGCTGTGCGCCTACTGAACTCGCTGCCACCTTCTATACGGAGTGCCCAGTCCTTATCTTCGTTTAAAGGACAAGTCGTATTGCATTTTATTTCAATGTAGTTACTATTTTCCTTTTTTCTGTAATACTTTACTAAATTCGTCATATTTATTTGTGTGTACTATGTATATCTGCATGTATGTATATGTATTAAATATTTTTGTGCAATATAGTAGGTTTTGTATTTTATGCGCGTACAAATTATTCACTAATTATATTCTATGACTTTCTATATTTATTTTGTTTAATTCCGCTTACATTAATAGGTCTATGTGGAACTAGTAACATTTGAGGATTGATCACTTTTATTATTAGTGGAAATTCTATGACTTTCTATATCAGCGATCAATCTCCGACCATTATTCTTTCAGTACACGCTCATGTTGCGACACGTGTTTTAACTTTAAATGAGTTATCTTCAGGCAAATTAATAGATCACTGCTCAGACTCTAGTGTGCGTGGACTGAATAACGGTTGGAGATTGGAGACTGACTAATGTGTAAAGTCGTAGAACTTCTACTAATAATATTAGAAGTCAATTCTCAAATGCTAACAGTTGTAAACTAATGGTAGTGGAAATAAACTAAAACTCTACCAGAGAGTTCGTACAAAACTGGGGTACCTCTGTCCCATTCGTGTTTTTACCGTGAAGTAGTTGTGTTTGCATGGCTGTGTTTCGGTTTGAAGGGTGGAACACGGCAGTGAATTTACAGGGTACACTGGAATAACACCTGAGTCCTCAGGAATGGCAATGCATAGTGGGTACCATTGGCGAAACAGTATACTCTGTTATGTCCATGGTACTGCTTATGTCTATAGGCGACGGTGTCCACTTTCCATCAGGTGGGCCGTCAGCTTCTTTGCCATTATAAGTTGCATAAAAAAAACTAAATAATTCTAATTGACTAACCGGTAAGAATATTTTGCAAGGGAGCCTGGTCCCTGAAAAATGTTATAAGTCGCATATTATATCTTCAAAAGGGGGATAAAGAGGTTTCTTCAGGGTCGGCAACGCACGCGTAATACCTCTGGTATTGCAGGTGTTCATAGGCTACGGTAACCACTTACCATCAGGTGGGCCGTATGCTTGTTTGCCACCACAGTGGTATAAAAAAAAGGTATACTCTCAGACATGTCTTTGCGAATAATTAATAGCTTCGCTCGTATCTTGGGGTGGGGATCAGGTAATTTGGGGGCAAACAAGGCTCACCTTTCCTCTCCAATTAAACACATTTACGATGTGAAAATATATTTTATAATTTTCCTAGCTGCACCTCCTCCGCCTCTCCACGCCATCAATCGAGGTCTTGGCACCGAAGGTCTGGGCACAGTATTGGCAGGACTCTGGGGTTCTGGTAACGGAACGAACACATTTGGCGAGAATGTTGGAGCGATTGGTGTCACCAAGGTATAGTAACTAACATGTCCAGTTGATATTTTTTATTATTATTTCAGCCGTTAGCTGTCCACCGCTGGACAAAAGCCTTCTCCATAAGGGGAGTTTTGCCAGTATCTGCCACGCTTGGCAGGCGGGTTGGCGACCGCAGTTAGTCTTTTACAGATATTTTAAGAGGGACGCTACGATCCGTCCCTGTTCTCCCTTAGTTGACTCTTACCACACCCATGGAAAAGGAAGGGGAGGCCTATTCTATGCGATTTGAATACTATTTGCACAACAGTTGATATTAACAAAAAATAATTGTATAATTATACATATATTTATCGCCGCGTGGTCCCTGTATAGAATGGACTATACCTTCCTTTCCATGGGTGTCGTAAGGGGTGACTAAGGGAACTTAACGGTCGAGGGATGGGCAGCAGCGTTCCTATCATCACCGAAGCCTAACTGCGGTTGCCAATCCGCTTGACAAGCGTGGCAATTACTGACAAAACTCCCTTCTCTCCAAAAAGCCCTTATGGATGAAGTCTATGTTCAGCGGTAGATAGGATTCAACAGCCGTAACAAAAGTGTTCCTAGTAAAATAGTAAAAAGTATAGATATAGAAAACTATAACTCGCCTTCTCACCGAACATGGGGGAAATTGATCATACTTCCATAGATTCAGATTGGCGGATAGTTCCAACTACCAATGTATATATATATATATATATATATATATATATATATATATAAACATCTACAACTGTAAGCATGGACGAGACGTTATCTAAAAATGACGTTAAACACATGTTTGAGAACGAGGCACACTAGGGACAGATTACTGAATTTTGAAAGGGCTTAGCCGAGGCTTGTGGCAAGGGACAATGACTCAATAAGTTTGAAGTTAATACCGGACATGACACAGAGAGGACTTTACATTTTTATACATATTTTATGCATTTTTGTTTTTTGTTACATTTTATTACTTTGAAAAAAGGGGAAAAATTACATTTATATTTTAAACAGATTAGAAGTTTGTCGCATTGACTATAGCGACAGAAACTATAGAAGTAAAAAAATATATCCATGGTGCTGTTCACTTTTATAGGCGACGGTTACGACTTTCCATTAGGTGGATCTTTTTTAATGGAATGGTAATCCCGCCTGCACAGGGGGGAAGGGGGTTGTTAGTAATGTGAACTACCAGACCCATTGCTAACAATATACGCTGTCAGGTCGACTTTCACGCGGTTCCCCCTGAAAACCATCGTGCTGAATTCCAGGTGTATTCATTATGGTGTGCTAACTGACCTGCTTTTTCAGGGGGGGGGGGAGGGAGTGTTAGTAATACGGACTAGCAGTCCCATTGCTACCAATATACCCTGTCAGGTCGATCTCCACGTGGTCTCCCCTGGAAACCATTGTGCTGAATTCCTAACGTATTCATTACGATGGGCTAACTGACCTGCGTTTTCATCCTCACCTATTCCTATATATTCCTCACTGGTGCCCCGCCAGCGTATACCGATAGCGCAGGCGGAATTACCATTTCATTATTATCTATTAAAAAAACCGCATATGCGCTATTGGTATACGCTGGCAAGGCACCAGTGAGTGATGATAGCTGAAGACAAATCTATCAGGTGAGTGGACAGACTGTTTGTCATTACAAGTGCTAAACAATTTCTACCAGGTGGGATCGAGACGCGTGGTGCAATGGGCAGCCGGTCTGATGGTGCTGCAGGGAGTGGTCGGTAAACTGGGCGCCGTGTTCATCATCATACCTCAGCCCATAGTCGGTGGACTGTTCTGCGTTATGTTCGGCATGATTTCCGCTTTTGGTATGTGTGGTTTAACATATATTAACTTAGTTTAAATTGTGAATGACTGCAACAATTATTGTTAAGCTAATCAAAACTCGATATTGGTTGGCACATCCATCATACTGTTAAATTTGTGTTGCTTTCTTTAAAGATGGGAAATTGGAATGGCAACCATATTTTTTTTATACGACTGAGGTGGCAATCAAGCATACGGCCCACCTGATGGTAAGCGGTTACCGTAGCCTATGAACGCCTGCAATACCAGAGGTATTACGCGCGCGTTGACGATCCTGAAGAAACCTCTTTACCCCCTTTTGAAGAACCCCATGCTGTAGTCTCTTGGGAAAACCTTGGCAGGGAGCTCATTCCATAACCTGAGTGTTCGTGGGAGAAAACATCTGTGAAACCGTGTTGTACGCGACCACTTAGGCTGTAAGGTATCAGGGTGAATTCCCCGTCAATGGCAAGCCATATTATGATAGAAAGTGGCCGTAGGCATCATATTGAGTAATTCCTCTGAGCACAATCCGTTGTACAAGCGGTAGAATACGCAGAGTGAGCCAAAATCTCTCCTAAGACTCAAGAGTTCGATACCGCTTGTGAACCTGAGATCATCGATAATTCTCAAAATTTCTCCTAAGACCTAAGGGTTCGATACCATATAAACCCCCTAGGAGGAGGCTTATGTTTGGTAGTGGACGGTAGAGGCTGATCATATGATGATGATGAATATTCTTATATCATCACTTCTAGGCCTATCAGCCCTGCAGTACGTGAACCTGAACAGCTCCAGGAACCTATACATCATTGGGTTCAGCCTGTTCTTCCCGCTGGTGCTCACTCGGTGGATGTCAGCGCACAGCGGGGTCATTAACACGGGCGTTGAGGCCCTGGATGCTGTGCTTCAAGTGTTGCTGTCAACTTCTATACTGGTTGGAGGAGTGGTTGGGTGTCTGCTCGATAACTTAATACCTGGTAAGTATGTTACCTTAATAATCACGTTCATGTCCTTCTCTTACCTAAACCGACAGAGAAAAGATGTTTTTTATTTGTCTACACTAATATATAAAGAGGAAAGATTTGATTGTTTGCAATGGATAAACTCCTATATTTACCAGAGGGAGACTTTGTACAAAAGTCGATTGCTTTTATCGTTTTTTTTGCATTTGCTCGTGAAGCAGCTGTGTTTGCATTGCTGTGTTTCGGTTTAAAGGGCCATATTCTACCTTTTAAGTTAATAAAGTTATAAATTATTGAATTTAAACGAAGATAAAAACTTGCCATGCTAATGTAGGTACGGACGAGGAGCGCGGGCTGGCCGCATGGGCGCAGCAGATGGCTCTAGAGGCGGGCGGCGCCTCCGAGCACGGGGATACCTACGACTTCCCTGTTGGCATGAGTCTCATACGCAGGTATGTATTCTTAATAGTGTTTTTTTTTTATAGAATGAAAATGGCATAGTAATCCCGCCTGTATTTTTTGGCAGTAGTCGCCACGCTTGGCAGGCGAATTGGCAACCGCAGTTAAGCTTTGGAGATATTTTAAATTTAATAAATATTATCATTTGTAATTGCAGATGGAAGTGGACAAGTTATCTACCATTCATGCCAACATACGAAACTGGCAAGTTTACTGCGCTATTCCAAGGCAAGAAAGAGAGCTGATGGCACCAGCTTGACAAACAGCGCTGGACTTTACCAGGGACATACAGAATTACAGTTTAGCCGATTGAGTTAGATAATTGCATTAAGTTATAGATAAATCTAAATTAATATTGTTACAATAAAAACTAAATACAAAAATAAAAATAAGTCGATCGAAGTAAAAGTATTTCAAAAAATACATGAGAGGTATTGATGAAAAAATTTCTGTATATTTGTTCGCGCAAAACTATTGGGTGCGCTTTCCACAGTTATTTTCCTGAGTCATGCACATAACAGAGTGTACTATTTCGCCCATGATACCCCCCATGCGTTGCCATTCCTGAGGACTCAGGTGTTATTCCTGTGTACCCAGTAAAATACTAATCGTAATTACGTCATATCCTACCCTTCAAACCGAAACACAGCCATGCAAACACAACTGCTTCACGGTAGAAACACGAATGGGACAGAGGTACCCAAGTAATTGACTTATGTACAAAATCTCCCTCTGATAAATTTAGTAAAACACACAAAAAACAAGCTTAATTGCATGATATTGCAAAACCTAATGTTTCGCATCGAGCCTCGCGTGTAACTTCCGACAATAGTGCTTTCGACGGCAACGTCGCAACCAAAACAAACGTTTTATTGCATTCCGGGAGGAGCGGAAAAGAAAGAAAGAAAGAAAAAGAATATATTTCGTGACATACATATAAACATTACAACAGCTAACAATAAAAGTAATTTCTAGCAAAAAAAGCAGTAAAGAAAGGGAGGTAAATAGTTTTATTTGTATACACAGAGAAATAATAAGAGCCTACTAGGAATTAGAAATGCATACGGCAAGAAAATAAACGAAAATGCATCGAATAAAGTCGTATCGACACCATGTGACCGCTTGATAATTAAAATATGATGTGTGGAAATATCATAAATACACACTGTTGTACACACAAACGACTACATAATATTAAAGTAGATATAGTAGATAGATAGATAGATAGATAATTTATTTACATTACTTACAGCACACAAATTACAATAAAAAAAAACATACACATAATAAAAGAGATAAAAGAATGAAAATAAAAAAGCACAATAAAAAAAAAATATATATATAAATTAACAATCTCCTTTCTTTCCCTTCCTTCATGCGTGTGCCATAATAACACAAAATGGTCACATCTCAGTTTATTGCTTTGCCCTTAAAAGAGCAAAACACTGATATTCTGATATTTTGCTATGGCCAAGATAAGTAAGTACTTAATAATAAATAACTACCGGTTTAACTTATGTGTAATTTGGTCGAAAAACTTCGACTAGTTTCGGGACCATTAAGGAGTCTTAATCTTGAGCGGCTGTGATACGAGTGTGAGTTTAAAAATAAAATATAAGGCAAATATTAGTCAGAATTCATGATAAATGTAATTAAATTGTCATAATACAAAAAGTGGATTAAATCTGTTTTGTTACTAATAATAAATGTGTAGTTTAATTAATAAACGAATAAAAAAAGCAGGAGATTTTTAATTTAACACTATTTTTTGTATGCTTGTTACCCAATATCTTCTATAATTCTGCGGCTTGGATGGTTCTCCTTGCAAGCAATATTATAAGTTATCAAATTTTACCAGAGAAAGACATTGTATTGTACGTGTGTCCCATCTGTGTTTCAGTTGTGGAGTAGCTTGGCATGGCACCGAATGAGGCACTGAATGAATGGCAATGAAATTACAGGGTACAGAGGAATAACACCAGAACTTAGGAATGGGGGGGGGGGGAAGAGATTATTAGTAATGACTTACTTTCATCCTCACCTATCATCCTTCACTGGTATCTCGCCAGTGTTTACCGTTAGCGTAGGTGGGGTTACTATTCTATTATCATCCATTAAAAAAAAAATCATTAGGAACGGCAAAGCGTGAAGGTGATACCCATGGAATTGCTCATGTCTATAGGCGACAGTTACCGCTTTCCATAAGGTGGGCCGTCAGCTTGTTTGCCATTCTAAATAATATAAAAAAAGCTTTCTCTATAAAAATAATTGTAAACTTTTGCTCCAGTCTTTAATATATTATTTTATCGACTTCAAATAAATGTGTTCCACAATAAAGCTGACTTTAATTGTAGCAAAACCAGTTTTAGATTTAAAAACTAAATTACTGAACCTATTTTGATAAAATTTTAATGGTACCAATTTATAAGTATCATCATCACCTTCCTACCCTTATCCCAATCATTTGGGGTCGGCGTAATAAGATTTTGTCCATATTACAAAAAGATTTGGTTTTTAGTTTTACGACTGTGGCAGTGTGACGAAACCTGTGGCACTGCGACCTTTCCATGATCTTTCGTACTCGCCCCTTTTTTTAAAGTTCACTGCTAATTTCTATCAACGATAGGAATTTTAAGATGTTCTCTGTAGCGACGTTTTTATCTGCTCAGGATATAAAGTGTGTTTTCCAAAGGAGTTATATCGTTTATATATGAGTAGGCTACAACCACAAATTAAGTGCTACGGCGTTTCTTCCTTACTGTGACAAAATCTGCAAACACTTTTTGGGCATAAGCTTAGTTGGGACATATGCTTGTTTCGTTTACAGTGTCTAGTGAGAGCCCTTGTTAATACACATATATTATTTTTACTAAAAAAAAAAAACTAATTTCTTAGAGTAATTTTCTGAAAACTTGATCAGGGCTTTCGAATGATTTAACCCTGGTAACAAGAGCTTTTATTTGCTACTGAATGCATATCTGTTTAGATAAAAAAATTATTTTCCAAATCGGTTTAGAACTAACGGAGTTATGAGGTAACAAACATAAAATCACAACCGAAAATACAGAGACACCTCTGTGTTTTTGAAGTCTTTTGAAAAAGGGAGGTTTTTTTTAATGAATAATAATGGAATGATAACCCCGTCTGTGCCATTGGTAAATACCAGCGGAGGGCACCGACACCAGTGAGGAATAATAGGCGGAGGAAAGAAGGAGAACTAGGTCAGTTGATCCGTCGTGACGAATTCAACAATGCATTAATCATGACGTTTCCAGGCTCTCGCATTTAGTACGATCTGATAGGGCATATTGCTAGCAATGGGTTACTAAGCGCCATTACTAATAATCCTTTCTCCCTCCAAACGAGGAAGTCCTAAATTCGGTTGTATGTTTTTTTTATTTATCTTTAATGTATTAGAAATAATGTTATTACTGAAACGGGAAAAACATAATACGGACACCGGTACCGTGTCGGATATGTTTGATGTGACGGATGTGACGGCGGCGCGGGCAGGAAAATATAATTTGTCGGATAAATCCGAGTGGACCGGTCAGAAGGTTAACGAATTTGTAAATAGCTTTTTACTCGCAGATGCTCAGGTTATGGAATGAACATTGGGAGCATACCATGACAGGTTTTCTCAAGAAATTACAACGTGGAATGTCTGTTTTTTTTTTAACAATTTAGAATGGCAAACAAGCTGACGGTCCACCTGATGGAAAGTGGTAATCATCGCCTATAGACATGAGCAGTACCATGGACATAACAGAGTATACTGTTTCGCCCATGATATCCCCCTTGCGTTGCCATTCCTGAGGACTCAGGTGTTTTTCCTCTGTACCCAGTAAATTCACGCCATATCCGACCCTTCAAATCGAAATACAGCTATGCAAACACAACTGCTTCATGGTTAAAACACGAATGGGACAGAGGTATCCAAGCAATCGACTTTTGTACAAAGTCGCCCCCTGGTGAGTCTCCCTCATATACACCAGATTTTAAGTTAGACTTTCAGGAACACAACCATATTCAATTTGCTGCAATAGTTTTTGCATGATGCCGGAACAAACATACAGACAGAAAGACAGATTATCGTTTTGGCTTCTATTTCCTAAACTAAGACCTCTCGTAATAATTTTTCTTAAATATCTGCTATGTACAGACATAGTTTAGTTACAATTTTATTATATTACTAGCTGACTCGACAAACGTTGTTTTACCATATACATTATTTCGAGAACTGTACATGAAAATTTATCGTACTACAATTATTATATTCGATTGCCATCTTACAACCCTATTGCGGCATATAAAAATCGCGATTAAAAACAGGGGTTGATCGTGAAAGCGAGAAAATTTCAATTTATATGTATTTTTCAATGTTAAAATTATAATAAAATAAAAATAAATAATTTTGTTGAAAAATAAAAAAAATTTAAAGGTAGGTCACCCTTATCATTGAGGGGTATGAAAAATAGATGTTGGCCGATTTTTAGACCTACCCGATATGCACACAAAATTTCATAAAAATCGGTAAAGCCGTTTCGTAGGAGTTTGGTAACAAACACCGTGACACGACAATTTTATATATTAGATTGATGTAAACCCATATCGCTGTCCAGTTGAATTGTCTGGCATTTTTTCAATTTATGTTTCTTTGAGGAAATTCTTCAATTTTATTAGTATACAGTCCTTTAAAATTTGGGGAAAGGGATTGTTAGTAATGGAGACTGAGAATCCCATTGCTAGCAATACACCCAACCAGGTCGACCTCCTCGCGGTTCTCCCTGGAAACTATCATGGTTGATTACTTGTGACTTCATCATGATGGGCTAACTGGCCTGTTTTCATTCTCATCTATCACCCTTCACTGCTGCTCCGCCAACGTATCCCGTTAGCGCAGGCGGGGTTACCATACCATTTTCACCCATCAAAAAAAAAGTCCTTTAAAATTTATAACACTGTCTTAGTGTCTAAATGGACGTTAAGGCTTGGTTCTATCAAGTATAATGCACGTACAGTTCTACGATGCTATTGTAAATCATTAATTACATCTTTTTTTTTTATTCCACTGAGGTGGCAAACAAGCATACGGCCCACCTGATGGCAAGTTACCGTAGCTTATGAACACCTGCAATACCAGAGGTATTACGCGTGCGTTGCCTACCCTAAAGAAACCTCTTTACCTCCCTTTTGAAGAATCCCATGCTATAGGCTCTTGGGAAAACCTCGGCAGGGAGGTTATTCCATAATCTTTTTTTTTATATACGACTTTAAATGGCAAACAAGCTGACTGAAAGTGGTAACCGGTGCCTATAGACATGAGCAGTACGATGGACATAACAGAGTATACTGTTTCGCCCATGATACCCCCAATGCGTTGCCATTCCTGAGGACCCAGGTGTTATTCCTCTGTACCCTGTAAATTCACGTCATATCCCACCCTTCAAACCGAAACACAGCCATGCAAACACAACTGCTTCACAATAGAAATACGAATGGGACAGAGGTACCCAAGCAATCGACGTTTGTACAAAGTCTCCCTGAGTGTTAGAGCACCCCAAAATTATATTTCTAATATAATATATGCGTAATCAATAACGAACAGAAAATGCTATGAAAAATGATTCAGTTCCTTTTTCAAATACATTCGCGTCATTGCCAGTAGGGTAAAGGCGCCACTTATCGTTAATCCCTCCGACAGATCTCCGAGAGAACAGTCCGCCTGTTGTTTATGGCACCTTTCCGGGGGTTTGTCAACAACAGTTCGGTGGCAAGTTCGCGTGCGACACGCACTGTGGCACTGTGCACAATCCGGCACACGGATTGTTATGAAATGGCATGTAATTTTTACAAATCTGTTGTTATACATATTTCGTAATAGTAAATAGTAAATGCTGTTCGTTTTCACCCCGTATAAGTCATGAATGATGGCTTTTTTTTTTCAATGTAATCATTTCATTATAGAGTATTGAATGTTTGTAAAAAATAAATAAATGTAATTTACAAATATTCAATGAAGATAATTAATTAGAATTATTACAGTATAGTCCATTAAAATCCATGTTTCTGTCTCATTTTATGTTACTATGCAGTCCTTAGAGATACAGTTTAAATGTCTTTTTCAGACAAATAAATTTGCGGGACAATATAGATATATCTGTAACTCAACTCAACTATATCTGTAACCCATAACAATACAACAATAAAGACATCTTTATATAGTTCAAATTGTTATTCCATGGCAGTCAGAATATATAACAAACTGCCAACAAATCTTAAAAACTTAAATTATAATAGGAGTAAATTTAAAAAAGAACTACATAAATGGCTTGTAAACAAGTGTTACTATAGTGTCCAGGAATATTTACAAAATATAAAATGTTGACACATTATAAAAGATTGACATTTCTGTATTGCAATTATTATTATATCTGTACAATTAACGTTTAACAATTTGACATGTTATTTTATTAAATTATATTATTACATGTTAAAAAAATATTTTGTCATAACCTATGTAATGACTGTTGCACGTCAGTAATGACAAAATGTGTGAAACCATTATAAAACTAGCATATGACCTTATTGTACAACATTTTTTGCGATAAAATTCATTCATTCATTCATAACAATTTTAAATTCTTTCCACCGCATAATTGCATTTCTGTTTTGCGAACGTTTGACCGAGAGAGAATGCTGTATAGTATTAAGTCCGTCTTTTGTACCGAACATTTTTTTTAATGTAATCAATAAAGAATAAATAAACTTTTTTGAAGGAAATTGCAGGGTACGGACATACAAAAACATAGATAGATAGAAATTCTTTATTGTTTCCTCCAAAAGATTACAATAGTAAACTTATTATAAATATAAACAATTACAAGAAATAATCACAGTGAGAAAACAATGGGCGACTTTATCGCTAATAGCCATCTCTTCCAGGCAACCTTTGGATGGAGAGGAGTAATTATAAACAATTTGGTGGGAGGCACGATGAAAAATTAATGGAAAGAAAAAAACATAGTTCTCGGAAATGGCAATGCATGAAGGGTGATGTAAATGATGCCGTTTACGTCTGTACATAATGGTCACTATTATCCATCAAGTGGGTAAGTAATCCCATAGGTGTCCATTCATAATCATAAGACATCTTACAAATTACCGGTCCCACTTATATCACAGCTTTAGTTCTCTTTGTCCATGCGAGTCCAGCTGTGAAAATAAATAAAGGACATTCAGAGGATAAGCGAGTGCCTCAAAATATTAGGTGGACAAAGTGAGGTAAAATAAATCCCATAACGAGGGTAGATAAAGTGTGTGTGAAACAGTGGAAGGTAATACTGAAAATCTGCAAAAACAAATTGACTTTACTTGGCGTAACAGTTTATCCTGTTAGAATCATAAAGGATAAATATTGGGGTGTTTGTCTTTTACGATTGTTTAAAATCTATATTTGACCTTGTGACAGATCAGCAAAAGTGCTATTATCTTATCAGACATTAATTGCTCATTTTTTAATACGGACACAAATAAATTTTTGAGCTACCTGCATCTATTTCATGTTTGGTTTCATTTCTAAAATATGACTGGTTAAATTAAAATAAAATCCCTTGGAACTACATACATATGTACATGTATATCTATCACGTCTATCTAATAATTAGGGTAGGCAAAAACAACCCTTGGAGCTGTACCTAATTATTTCGAAACGAGTCAGCGTGTGCTTCCTGTAACCGTCACGTCAAAAATTAAATTATAAACGTGTGATCAATTTGTGCATTGTTTACAACGTTTTAAATACTACAGCGGGTCAATCAAAAATTACAAAGATAGGAGCCCTAGTAGTGGGCATGCACCAGCCCAGTGTTTACATTTCGGCGCACGCATTCTAACCTGTTGTGCGGAGTGGGGAATATCGACCGTCCGGGCGCGGCAGTCTGGGTCGCACCACGCCCGCAGTTGGTCGTACTGTGATACGCTAGTGTCCATTGTGAGTGCTTTTACCCGTCATGCAGCCGGCAACACGCTGGCTGCATTGAGAGAACATCTTCAGGTGATTTTTTTAAATATGTATATTTAATTATAACATTAATTCTATGGTCACAACAATTGACGCCGTTACCCTATGTAATTGTTTGGCAAATTATGCATCTGTGATATGTTTACCTGTTTGGACGTTTGTTGAATGTAAAATCGGTGTTTGAATTTAGCTATTTTTAAACTAAAATCCGTTAGTACAAAGATCCATCGCGACGCCGTTTAGTCGTGCGGGCGTCGTTACAAAGATTCAGCTTTAAATCCACGTATTTTCAAAGGTATTTTTTTATTAATTGCAATTAATTTTTTAACCATTTTTATATAATTGTTTAAGTTGATTGATCGATTGTTTTTAAAGTGCATATTTAGAACGACTATCGGTATATAAATTTCTCGTAAACTTCTACATTCTCATGTTATCAAATGTATATATTTACTTTGTATATAACATGTGTATATAATACATAAATAAGTGAATTTTAAAATAATCCCTGATCCTTTAAAAAATTATTACTACAAATTATTTTCATGCTCAATTTTTTAAAGAAATCATCGTGATATCTTTAAACATTCCTACTTCAAACTTTTTGTCTCGCTTATCATAATTAACCGTGTTATTGATGTTATATGTTTAACAATTTGATGCTAATTCTATTTACTTAGTCATATTATATTACTTTATACACTCTATTTTATTATAAATATATCGTAAAACATAGAAAAATCTAATACGCAGTTAAGGAATCTACGCATGACATAAAAATGAGGGTAGATAAGTTATCCTTAACGATTTTTGTTATTTATTCTTTTTAAAATAAGTGGGTACAAGAAAATATAGTATACGTATATGTATTTTTGTAATCTGATAAATATTTTTGAAAGTTCAAAATTAAAATCGACGCTTGTTATTACCATATACTAATAATTCGTAAGTTAATTCGTTTTAAATTCAAAATGTACAATTCTGTAATGATGATTCGATGTTTATGGTTTAAACGGCTAAATATAGTCTATTGAAAATTTCTATTTGGACAAATATAGGTAAACAAATGAGTTTCAGCTAGTTTCTAATAAGAACTTTCGTATAATTTTAGGTTTTTTTGTGAACTTACTCGAACTGGGGGGAAGGGACTGTTAGTAATGGAGACTGAGAATCCCATTGCTAGCAATATACCCAACCAGGTCGACCTCCTCGCGGTTCTCCCTGGAAACTATCATGGTTAATTCCTAATGAATTCATCATGATGGGCTAACTGGCCTGTTTTCATTCTCATCTATCACCCTTCACTGGTGCCCCGCCAGCGTATCCCGTTAGCGCAGGCAGGGTTACCATACCATTTTCACCCATCAAAAAAAAAAACATACTCGAACTATGTTTAATTTATTTATTTATTTATAGGATCACCAACATAAGGTACAGCGAAGTATTTCAATACAATACACTAATGGACTAGGGCTAATTGTTCTTACATTTAGAGACAACCGCAGCATGAATTAATAATGCAATTTAAAAAACATTAAAATATAATTTAATTATTAAATGTTATCAAACGAATAAAAATATTAATAATTGATATGTTTTATTTAGTTGCTGCGTAGGTAGGTAACTACTGTACATCGTGTAATATTATTTTTTAACTAAAAACTTCAATAACTAAAGAATTCGATTTTTTTTTCTACAACTTAGAATGGCAAACAAGCTGACGGCCCACCTGATGGAAAGTGGTAACCGTCGCCTATAGACATGAGCAGTACCATGGACATAGCTGAATATACTGTTTCGCCCATGATACCCCCCCATGCGTTGCCATTCCTGAGGACTCTGATGTTATTCCTCTGTACCCTGTAAATTCACGCCATATCCCACCCTTCAAACCGAAACACAGCCATGCAAACACAACTGCTTCACGGTTGAAACACGAATGGCACAGAGGTACCCAAGCATTCGACTTTTGTACAAAGTCTCCCTCTGGTGAAAACGATGCTCAATTAATACAAAAAAATTAACTCGTACCTATATATGTATAATATTTCAATTAAATTCAATTATTTATTGCATTTTCATTTTGTAACAATATAAATCTTAAGCATTAGAGGTACAGTATCAACATGTACCCTGTGGAAGGGCACAGCAGTTATATAAATAAATGTTACATAAAATACACAACTTCATTTTTATATTATACATGCATAGTCGAGTAACACAAAATAAATAAAACATTATTACATTAAAACAAAACAAATAAGTACAAATACAATTAAATTTTCTTACTGAAAAATTCTTGCATTGTATAATAAATAACCTTTTAAAATTAAATTTTTTTTAATGCAATATCATTTAAAATATTAAACTTTTTAGAATCATTTTCATTTGTTAAGTGTATTGGGATGTTATTGTAAGTTTTTATTGACATTGCGTAAGGGCCTGAATGGAATAATTGTAGCTTCGAGATAGGTCTTTCTAATCTACATTGCGATCGTAATGTCTGAGGGCGGTTATGTTTATTTATATTTCTTTTTATTATTATTTTTAATAAGGAATTTCGCGACTGACTCTTGGCCACAACAGAATATCAGTGTTTTACTCTTTTAAGGGCAAAGCAATAAACTGGGTTGTGACCATTTTGTGTTACTATGGCACACTTGTTGGTTTATATATTTAGTTTATTTTTGTGTATTGTTGCTTTTTTATTTTCATTCTTTTATCTCTTTTACTGTGTATTATGTGTATGTTTTTTTTTTTATTGTAATTTGTGTGCTGTAAGTAATGTAAATAAATTATCTATCTATCCATTACATTTAACAAAATGACACGCTTCCAATATGTACATTGATGGTAAAGTTCAAATTTTGTTTAATAATGTATGGTTTGCATGTATTCCTACTATCTATGTTAGCAATTATTCTGAGACGTGGTTTTTGCAATCAATAACATTTGTATGGTAAGATATGGGGTAATAGAATTACCCCATATTAATATACCCTACTGAATAGGTAAATAAGTGATATTAGATGTCTCAATACTGAGACTTCGGGACTGCTTTAATCTAGGATTCAATTTAAAATCTAGGATTAGATTTAATTTAAACAATTCATGTAATGAAACTGTACTCGCAATGTGGGTATTAAGACAATTAAGCATTGACTTTACCTATTAAGGTAAAGCCTAAAAATTAATACGATTTAGTATAATTTTTAAAAATCTACAATTCTATGCAATACATATCTTTATACGCAGCTTCGTCTGTTTTTTTTTTATACAACTTAGTATGGCAAACAAGCTGACGGCCCACCTGATGGAAAGTGGTAACCGTCGCCTATAGACATGAGCGGTACCATGGACATAACTGAGTGTATACTCAACTTTGTACAAAAGTCGTTTGCTTGGACACCTCTGTCCCATTCGTGTTTCTACCGTGAAGCAGTTGTATTTACATAGCTGTGTTTCGGTTTGAAGAGTAGGATATGGCAGTGAATTTACAGGGTACAGAGGAATAACACCTGAGTCCTCAGGAATGGCATCGCATTGGGGTTGTCATGGGCGAAACAGTATACTCTGTTAGATCCATAGTACTGTTCATGTCTATAGGCGACGATTACCAATTTCTATCAGGTGGGCCGTCAGCTTGTTTGCCATTCTAAGTTGCATAAAAAAATGTTTAAAATTTATATTGATTTAGTATTAGTAAAGATAATTTGTATATTTGTATGATTGACAGCTAGAGAAGACTTATTGCGTTGGCTTTAAAGTAAATGGGATGAAGGCAAGGCAATGACGATGATTGATGATAGGCGGGCCATATTTGTCGTGTTCTAGATACTAAGCGATGGGTACCGACATCGGGGGTAGACCGGTGCGTAGGCTCTCTGTAGGAAGGGCTTGGCTCAACTACGATCTAAATAGAGACATATGGAGCTTTTGGAAGGCTTTTGTCCAGCAGTAGGACATGATATTGATTGTAAATAAATTTTAATATACTCTGTTTCAATTAAATTTAATGAAAAAATAATCAATTAATATTTTTTTTTAATTTACCTTTCGTCATTATCAACCGTTTACCGTCCACTGTTGAACATTAGCCTCCCCTGTAAAGGGGTTTGACAGTAGACACCATGCTTGATAGGGGGACAATCGCAGTTAAGCGTTAGTGATGTTTTAAGCTGGACACTGCCGCCCTACTCTCTACTATTAAGTTTTCTTAGTTGCCCCTTACAACATCCAGGGGAAAGGAAGGGGTGGCTTATTTTAGGTCGGGACCACACAGCAATGTTATAAAATTTATTTAAAGATTTAAATTTTTTAAATATATTATTATGAATTCAATTCGTTCGTTTCCAGCGGGAACCACGTGGAGGTCGACCTGTTAGGGTATATGGCTAGAAATGGAGCTGTTAGACCCCACTATTGACAATCCCTTCCTCCCTCAATATGATTAAGTTAACCACTTGAACAGTAGTAGTATGCAGTGATAGTATTTGTTAATCCAACCTTTTAACGAGTTATCAGGTATCCCGTTATCTATCCGGTAGCTGTTACTACTCTAGCGATAAGTGACGTAACCGGGTAGTACGTATGAACTTATATATATATTTTTTATATTGGATGAAAATGGAATGGTAACCCCGCCTGCGCTAACGGGATACGCTGGCGGGGCACCAGTGAAGGGTGATAGATGAGAATGAAAACAGGCCAGTTAGCCCATCATGATGAATTCATCTGGAATTAATCATGATAGTTTCCAGGGAGAACCGCGAGGTCGACCTGGTTGGGTATATTGCTAGCAATGGGATTCTCAGTCTCCATTACTAACAATCAAGTAAATAGGATTACTATGTAAGTAATCTTTTAGTATATTCTTTGAAATAACAAAAAGACAATGAAGTCGGTTTATAAGTCACGGAGTTATAAAATAACAAATATGTAAAAAAAAAAATAACCGGATTAAATAAAATAAAAAAAGGAGTAAAGTGGTTTCTTCAGGGTCGGTAACAGACGTAACCGACGTCCTGGTATTGCAGGAGTTCATAGGTTACAGTAACCGCTTACCATAATGTGGGCCGTATGCTTGTTTGCCATCTCAGTGGTATAAAAAAAAGAACTTCCTTCCTTGTTCATGTCGGTTGATAATAAAACAGAAATTTTACTATTAAAGTAATAAGGGAGACTCACCAGAGGGAGACTTTGTACAAAAGTCGATTGCTTGGGTACCTCTGTCCCATTCGTGTTTCAACCGTGAAGCAGTTGTGTTTGCATGGCTGTGTTTCGGTTTGAAGGGTGGGATATGACGTGAATTTACAGGGTACAGAGGAATAACACCTGAATCCTTAGGAATGGCAACGCATGGGGGGTATCATGGGCGAAATAGTATACTCTGTTATGTCCATGGTACTGCTCATATCTATAGGCGACGGTTATCACTTTTCATCAGGTGGACTGTCAGCTTGTTTGCCATTCTAAGTTGTATAAAAAAAAAACTCAAATTATTTGTTGATTTTTAAACTTTATCAAAACCTGTTCAGCAATAGTTTAAAAACTAAACCAAAATAACCAGTTTTGTCAGGACTGAAGTCGGTTTTTTTAAGAAACAAAATAGTAAATTGTTGATCGACTTCAAAAAGAAGGGGTTTCTCAATTTGGTTGCATTTTTTATGTTTATTATATTGTCCCTCATAAAACAAAAGCCTGACTGCGGTTGCCAATTTTCCTGCCAAGCGTGGCAACTATTGCCTCTAATGGTCTAAAGTCCCCAGTAGGAAGGTCTATGTCCAGCAGTGGACAGTTAGCGCTTATTATGATGATGATGGTAGGTCATTCACTCTTTGGAATCAACTTCCAGCAGCAGTATTTCCGAACCGATACGACAACAGAACCTTCAAGGAAAGATATATAAGGTATATTCCTTTTTAAAAGGCCGCCAGCACACCTGCAATGCCGTTGGTGTTGTGGGTGATCATGGGCGGCGGTAGTCACTTACCATCAGGTGAGCCGTATGCTCATTTGCCCCCTGTGTTGTAAAAAAAAAGTTATAAGATATGCAGCGCGTAAGTCTAAATATCAATATTAACATACTATGTAACATGGGTACATTTGTACCCGAAATTTCGCTTTCACTTTGTATGTACGAATGACATACATATCCCGGCCACACGCCTCCGTTACTGCACCCTGGGAGGGGTCAAAGCGTAAATTTTTTATTACAACCCTCTGTCTCTCTCTATTCCACTATATTCTGTCACTTTCTGTTCGTAAATTGAAGTGAATAAAGTTCCAGTAATGCGATATTGATAGGGTCATTAATGCCGCGCGGGGTTTTTGTAGAAAAATTTATATGAGTACTTGCTGTTGGCCATTTACAAGGGATCTGAATTAGTATATTTTTTTTATAGCACATTAAATTATGTACTGTGAATCGTTTATGAACTCTCTGTTTGTATAAATAAAGGCGTAATTGCTAATTTTATTCATAAAATAACGTCAAATCTATACTTGTAATAAATCTGTAGAGAGGTCAATTCTGTACATGAAATATATTTCCAAAATAACTATCAGGCGGTGATCAGTGATCGATACTGATGCCAAAAATGCAATTAGTAATATATTTGTCTGTCTGCCTGTATGTTCGTTATAGAAACAAAAACTACTTCGACGGATTTTAACGAAACTTGGTACAATTATTCTTCATACTCCTGGGCAGGTTATAGTATACTTTTCATCACGCTACGATCAATAGGAGCAGAGAAGTGAAGGGATATGTTAAAAATGTCCACCCGTGCGACGCCGGGACGGGCCGCTAGTCTCTAATAAACCTATTTTAGCTATTGAACCGTTTTGCCTCGTCATTTACATTAAATTCGACGTGTAGGTCCCGGTCGTTTTTTTAATTATCTATTTAATTATCTTAATTTAATAGTCGAGGAATGGTAAGCAGCGTCCGTCTTAAAACATCTCCAAAGCCTAACTGCGGTTGCTAATCCACTTGTAAAACGTGGCAATTACTGGCAAGACCCCCCAAGGGAAGGCTTATGTCCAAAAGTGAGATGAGATATATATATATATATATATATTTTCTTTATGCAACTTAGAATGCTATAGGCATTCTGTACCAGTCAACCTTTAGAATGTGTAGACTGAATTTACAGGGTACAGAGCAATAACACCTGGGTCCTCAGGAACGGCAACGCATGGGGGTATCATGGGTGAAACAATATACTCTGTTATGTCCATGGTACTGCTCATGTCTATAGGCAACGGTTACCACTTTCCATCAGGTGGGCCGTCAGCTTGTTTGCCATTCTAAGTTGTATAAAAATAAAGATAAATGCTTCATCAAATTCAGATTACAGACAAAATTTCAAACTTGTATAAAGATTGTCTGAATGTAATAATTAATCTAACACCATTTTAACTGCCGTGTCGAAGTTGGTCTCCGCTTACTTGACCCTTTTAAGGAAAATAATTCGTCAATATTAGTTCCGTTATTGAGGTCATATTATGTACTGAATACAGACCGGGCGCCCGAAGTGCCCCGGGCGATAGGGATTGTTAGCGGTGGGGTCTGACAGCTCTATTGCTAATACCCTATCAGGTCGACCTTCACACGGTCGACACGACATTAATATCGAAATTTCTTACCATCACTTAATATTATAAACTTACAAACTTTCATACCATCACTTAATATTATAAACGTGAAAGTGTGTTTGTTTGTTACCTATGAAATATGGTATACACGTTTAGTGTCTTATTTTTAAAGTTAGGATACAATTTTGTATTAGATACCACGTACAAACAAAGTCGTGAGATAGAGCTAGTTCAATATATTTATGAATTCATGACTGTACCGTACCATTTTTTTTAGTTTTCTTGACATTTACACAGCACGTAGGCAGTGTTCGCTACGATCCGTGGCTCCTACAGCTCGTAGGGCCCGCCGTAGCCGCCTACGGCGTAGCCGTGATCCATCCGTAGCATTTAGACATTTTGTGAATCAGACAGCGTCCGGAATAAATATCCGTGGGTGAGATTTGTAAATAACAGAATTTCTATTTTATGGTTCCATGCCAATATAAGTAGGAGGCGGCTGACTTAACTTTTATGTGAATAATTCAAGACTTTGTTCCACAAAGTAACTAATTCAATATTGATGTAATTGGCATGGTACCAACACGAGTAGTAGTGAGAGAGAGAGAGTAGACATATATATTTATTTAAGGTTGTGAAAATAAATAAATTATATTGCTACAAACTGTGAGTGTTGGCAGTCGCACACATACTAATGGTAGCGGAATTAAACAAAATAATTCTAAACAAATAACCAGTGATGTGGACTTCCCGTATACTATAATTCATTTTACTGAACTAGGTGTGGAATTATATATTAATTACAGTTAAACAGATTATTAGAAACACATACATACACAGACAAAGAGAGAGTAAGAAAGTGAGCGAGAAGTACACACGCATGCACGTACACACACACATGCACTCACACTAAAACTTATATATACAAACACGTACTCGCATATAAATGCGTGCGCGCTCTCTACAAGAAACACCACAATTTTACAAATTTATTATTATTCCATTTTTTATTTTTTAAATTAGGAAACTTTTTCAGTGTACCGAAAAATTTTAATAAAAATAAAAAATTTGGTACACAGATATACTATATCTCGGAATGAAAAGTATACAATTTTATTTAGCGCGATTTGATTTTTTTATACTACTGGAGTGGCAAACAAGCATACGGCCCACGTGATGGTAAGCAGTTACTTTAGCCTATAAACGCCTGCAATACCAAGGACATTACCGATCCTGAAGAAACCTCTTCACCCCTTTTTCTAAGAATTCCATACTGTAGTCTCTTGGTAAAATCTCGACAGGGACCTCATTCTATAACCTGAGTATTTATGATACTAATATAATTATTTATCAAATGAGACAAGTAAAGCTGAAGGATACAGTTAGTGAACGGCACCAAATAAGAAAATACATTATCGGATCAATTAATTTAATGAAAACGACGATAGCACGCAAATTGATTGTTATCTCAGTCTCCCACAACCCACCAATAATTATCCGTCGGTTGGGCGCCTGAGATTATTATCAAGTTACGAAGTCTCCGTGATGTTTTGAACACCTTGTATATGACTTGTTTGCAAACATCTTAGATTATATTCATAGAGGTGTTTCTATACAAATGCTTCGAGAAAAGCGGCTCAACTTTTTAAATTCAATTTCAAATTATTTATTGCACGAATATGGGTACATACATTGGATGAAAATATTTTTTACAAGTCCATTATTCCACATTCTGCCATATCGTCATGTACAATATAAAATTAAAGTAAGTTTTTGTTTAATAATAATTTTTAACAATAAAAACAATGTCAATTATAATATTTATTTATTTACAAGAAACATGGTAAGTGTATAGATGTTGTTGAGGTTTTAATTAAGTTATTTTTAAAGATAGAATTTATTTATTTTTCTTGTTATGTCTATTGAGTATTTTGTTTTTTAGAGAAACGTCATTACCTTTTAAAACATCTATTTTTGTACTAGGGAACAATATTATATATCTTTATTCAGTATCTCATATTTTTATTGTTTTATCCAACGAACCCTTCACATACTGGCGACCGTGCAGATAAATATGGATAGAGCAAAGGCGGAGAGGACATTAGCTCGTCGCAAATTTACATTATGTGCTCAAAAACTGGAGAAGCTTTTGAACAGTTGCGACGAATTTATTCCGGCCGAATTTGAAAAACTGAATAAGTTGTTTGCAGATCTCACTCTAGTACAAAATAAAGTTGTAAGTATTTGGCTCGACGATGACAGTCGTGATGAAGAGACATTCGACAAAGATATTGTAGAAGCGGATGTCTACGAATCACGTTATTATATGTTAAAACAAAAGGCAAGTAAAACTTTTATTTCTTCTGCAAAATCTACTGTTAAAGAAATGGAGGCAGAGCAGTTGTCGTTGAGAACCAATGGTAACCGACACTTTAAACTACCCAGGTTGGAGTTACCCAGATATAATGGTGAGATAAAAATGTGGTTAAAATTCTGGACTCAGTTCAAAAAGATACATATGGATGACCAGATTGATGATGATGACAAATTTCACTATCTGCTCCAATGCATGGAAGTAGGGTCGGTAGCTAGAGAATTTTTAGAAAGTTTCCCACCATCAGGTGAGAATTATAGTATTGCTATAGAGCAACTTAAATATCGATTTGCAAAAGACGAAATGATAATAGAATACTATGTGAGGGAATTACTCAATCTTGTTCTGGCGCAAGCTAAAGGTGTACAGAAGGGATCAATTCGTAGATTATATGATTCTCTGACGACACAAATATTAGCACTAGAATCGATGGGAGTAACCCAAGAAAAATATTCTGCATTTTTATTGCCGTTAGTAGAATCTGCTTTACCAGATGAGACGTTGAAGGCGTGGAACAGATCTCAGGCAAATGATAGAGGTAATGAAAAATTTAGTCCATTATCTAGACTATTGAATTTTGTCAAGTCGGAAGTCGAGTCAGAAGAAAGAATACGTTTATCTCGCTTCAAAGGTTTAGATAACTATTGTAGACAAGATTTTAATATATCTTCTGCTGCATGCTTAAACACGACGCATAATAAAGATACTAAGAAAAGATTAGGTGAAGGTAACCAATACGATCGTAAGGGAAAAACTTGTATTTGGTGCGATAGACTGTCACATACTAGCTCAGAATGTGCTACTGCAATTGGTAAAAATTTAGAAGAGCGAAAGGAATTTTTAAAATCAAAGAATGCTTGTTATATATGTTTTAACATCGGACATTCTGCCAAGCGATGTAGGAAGTATCCTAAATGCGTTATCTGCACCAAAAGACATTTTCCATTAATGTGCAGTGATATAAAAAAGTCGATTGCAGGCACTACTATTGCTAGTACGTCACAAGAATCTCAGTCGGTACTAAATCAGAGTGATATTTCAAATAATAAAACAGTTTTATTACAAACTCTGAGAGTAAAAATCTGCAATGGAGATGAGAATATCACAGTAAGAGTTCTTCTGGATAGTGGTGCCCAACAGACATTTGTTACTAAAGATGTTGCTTCTAGACTAAAATTAAAAGCATGTGGTATGAAAGAAATGAGTCAAAATTTGTTTGGTGGAGCTACGACACAGAAAAAAATGTACAGAATTTATAATTTAAATGTCAGAAGTTTAGATGACACATATGAATGTTATGTTAGAGCATATGAACAAAATATAATATGTGGTGATATACCCCATATTAAAAAGGGCAGTAATATTTTGTCTATATTAAATGATAAAGGTGTTGTTGTTACAGATTCTATAGATGATGTTTCTAAAATAGATTTACTAATTGGTTCTGATTTTCTAGGTACCCTGTTAACTGGACGATCAATACGTGTAGATGACTATCTTTTTGCAACAGAAACTAAACTTGGTTGGACTGTACAAGGGCCCGCGGTTGGTGTGTATTGCTCTTCAGAATCTGTAAGTGTTCTGACTTGTTCATATAGTGTAGAAGACTTTTGGAATTTAGAAACGTTAGACATAAAAAATAACGCACAAGAGAAAAGTCTCATCAAACGCGAAGAAGAGATAGATAATTTTTTCAAGAATACTATACAAATTAAAGAGGATTTCCTTCTAGCTTTAAGAAAGTTTTTAGCTAGAAGAGGTGCAGTTAAGTTAATTTATAGTGATAATGGGACAAACTTTAGAGGTGCTACCCATATTATAAATGAGATTAATTGGCAAGAGGTTTCTTCTCAGGCCCTCACTCAGAAAATCGAATGGCGTTTCATGCCACCTTCTGCGCCGTGGTGGGGAGGGTTTTGGGAAAGAATGGTGAGGACTGTCAAAGACATTTTATGCAGAATACTTGGGAAAGCATCACAAAGTTATTGTGAACTCAATACAATCTTATGTGAGATAGAAAATATAATCAATTCGAAGAAATTGACATATATAGCGGAAAGTTCAGGAAGTTTAATAACCTTGACACCCGCAATGTTCCTAAAAGTCGATGAAAATGAAAATGAAAATAACCTAAGTCAGTTGAATGGCAATAACTTAGCATCTCGGTGGCGATATATAAAAAAAATTAAGTGGCGATTTAAAACAGTATTTTCGAATGAATATTTATCACTCTGATTCAAAGGGGATGTAAAGATAAGAATTAGACATATAAAATTGAAGATGTTATTTTGGTCGGATATGATAATATTAAACGTTTATATTGGTCATTAGGAGTAATTTTAAATATATATCCGGATATTGATGGATGTCCAAGAGTTGCTAAATTAAAAACTCCTAAGGGCGAGTGTATAAGGCCTATACAGCGGTTGTATGCGTTAGAGGTTGAATCAGGCGAATTTGCAGAAATTAAGAGCAATACACACAGTGTCGATACTATAAGTAAAATTTCTGAGCAATTGCCTCGTGTCACACGCACTGGTCGTTTAGTCAAAATACCTAACCGTCTAGATTTGTGATGTTGTGAGACTTGTAATGTTATATGAAATGTAGTTTTTGTATGTTTGTCTGTCTTGCGATATCATCGCAAGGGGGGGAGTATGTTGAGGTTTTATTTAAGTTATTTTTAAAGATAGAATTTATTTATTTTTCTTGTTATGTCTATTGAGTATTTTGTTTTTTAGAGAAACGTCATTACCTTTTAAAACATCTATTTTTGTACTAGGGAACAATATTATATATCTTTATTCAGTATCTCATATTTTTATTGTTTTATCCAACGAACCCTTCACAGATGTTATAATAAGTCCTCATATTTCGCCGTAATTAGGCATGCAAATATTAAAACTTAAAAAGAATAAATGGTAAAAAAGGCATTAAAATACGAAAAGTTATATAAAAAAAAATACATCAAAAATGTCAGACACTTGTCAACAATAAAAAAGAAAGAAATGTCACTGTCAAATCATGGACTATTGATAACAGCTGCATTGTAACGCGATAGGTAATTCAAGTAGGTTGTTTACCTTTTTATATCAAAAACTCTTGCACACTGTAAAAGGACTCCTCAACAAGCCAATGTTTTAATGAATCTTTAAATTTTCTAAATGGGAGTTCTCGTATACTTTTCGGTATTTTATTATAAATTTTAATTGTCATTGAATAACAATTTTTATGGTAAAGTGTGCTTCTACAGGATGGTACCTCCAATTTTGTTGGTTCTCTTGATACAAATTTATTATGATAAACTAGTTTTGTTGTAAAATAATAAAAATAATAATAAGCCAATTGATAAATGATATTGTATGTCTAATATTTATCATTGTAATAGTCATGTTACGTATAATAACATTTGGCTGTCAAATATTCTTTTACTTTTTTCTTAAATACATTTAAATTGTCCATTTACTTAAATGCCTTCGGGAATTTATTATATATTTTAGAGACCATACCAAAAAACTTTTATCAAATAATGCTGTGACGTGAGGCTGAACGTGAACTTTTTCATACAATTTTGCGTGATAAATATTTGTTTAGTGATTCCTTTATAACTTGTATATTTATTTTGTTTTATAATTCTTGCATCTTTTTATTGCGTAAAAACTTATTTTGTTTATTAAATAATTAAATATAGATACGTCAAGATACATTATGTGCGTAAGTAAATAGAACACTGATAAAAAATGCGGTAGCTAATTTGAAAATTAGTTGACAAAAAGTTGACCCGTTTTTGAGGCTCGATGCAAGGCAAACATTTGTAATTAATAATCGGACGGAGGAGTTTCGACATTCGACCGTGTCTTCGTTACGTGTTCTCTTTTCAAAATTTGAAACTATTTCGAGAATTCGTTTCTAATTTTGAATACCTTTTGATAATTTCGTCGATTTAATTGTTGTTTTTTGTTGTTTTTTTTATCATCTAACTTCAATTTGTTATTTCTTTGTTGTATTTGTTTGTCTGTTACCTCATAACTCTGTCAGTTATAAATCGATTCAAGAAATTATTTTTTTTTATCAAAGGATATACTTTCAAATTGATATCATAGAAACTTTATCACAATCGATACAATAGTTTAATTTTTAAATCAAAATTGTTAGTTTTTTGTCTCAACTGAATTCTGGTTTTTTATGGAACCCTACCGTAATTAATTTCATACAGTTGTTTTTGCGTGATATCGAAACAAACATACAGACAGACAAAAATTCTATAATTATTGTTTTGACTCTTATTGCTCTTATTAAATGTACAATCATCGTTAAATTACGATTTTATATATATATATATATATATATATATATATATATATATATATATATATATATATATATATATGGTATGTAAAGAAAGTAGTAACCGTCATATATATACATATATACTTATTTAAACTTTATTGACGAATAAAATGAGGTACAAAAGGCGGACTTAATGCTATAGGCATTCTCTACCAGTCAAACTTTAGAATGTGTAGACTAAAATAACTAAATGAAAAAAATACTAGTATATATATATATATATATATATATATATATATATATATATATATATATATATATATATATATATATATATATATATATATAGTATTTTTTTTATTTGATTCAATTTAAAAGAATCTTACAAACTGCTTCTGATAATTTTCAGTCGACAATTCGGTTGTTTTTTTTTATGTTTGTAACCTCATAACTATGTCATTTGTAAACCTTAAATTTGGAAAATTCTTTTTTTATCCGAAAATATATATTTATAATTTAGTCTCATAGATTTTTTTATACATCTTAGAATGGCAAATAAGCTGACGACCTACCTGATGGAAAGTGGTAACCGTCGCCTATAGACATGAGCAGTACCATGGACATAACAGAGTATACTGTTTCGCCCATGATACCCCCCATGCGTTGCCATTCCTGAGGGCCTAATTAATTAATTTTATTAAAATCAGTTTAGTAGTTTATTAGTTTTTAAATCAAAATAAATGGTACAATTATAATTGAAATTGGTTTGTTTTGTGGGATATAATCTCGTTGTTTGTTAGTCTTGTCCTTTTTGATCTTACACTATTTTTTTTGCGGGCCATAATCTTAAACATGATCCGTTCATAAGCATGGAAAACTCCGAGCAATTGTCTTGAACGATATGCAAATTATACTGCAACGCCCCATAAAACAGGGGCCTTAGTAAACGGGGGCGGCCATGAATAAATGCATGATGTCATCGTTGTATCGAAACGATTTTATGAACACTGAAACTGTATTTAACGATATTTTTCTTTTGCGCAATTGTCGGGCGCGGGACAGTCAACATGATGATTTATTGTGCTGTTAACACTAGCTCTTACCCGTGACTTTGGCTATGTGAGCAGGATATGTTCGCTGACCGAATAAGATTTTGTTTCACAAAAAAAAAAACACCGAGTACTGAACTGAATTTGATAAAATTATTATGAGACTATGTTATAGGCGTCAGGGGTGTTCTTCTCTAGAAATCTGTCCGACTCTAGAATAAAGGCATACGGGTATGCGACCCCGGCCTCCCGAGCCCCTGCAGTGTCCCAGTCCTTTCCGCAACTGCAGTGTCCTCCCCCTTTTCTTTCCCACATAAGTCCCTTATTCCCCTCATTCACCAATTTCCTTTACGCTTTTCCAACGTTCCCTTCCTTTTTTCCTCAATCCTTTCCTCCATACCGTAGGTGGCGGAAACCACCAACAAATGCATTCCCAAAGACCGTCACCTATAGATATAAGCAGTACCATGGACATAACAGAGTATACTGTTTCGCCCATGATACCCCCCATGCGTTGCCATTCCTGAGGACTCAGGTGTTATTCCTCTGTACCGTGTAAATTAACGCCATATCCCACCCTTCAAACCGAAACACAGTCATGCAAACACAACATTCATAGGTTACAGTAACTGCTTACCATCATGTGAGCCGTATGCTTGTTTGCCACCACAATGGTTTAAAAAAATATATAACGAATTAACCACATTGTTTTTCAGGGATAATGGTATGGAGGTCGACCTATGCCACTGTGTTAGTTTGGGCTGTATATATATATATATATATATATATATATATATATATATATATATATATATTCTAATATATAAAAGTCTCGTGTCACGGTGTTTGTTACCAAACTCCTCCGAAACAGCTTTAACGATTTTCGCGAAATTTTGTGTGCATATTGGGTAGGTCTGAGAATCGGCCAACATCTATTTTTCATATCCCTCAATAATGAAGGTGATCCTCCCCTTTTTTTTTAAATTTTTTGGCATATTTTTTTATTTTTATTTAAATATTATTTAGCGTTGAAAAATACATACAAATTCAAATTTTCACCCTTTTACGATCAACCCCTGTTTTTAATGGCAATTTTTATATGCCACAATAGGGTTGCAAAATGGCAATAGAATATAATAATTGTAGTACGATTTATATTTATATATAAATCGTACTACAATTATATATATATATATATATATATATATATATATATATATATATATATATATATTGTCCCCATTTACTAACAATCCCTTCCCTCTCAAGTATACAGTTATCATCAATGGAAATAAACAGTTACCAAGAACCAAAGTCGACGTGGAATAATTTAGTTTCCTTGGAAACACTGAGCTAGAACGGCAAAAAGGTTTGTTTCCCTGAAATTAATCAATGAATATCTAATGACGTCATATCCGTTCCCGACCCATTGGACGGTTTTATTGGGTACTCAACTGATATTTAACGACAGTACTTAACTTACTTTGTATCCAGTGATTTGCTACGTGATTATTGTATGTAGGTTGTATATAAATATAATATAAGAGACGGTTACGTAATGCGAATATCAATAAATATAATTTGTCATAGATATAATTAAAAATAATTCTAAGAAAAAAGACTAAGCTTGCACGCCTGTATCCACGCACGCACACGCACACAACTACAACGACTACTTGCTAAGCTTCCTTTTTTAAATTGGAAAACGAGCATACGGTCCACCTAATGGTAAACGAAATAATAATCTAAAGAATTCACACGAAACGTTCCGTGTCACGCGTCTCTGCGCATGTCTCATTCCAAATTTGTTTGAAGTTTGAAGAACGCGTTTCGTGGAACGAAGCGTAATTAATTATGCTGATTAGGCAAATAACTATTACATAGTTAATAATCAGTTTTTTGACATATCTTGTGAATAATTAATGTATTTCGATTTTTTATTTTACATTTTTTGTATTGTTACTTTCCACGAGAAGCAAGTACTATTGGAATTCGTGACGTTGTCTGCAATAGATGCTTATGTTAATTTGTAAAACCAATTTCATTTTCAAATCGATCAATACCAAAGATAAAGACTCCAAGGTCGAGGTTACCATCCCGTTTTCTTCTTTTAAAATAAAAATAAAAAATCCACTGAATTTTTAGTAAACATATTTGTATGATAATATAAAGTAATGGTTGCCATAAGACCAGTCTTTATTAAACAATTATTCATTAATATCGTCGACTCGTCGACT